TGGGTCAAAGAGCCTATATACGTGTTCCAGGGACGTTCCCGGTAGGGAGAAAAGCTTTAATGTACCGACAACACCGAAATTGACGTTTCATTTTACTAAAATGATTTTTTGTTCCTTTCTACCCATGATATTTTTTACATTTTCTTTTAAGTCCTAGTTTTTTTTTATTTTTAGTAAAAGGGAACACATGAATTCAGTGGTCCAGGTGTATTAAAGTTTTTCTCCCTAGTAGGACTTGGGTGTCCACATCCAAGGTTATTTTCAATTTGGGCCTTCAAGTTAGTCATGTTTCACTAACTTGGTTATGAGCCCATTCAAGTCTATGAATGTGGATCTGCGACCTACGATTCCTTGAAGTTACTCTCTCACCCATATTTAACACTTACGAGATAATTGCTTTGTGCCGTTTTCTACCACCCTAATTGTCCCTGGGGTCTCATATATATCAAAATATTGCCCAAAAGGGATCGTCTCCAGCATATTGTTTATCCTAGCCTAGACCATTTGCAATCTCCAAATGTACATACACACACATTTGTTATTTATTCATCAAACTTTTGACTGCAAAGGCTGGACCAGATCTTGCCATTTTATTGACTTTTTAGGTAGATATCTTTGCTCACCTCTTTTTTTTTTTTTTTTTTTTTTTTTGTATAAAATCTTTGCTCACCTCGTAACTATACACATACTAGATAAATGTTAATTAAGGGTACAAAACTAGAGTTCATTTTTATATTTTATTGGAAATACAAATTTACTATTATATTATGAGAATGATTATATTTACAAACTCAAATTTTACAAATTTTTCTAAATTATACTACATAGTACATATTACTTAAGCATTTACTACCAATAGTACATACTACATAGTATAGTTGTAAATGCTTAAGTAATATGTACTACTCATAGCACATAGTATAATTTATAAAGATTTGTAAATTTTGAGTTTGTAAATATAACATGAGCTTATCATTTTTCAAGCCGCCGTAGATAAAGTTATCTCTAGCTACTAAATCAACGGTGATAAAGGAAGAGAGAGAAAAAAAAAATCATAATTATTCAAAGGTGAATCAATTAATATAAGGAAATAAATAAACAAAATGATGTAGTTTTAGGATGGTCGGAGATAAACTTATCTCAAGTTGCCGGAGAAATATTTTCCCAACATATCCTATTATACTATATCATTTGCGAAACTTGAAATAGATGTTAAATGATTATGAAACCATTTTTGAGATATAAAGATGATGAGAACATTTTTTTTCCCTTAAAAAAACACTTTCTTATATGAGCTTCGGTAGTTTGAAGCCATTTTTAATTTCGCCGTGTGCAATTCTAGATCAACTCCTTAATAATACACGCATATCATACATTTTAAGGGTAGATAATTCGGTTCAATTTTAATTTAAAAACATTTTTATTATCAATTTATTAATTACCTGATTAATTCAATTCCAACTAAGTTGAATTCGTATTGAATAACTCCTCAATCATTGTTTTAAAACTCGTACCAGTTATCGACTTGATCGAGGTACTGGGTCATTGGATCATTGGTTCAATCGAGTTCAATTGAATTTACTATTCACATATTAAAAAATATAAACATATTACTTTATTGAAAATTCACATAAGAAAATTATCAATGAGCTTCAAAAAATAAATTGATTTTCAATGACAGCAAATATTATATACTTCTAGGCTTTTAGCTCTAGACCATATCCTAACATTGGATTAAAATTGCAATGTAAGCTAAATGCACCTTTTGTGCCTTGACATAATACAGATAAATTAAATCACGATAATAAGAGATAGACATGAGATATACACTAAGGAGAAAGTGTCCACCTTGAGATGAGACCGTTAGTGTTTATTTCCACATAACATCTTGAGATCATTATAGATGCAACTAAATTACATAAACGAACTGCACTAATAAAAAATACATTCTTATTTTCACCTTACTTTTTTTTTTTTTATCATATTTACCACAAAATATGAACATGATTTAATTTAAGAGTTCTTAGCAACAACAAAAAAAAGATTTACCAAAAAAAAAATTTTACCCAAAAAAATGAAGAGGGTCAATCAGTCTAACCCAGGTCAACCGGGTCACCGAGTCTCAACCGGATTAATCGGTTCAAACCGAGTTGACTGTAGAACGGTCCAAATGACCACTCAGACCGAGGAATCCACCGGATCACTGAGACCCAGATCGACCCAACTGGTTTTTTAAACATTGACCCCAATATCATCTTTTCCAATTTTAGGACTTAAACTTGAAGAAAATATTATATTTACAAACTTTTTGTTTACAAACTACACTAAGTATGACGGGTCATACTTCAATCAAAAGTGTATGACCGGTCATACTTAGTGTAATTTATAAAAAAAATTTATAAATGGATCCTTCTCTTAAACTTAATGTCTTTAGTTAAGAGAAACATATCCTTGCCACCTGAATCAAATAATATTGGTAATTTGATCATTCTTTATATTAACTTATTGTTTTGTCTTTTTTAAATAGTTTTTTTTATTTATTTCTTCAGAACTCTCCTTAGTCTAAATTCAAAAATATCTTGATATAATAAGTGTTAATCACCAAGGTGATATGTCGCGATATGTTGCAATGGAGAGCTTTTTGGGTATTATAGAAGTATCTACATCCTATCCAAAAGAAATAAAAACTTGATATTTAGAGGAAAATAGAAATAAAAGTATGAATTCAAATAGAATAAATTTTTTTCTATTTAGAAAAAAAGTATTGAGTTCAGTACTTCTGTAATACCCAAAAAAAAATTCATTGCGATGGCAAGATGTATGCTCAATGGATGATAATTTGGAGTTTCTTGAAGTGTATACACAAAATACCTTGGGGCGTCTTGATAAGAGACCGTAATCTCCTTTGAAGTTGTTGGTTTCTTATTAAGTTATTGTCACTTTGAATTAATTAGAATCCTTTTAAAAGGGGTCTGTTTAACCTTTTGGATCCGGATTAGATATCTTGGTCCAAAACAATTAGCTTGGGTATTGATGTTCATTTTATTTTCATAGAATTTAAAGTAAGATCAATATGCGATTGAAAAACATGTGTATATCAAGTAAAAAAAAGTCTCACATTGTGATTAGTGACTCGCTCAACTAGCTTCAAGGTTCGGAGATGATCCTCGCATATACCATGATTCTCCTCAATCTCTTTCGCCCCTTCTTTCTATAGATAAAAATATATTGTATCGATACTAACATGAGACACAAGATATGACATGATATAACATTTTGACACGTTAATTCTAAAAAATAATAGATTTTGATAAGTTAGGACATATTTTTATATTAAATAATATTTTTAGTTTATGCAGTATATATTATATTTAATATTTAATAATTTAACAAAAAAATGGAACGAAACTTATAATGGCCATAAATTTTGCAAAGAAATATAAGATATCCTAAATATTTATAATAAACTCAATAAAATGATAATCGTAATTCAACGAATCTAATAATTGAAACTAAAGCAACATTCAAACTCTTTTTTGAATCTCTGCAACGCGTGTTAGAGTGTCGGAAAGTGTTAAATACGACACGTCAAATATTTTAAATTGTCGGTACGTCATAATAGTGACATGTGCCATTGTGCAATTCAACATGTGTAATCTTTGATTTTTGTTTGGACCTTAGGCCCCTTTTATGTTTTTTTTTTAAAAAAAGTGTACAAAAGTGATTTTTTTTATCACAATGCTTAAATTAAAAAAATAGGAAATAGAATGATTTATAAGCTTAAATGAACTTGAGATTTAAATTCAGAAATTTTTGTCAAAGATTTCAGTATAAGATAAAGCCCAAATGCCAAATACAAACACGAGCTCTCACTTGAGGAGGTGTTTAGTATGAGATTTTTTTCGAAATTTTCGGTAAATTGAATTTTTTAAAATTTTAAACTTTAAGATATTATCGTAAACTGAATGTAAAAATTATATTTTTGAAAATTGAGATTTTCGGATAACAAAAAAATTTTCCTCTCCCAAACACTCGGAAGCAAAGATTCCCATACTTAAATCGAAGAAGAATTTACAAGGCAAATATTATCATTCGTTGACATGTGGTTCTCTACTCTTACGTTGGTTGTGATTCACTCACTACAGTACTTTGGTGTTAATTTTAATTAAAAATAATATAAACAAATATCACTTGTGACCTGAAAGTGAAAGTAACAAACAGCTCATTATGCAAAATTCAGAAGCGAAAGTACAAAAATCATTAATAAAAGTGCCTATCTTCGTGATTGAGCAAAAATAAGATGAAAGAATGATTAATTTTGTACATTTTTTTTTTAAATATCAATATAATATATTTCAAAAACTATTTATTAAAGTTTATTTCTTATAACACATATTATCACCGTATGATAAACACGTATTATGTTTACGAGGTTAAAAGAATCGAATGATGTGTGTATCGTGCATAAATTAATACGAAAGAATTATGCATGTTCGTGAATATTATTTAACTAATTTTTAAATATTATAATTTTCTTATTCTTTTCATGTTAATTTATACATGATACCCGCGTGACGTTGAATTTTTTGTAAAATATAATAAAACTATATTACTTTGATAAATGATTCTCAAACTAAATAAATTGATAATTTTTTTAAAATTATATTATTTTAGTAAATTGGATAGTTGTTTGCGAATTTATATCCCTGATTGCTCCCTTATGAAAAAGAAATAAATAAAAAAGACTCTGTTAAAACTCATCTTAAATTTATTTTGTATATTTTTTAAAGAAAAAAAAACACACACATGAAATAAGATAAAAATGATCGAGATGTTTAACTATTGGGTCAGGGCCTGTTAGGTGTCTGAATAGACATGGGCTTATGATCAAGAAACAAATAATCCATCAGAGTTTAGACAAAGCTTAATATTAATCAACGGTCGGAATCAATCTTTAAAGCAAAACACGAATCCGAACCGTCCAATATCAGAAGACCCATAGTCCACAACCACTACAAAACCCTAGATAGCTAATGTTGTTGAAACTTCACAAGCCTGCGGAGAAAACCCTAATTTGCAGTCGCAGAGGCCTTAGCTCGGTACGTTCTGTTATGTCTCTTATTTCACATTCAACTTCGATCTGTGTTTTTTTGCATTCTTTCAAGTCTATTGCCTTTTCTGCGTTTTGGTGAATCCGCGTTCTAGATCTACCATTTGTGTGGTTCTTCGATCATATATATATATATATATGTATTTTCATTTTTATGGTGTTTAGTTCTGTAAATGGAAGTGAAACACTCTGCTAGATAATTTGATTTTTTTTTTTATGATATTTCTGTTGATTTTGTTCGGATGGGTGGAACTTAGACTATTGTTTCAAAATGATGGAATATCTTCACATTCATCTTCTCTAGGATTCATATTGTCTGATGATTTATACTTATGAATGTTGTAAGTTTCTGTGTGAATTTTGCCCAATTTCTTTCATTATAATTACATTTTTTTTTTGTTTTATCAATGAAGAACAGAGATGGGTGAGGAGGTGAAGACAATTGTTCCAGAGTCTGTGCTGAAGAAGCAGAAGAGGGAAGAGGAATGGGCGTTGGCCAAAAAGCAAGATTTCGAAGCTGCTAAGAAGAAGAGAGCTGAGAGCCGTAAGCTGATCTTCAGCAGAGCTAAGCAATATGCCAAGGAGTACGATGAGCAGGTACATGTCACGAGTCTTATCAATTTTGTTTCATTGATTATCCTAATTTATAGTCGTCCACTCTTCGACGCTGTTGTGACTTTCTTTTTATTTTTTAGGAAAAGGAATTGATTCGATTGAAACGTGAGGCAAAGCTGAAAGGTGGATTTTATGTCGATCCAGAGGCTAAGCTCTTGTTTATTATTCGCATTCGTGGGTATGTGTTTTATGTTTATGTACTTGTACTTCATCACAACTGTTAACATATTCTGGCTGTTCTAATACATTTGCTGTGTTTTTATTATCAGTATTAATGCCATGCATCCCAAGACAAGAAAGATCCTGCAGCTGTTGCGATTGAGACAGGTACTAGTTATAATCACAGAGTGCTGAACAGAAGTTTGACTCCTTGTATGCATTATTATGTTTTCCAGTTACACCAAAGCTTAGTGGTAGGATAGTTCAAGGCTATTTTGTAGCTGAAACCGACAACTTTCGTTAATATTATGTACCATTCAATAAGGTAGCCCCTGGCATCTTAAAATAATGCTGTTTTATGTTTGGTAAAACTAAATAATTTAAGTTGAAACAGTAAGCTTTAATTTATTTGTTTGAGAAACATAAAGAAGAGGGAAGTAAAGTGAGAGCAATGAAAATTAGTCATATATTTGCTGCTATGATCCTCTATTTTGTTTCTCTCCTCATCTTGTTCCCACAAGCAAAGGGTATTGTTAGATCATTAAGACTTTTGAGTGTGGTTTGGGTCTGAGATTCTGCATTTTCTCAGTTTAAGTTGTGAGGCTTTAAAGTGCCTGTCTTTGAGGGATCAGGGAATCTTTGTTTAAGTTATTAAAATCAATTGGAGGCTTGGAAGATGTTTTGTTTTGTGTTTGGTAATATGATCGTAACATATTGCGTGTACTTTGTTGGCATTTGGAGTCTATGATACGTGTTAGAGCATATAAATAACATCTAGATACTGAAATTTTTTATTAATAAAAACCATTTTGGTGATCCCTATCTTTGTCTGCAACAGATTTTCAATGGTGTGTTTCTTAAAGTTAACAAAGCTACCGTGAACATGCTTCACAGAGTTGAGCCTTATGTAACTTTCGGGTATGTTATTTTCATTGTCATACTTTTTTAAACGTGATGATTATTTTCTACCACTAATGAGACTTCCGATATTGATCTAGATACCCTAATCTGAAGAGTGTAAGAGAACTTATTTACAAGAGGGGGTATGGAAAGCTAAACAAGCAGAGAATTGCTCTAACCGATAACTCCGTCATTGAGCAGGTTCCTTAATTTATTCTCTCTTTTAAATTATATTACAATTTGAATTCATTCACTACACGTTGCTGACTTGCTTGGATTAAACTGTAGGCACTAGGCAAGCATGAAATCATATCCACTGAAGATCTTATCCATGAGATCATAACTGTTGGACCCCATTTTAAGGAGGCAAACAATTTCCTTTGGCCATTTAAGCTCAAGGCTCCTTTGGGTGGCTTAAAGAAGAAAAGGAACCACTATGTTGAAGGAGGTGATGCTGGAAATCGTGAGAATTACATCAATGAGCTTATCCGGAGAATGAATTAAGCTGTGGCTGTGGTCAATCACTATTTAGGGGAATCAATCTGTCATTGTTGGCTTTAGATCAAGATCAGACTCATTTTCGTATCTGAAATTTTGGAAATAGAACATTTTGACTTTGATAACTTATTGCTGAGGTTGAATTTGTTTTTCATTTTATATGTTTGTGAGAGAAGTTTTTTTAGAATATATTTGCTATTATGAATATGCTTGGTTTATGTTGCTTAGCTTTCTCTTCAGCGTTTTGGAGTATGACTGCCATGCCTTATTTAAAATTTGTTCTTTTTAAGGCCCCTTTTTAGAAATTCTTTGTTAGATAAGTGGTTTTTTGCCAAAGTCAACGTCAAGTGAACTTTTTTTAAAGTAAAATAGAAAGGATGATTTTTCTGAAAATGGTAAGCAGCTGCTAAGCTGCCAGTTGTATTGAAGGATATATGTCTTCTAATCCCGAATCAGGTTTGGTTACAGTTAAAAGAATATGTATTTTCAAAGAATATTGATAGATAATCCTCTTTTGTTCCAATAACGTGTTGATTAGGCAACTTCACCGATGACCATTTTTCTTATAACGTTTTTAAAAAAATGATTAAGCGATTACAGAGTTCACTCTATTCACAACAGTTTGAGATAAAATATATATTACAATATCAACTGTATGTTCCTTGTGTTGTGATGTTATGGCAGTATTTTGAAACTTTTTTTTATAACACGTATTTTGAAACGTTGAGTCTGTCTCAGTGGTGGTGTGGGATTCAACGTCAGCGGATCATCTTGAGCCTGTCTAGTTTTAGTCTTAGAAGTGCTACGCAAGAGGGCTACTTTTTTTGTTCTATTTCTTTATTTCTCGTAATCAAGCAACGATTAATTATACGAAACCACTCTTACTACTCCAGCCATCTGTTACAAAATTCCATAGAATGATGATTACAGTACCACCAGCTACTTAGTGTGGTATTTGACAGGATAATACGTACTAGGAATTTATGCTTTGATTAAATAATTAAAAGTTGCTGTGGAATCTATCTAAAATATAATTTAAATGACTTAATTTACTTTATGGGTTTTATACTTCTTAATTTACAAGTGATTTAAGAATAAAAATTTTCCTACACACCTTTCAATTTCCGTGCTAATATAGGTTTTACACATGATTTTTTTTAACATATAGATTCCACAAACTTTTTATGTTTATATGTTTATGATATAAAAAGACTCATCTCATATAACATGAAAAGTATAAAACCGTTACTTTATACCATGAACTATACAGTACTTGCTGTAAGTGACAGGAACTCAAACACGTAAAAAGAGGTTATAGCTTCTAACAATTGAGCTTAGCATTGAAGCATTGTTTCTCTCGCATATGTGACATGCCTTTTACTCACACTTGGGTTGCACTGACATTTTACCAGACCCATGCAGGTTTAGGGAAAAAGGAAAACAAGAATATCTGTCGCACACTAATCTATCAAGGGCTGTCTACTCAACTTGAGGCTCGAAACTTCGTATTTCCTTCAGAAAGAAGACCCAAAGGAATTCACGATAACGAATAAAAGCCAAATCAAATTCTCATAAATGCTTTAATAACTTAAATGAATGTGATGAGGATACTGAATTTATTGAATTTTTTAAGTTGACAAGGTCGCCTCTGTTGGATTGTGGGCCTCAATATCAACATGCCGAATACCAGGAACAAGATTCTGGATCTCATTCTCTAACCTATCCACTTCACTTCCTAATGCTGTAACTACTTCCTCACCTGCCACAACTTTCAACTGTAAGCATGTAATTACTTCTCAATCAGCAAGATTTTAAGGATAAAGTTTACTACTACATACCATAATTTGACATCATCTTCATCAGGGCAGTATCATCCCTCTGCTTTGCAGCTTCGCGAAACTGTAAATAATAAAAGTTGAGAGATAGTACTAAATCAACTTGGTCATTGCTGAGAGTTGGGTATCTAAAGATTCTAAACCGCACATTGGCAGGGAAGCAGGCTAATGCAACTATTGTTGCTGAAGCCATACTGAATGATCATGAAAGGAGTAGGTAACCTAGACTAGCCATGCCCCCAAGTCGGATCATATTATTCTTTTAAATGTTAACTGATGTCCTAGGATGGTTTTCATGTAGGCTAATTGCCAATGCAAATATTTTCTCAACTAGCACCAATGCTTTCCTGTTTCACTAGCATGTAATAAAAAGCAGCAGTAAGTGAAAAATAATAATGACAACAACAGAACATGCAACATATTGTCAGAGGTTTTACAAGAACATTATAAATGAAGGGTATCAACCTGTCCGGCCCACTCTTCACGTCCAGTCCTTTTAAGATAATTTTGCACCACCATCTCTCCATTAAAATCTGTTTCATACAACTAAGAATGATCAGATTTACATCATCATGCTTAATTGTTACCAATACCTCAATTTGACATGTTGGATTTAGATAGTGAAACTTGAATTTATAATACACAAAATTCCAACTTAGGGTCTGTTCGTTTGTGTTTACTTTTAAAAGAAGAAAGCGTTTTTTCTTTTTTTTTTTTAAGTTTTCAATTTTTAAAAAATTATGGTAATTAAATAAGTTTATGGGAAAAAAGAGAGCAAAAATCCCCAAAAGAAGCAGTTTTAGTGCTTTCTAAGAAAGAGTAGCTATGGTTACCAAAAAAGAAAAAGAAAAAGTAGCTTCTAAAAAAAAAGCTATATCCTAAAAGCACACTTTTCAAAGTTTATCCAAACGTACCCTTAGACTTTGCTATAGTAATAATGGAAAATAAAAAAAGTTTACAAGTACAGTAGTAGCACCGCTATATAAGTTGAAAGGTGTTGAAAACTATAACAAACAATAATGATTTCAAGATTTCATTGTTGAAAACTAAGCCGGATGAGGAATATTATTGAAATAAAATAAGACCTTTCATTCAATAATTGCCAAAACCACAACAATGTGAAGGCTAACCTATTTCTGCCTTAAATCTGAAGAATCCAGGCCCAATAACTTCGCTTTTGCAATCATAGAGAGCATCTACAACCTAAAGCATAAAAGTCACCTTAGTCAAATTAATAACAAAAAAGTTACGCAATTTCATGTATAAACTAGCATGCTAGTACCGGGTCATTTTTCAAAAACTGAAGTACTTTCTGCATATCATTGTCATCCATAGCTCTACCAATCAAAGCATGTCGGTTTCTCTGGATAAGAAATATGGCTACCTGCAAAGTTAATTGAGCATGGAATTAAATGAAAACAGATATCAGCTCTATGCTCGCAAGCTTCAAATGGCTGGGAAAAATTCCTCTTTACCATTCCAAGTAAGTTGCCAACTATGATTGAGCCTATGGGATCATAAATGGCATTTCCAGTAATATTCACTGCAACCAATGATGCCCCAGCAATAACAAGGCCAGTTACTGCAGCACCATCCTGCATATATTTTGCGACCATTTATAAGAACAAACAGCCAGACAGAAACTTAATTCATAAGGCATAATTAAAGGAGTTTAAAGACTAAATAGACAAATAAACTCATGTTGCATAGTCCATTAAATAGAGGAATATACAACTCCTCTAAGCAATACAAATTTTAAATCACGCTTCCCCATTCCTTTTTCTGATGCAAAATGACTAAAAAATCACATTTTCTTTACCATAGCCCATGGCAGGCATATGAGTTGATATTCTCTTTAGTCAAATAACTACAAAAATGTACCTAGCTTCAAATAACTGTTTCCGAGGAAAAATATTGCCAAATACGTAATAACTGATAAGTAATTCATTTTACACAAAAGCCTTATTTTTAAACTATACTGTGTTTTTTCTCCCTTTGATGTATCAGCAATTCTTCTTTAAACCAAGTAACATTAACAAATTCCAAGGAACTAAAGATAAGTAAGAGAAATAAGTTACCACCTCTGTCATTACTGCAACAGATGTAGGATCATGGCCACGCCAAATATAGTCTTTCAATTTCATTCCCTCTGCGGCTGCACCTTTCTTGACAGCTTGTATGGCAACAAGAAGAGAGGCACCTAACAAAATATGCCCATTGTAAAAAGGAAAGGACCGAAATAGACAAAGGAGAATAGACTGCACTGAAATGCAGACACAGTACCTTCAATAATGAATGAACCACATATCACCAAACCTGCATACTGCATATTCTCAGGGGGCTGAAAAGGAACCTCTCAAAAGTCAATAAATTAAATAAGAGAAAATTCACAGACAAAAAATTAAAAAAAGAAAATTGACAAGAACTTATGATGAAAGATGAAAGATGTTAAATGTTATCATTTCAAAGATTCAATTTGATTAAAATACCTGTGCAGTCCACAAGTGTTGGAATCCATTAACAACTGTAGCACCAGAACCAAGACAAAATATTCCAACAGCAGATATCAAAGACCAAACAAATCTTTCCTTGGAATAGCCATAACTGTAGAAATAGAAGGCTGATCCATTACACCACACTGATTAAATTCCAAATTCATGCAGAGACAAAATCCATATCCCAGTTTATCGCAAGGAATATAAATGAACGGCATAACTTATTAACATATATTGAGTTGTGTTAAATTTTGCAAAATTGAAGCACAATTCATTGAAAACAGATTCAATAGCTATACATGTATATATCCATTACATGTATAGTAGTTCTAGAATCACTCAGCATGAGGATGGACATCTAATATCACAAATCAGCTTGACACTGAATGCATAGCAATTTCTTTTTCGGGGGGTGGGGGGAGGCGACAAACATAATCACTGCTGTGATACTCACGGATGAATAGCATCTGGGGCACGTCTTGAGCTAGTTAGACCATAAGCAAGAAGCGCCTACAAAACAAGTTATGTAGCACATTTTAGTTTATGTGAAGTCAATAATTAGTCTTTTTCTCTTTTTGTGCTGTGGACAAAATTTTGTCACCTTGTTTAGTAGGTAAATAAGATTCAGAGTTTTGTAATATCCCTTGAGCTACTTTTTGCACATTGCTTAAGACTTTTAAAAATTAAATAAAATACTTTTTTTTGTTGTTGTTGCCATTTGTCCCTTTTTCTTAGCATATCCCCTTTTTTCAACAAATCAAACGGAGTCTAAAGAACTAATATACCTGGTTTGCAAAATCAGCAACAGAGTGCACAACTTCAGCCAACATAACATGGCTAGAGGAAGCTAACCATACTCCAAATTTGAGAGAAAAAACAAGAAAGTTACACCACAATGCAGTTGTGACAGCTCGCTGACTAGAGTAATGAACAATAAAAGGAAAAAAAAATAAAAAATCAGGTGCAGGCAAATGGGACAAGTTATGAAAGCATTATCCTGACACATAAAATAAATACAGTAACAACAAAGAGAAATGCTGGATAACAAGCATGCCATGGCGATATAAATTAATTCAATAAAAAAAATTAATACTAAGCACAAGCAAATTAGCAAGATTTATTTATTTTATAAAAAGACCTGTGGCGATCGTTGAATTCAATGTTCTTTGTTTGCTTAGCCCTTGTAAAGAAACCTATAACAGAGAAGAGAAGCATGTGAATGAATAGAAATATGAGTAGCAGTAGCAGAAGAGAAGTGAAAAAGAGACGTACTGCGATGGAAGGAGTGGTGATGATTATGATGGAGGTGGCGACGAGCATCGAAACCAAACAAAAGGAAGCGTCTTGAGGAAAGTGGAAGTGAAATTGAGGGTTGTTGGTGCTCTGCTATTGGTTTCACAAACACAATGGAGACTGAACAACACACGTGTTGGTGAGAGCGCCGGAAGCGATAGCGAAGAAGGTTATAGGATGTTCGCATTAATGCAAACTTTTGTGAAATTCCAGTGATGATCGATTGAAAGTGGAAACGCAAAGCTTGTGTCAAAATTAGGGTTTTAAACTATCCAAATCCATTGGAACAATGAAGCTGAGGAGAATGAAGGTTGAAGTAGCATGGACATGAACATGGATACGGAGTCAGTGAATGCTTTACTTAATATTCCCACCAATCACACTCACTCTACTCCCTCTTTCTCTGCAACAACAAGCCAATCTGAAACACACACAAAGACAAAGAATGCTTCACACTCACGAGGATTAAAATGTGACATTCGTGTTAGTGAAAGAAAGGAAAAAAAAATTATAAATAAATTATCATGTTATGATTTTGTGAGATTTGTAAAGTATTTTTTTTTGAAAAAATTACTCTTATGTTATACGTGTTAACTTTTTCTCTTATACAGCGTTTGATAACTGTGCTATTTTTTTTATTTTTCAGATAGTAGAGTCTACAAATTTATCTCTATGACATGAGATAATTTATCTCCTTTAACATGAAATTAATAAAACTCTTTTTTATATATATATAAATAAGACATTACTTAAACACTTTGCACTTTAATAATTGTATATTTTGCTTGTGACGAAACATTTTGTATGCCGTTAACACTAAAATTTGATTGGTATACATTTTGTGACTATATATATTAAGGGTTTTATAAGAGTTATCTTCTAGGAAAAATAATTGTGTTATGTTATAGAGATTCATTTTACGTGCTATAGTTTTTTTTTTTTCTTCAAAACGTGTGGGTCCCACAAAATGTTGTGTGTAGAAAACTTTTTGTGGTCATGTTAAATGAAGAATGCAAATTCCATAAACTAAATATATAAAAATAGATTTATTTATAACTCATCACCTTATACAATAGTGAATTTATTTATAATATCAACGAATCCATAACTCATGATAAATTAATTTCTTTGCTTTAAAATAATAAAAATAAATATTGTTAAGATGGCTATTAATTCACACAAACCATTTACAGTAATATTTATAAAACATATGCATCAAGAGTATTCTGTGGTTTAGTTTTCACCGTTTTTTGTGCATAATTAACCTCGCATATATAATCTGATTTTCAAAAGATCAATTTTTTTTTAATAAGAGCTTTTTCAATATTTTCTATTTAAAAAAAAAATCTTGATGGTAACTCTACTTGCAATCCCAATTATAAAGAGAGGAATTACACTTCTCCTGGCTCATGGAATTTTGGGTGCTCCCTCTCTCAAAATAGGGAGGAAAAAATGGAAGAAATTTTTTGTTCATGTGAAAGGGATCACCAAATAATTAAGTGGCCTTAGACCATTTAATTATTTTTCAATTATAAAACCATCCGTAAGATATATATATAACATTCTAATAAAAATCTTAGGTAATATACTGCTACGTATTATGAAACACTATTATAACGACAGTTTACATAAAGCTAAACCAACCAATTATGAGGGTGCTGTGTTATGCTGTGAGCAGACTAATAGCTGTTTCTGTTATACTAGGAAACATTAGTTTCTAGGCAAATTTCATACAAAACTTAACAGAGCCTATCAATTTATATATAGTACCCACTGACACAAAGATATCCACACGCACAATTGCATACGCAATTACACATCCTATAAGACCAGGAAAAACTCCAAGTGAAACAATTAAAAAAGAATTAAATCTAAACCATCTCTCCAAAAACTAGGTTTTTAACAGCACAGATTCACACCGTGGGATCCTTATAGCCTACCCCACCCAGTGAGAAAAAGCATTCGTGGATGATGTATATCTGTTAAAATTTCAGCAATCGAAAGAAAATGAAATTGCAATAAAATAAAAAAGGAAACTGAGTACTATTTACATCTAAAACAGTAGCTCATATTCATATGATAAATTCATTACAAATGATATATTCAAGAATCTAGTACAAAACTTCGAGCAAGAAAAAATCTGCTCATTCATATGATGGTCCTCAGTGAGATGGTGATGATTAAAATGCCAGCTTATCTGAAGCTTCTCATATAATGCTTATATATCTGAAACTTTTCTCATACAATGCCAGAGTTAAACACATGTAGATCCAGTAAGGTATTATAATGTCCCTTCTCAATTTCCTCCTCCTTTACTTGATGAAGAATAAGGGTCTCAATAATTAAGTCTTCCCAATCAATATCATCAACTACCTTTCCTCTTCTCTTTTTCTTTCTTCTCTCAGGATGATTGCCATCTGAAAGGCCAGGATTCGCAGTATCACCCAGATCAGCATTTAACGGATGCATAATTTTTTTTATCCGCACCTTAGCAGCATTGATCTTCTCCCGCCTCATTTTACATTTCAATTGACCAGCCACAAATGATGGCGGCATGGTATCCATTCCAACATCCTTCTCTAGTAAATGTTTGAGTAGAAGCTTTTTGCTCAATTCTGATTTTCCATTCCACCATTCCCAACAATCCTGAAGATCAAGTACCAACCTCTTCCTTTTCTGAGCATTTCCACTCCTTCTTGAAGACTTAGCGCGACGATTCTCATTTAAAAATTTCTCATACAACATGGATAAACATTCGTGTGAAATCTGCAGTCTGTCAACATTCTTGATGCCTGGTCTATCAGCATTGCTTTCAAATGAAAAATACCGAGAATCATTTCGGGAGCTTACGCCATCATTCCCATATTCATATTCATCATCACGTCTTAAGCATTCAGCAACCACATCAGCCAAATCTACCACAGGCAGATCAACATTCTTCCTCTTCTCAGTAGATTTTGACATAGACTTCTTCTCCATGTACTGAATCACAAACGGTGCATTCTTAACAATGTTTTTAGGAGTGATATCCTTTCCCCAAGGCAACACCTGTGCAACTTTCACAAGTGTCTCTAGGAGCTCCTTATACCTAGTTCTACAAGTAGAAACCATAGCATGAACTTCCTTAGCCAAATCATCCATCCGAACTTCAACCCGATTCAACTCCCCAACAAAGACCAAAACCGCAACCACCAACGGAATCGGCCTCCGGCCGGTGCTCAAGAACCACTTCACCGCACACTGTATCAAAAAAATCCCCTGCTTCCGCATCGTCTCCACCGTATTCCTGTCAACCGCGGCGAAACTCGGCGAAATCTTAAGTGTCCGTTCCAATACATGCACTATATCAAACTCAGGAAAATCAGGTCTTTTCAAACCCAAGAAATCAACAACACGCAGAATCATCCTACCAAGTTCATACACATCACAACCAACAGCTGAAGCCACTTCAGCCATAGGCAAAGGGCGATCATCCTTTCGCATGACGACATAAGAACACGCGCCAATCAGCACGTGAAACCACTCGCCTTGACCAAACTCACCCTCGGTGATAGAAGATATCATGTTTCTAATATCGACACTCTTAGACGCTAACCCTAACCTAGATGTTAACTCGTCGATTGAATTCTGTGCGGAATATAGTTTCCTCTGTTTGTAAGTGTAAACGCTACCTGAACCTGCGGTTCCGATGTGGATGAAAGTTCCCTGAGGACCGTTAATGCCGCCGATTTGGGCTTCGAATTGGTCGAACTGTTGAATGGCACCGCACGTGGAGCAGAACAATTCTCCAGAGACATCGTCGCGGACGAAGGAGGTTTTGGCGCAGTTGCTGCAGGTTCGAGAGCTCGACATCAAGGTTAGGTCGCGTTAATACGACGTCGTAGAAAGGGCGGAGACGTGAGTTTTGCAGTGGCGGAAGAGAAAGGAATCCTAAGCAAAATTAAAATTTGACTTACACGTGAAATTGTTTTAGATGACAAAAATTGCAAAGTTTAGAAGATAGCCGTGGACATCACATCACACTCTCTCGTTCACACTTACTAATATCAGGGTTTGTTTGTTCATTAGCGTGCGTAATGGATTAGGATTAAAAAAAAAAATTAAGATATTTGTTTTTATAGATTTTAAAATACTATTTAGAATTGGAATAATTTTTTTAAAAAATTTCTTTAAAAAAATTTACAATCAAGATTTTATAATATTGAATTTTAAAGAATTTTAAAAGAATTTATAAAATTTTAAAAAATTATATGAATTTTTAACAAACATTCAAAATTATAAGAAAAAAAATAACAAAAAAATACAACGATATTAATCAAAAATGTAAAAGCTAATATAATTTTCTTAATCAGTAAAACTTAATATAATTTTTAACAAACATTTAAAATTACTAAGCAACAGTTTTTCACATATTTAAAATTATACTAGTCCTCCACGCATTAGCTAACTAATGTTAAATAGTTCAATCAACAACAAAAAAAGGATTGAATAAGCTAATGATTATGTAGGGGAAAAAAATAGAGCACATGCTTACCAAACAGAGCACGTATATTGTTGTCTCAAATTGAGATCAGATTCATATTTTTAGGATTTTTAATATGTATTGTTGCCGAACACGAAGAATATTAGAATTTTATGCTCATTATAATACAAACCATATACAAAAGAAGAAGGTCAACAAAGAGAATGTATACGGTATGCTTATTAGTTCAATTTCAAATTGAAGACGTAAGCATATACATATTTATCATCAACTTATAAAACTCTAGTAAAAATAATAATAATAATGAAGCACATCGTTAATCATGAAGGAGGAATACCAAAACCAGATAAATACAGATGACAAACACAACCATTAATCATGAAAGACGAAAACCAAAACCTAAGAAAATGTATGAGAGTCAAACAAGACCGTACACTCGCTTTGAGAAAAGGCTAGAGTAGATTGTGAGACACTCCAATAAAGAAATCTTAAGAAATCCTAGGGGTTAGAATAAATTGTGAGACATTGCAGTATAGAAATCTCAAGAAATATTAGGAGTTAGGGTGAGATTGTGAGCGAGGCATCCTATTTATATTTCTAACTACAAAGTCTCACAAAATTCACACCAATAGAAAATTCATTTAAATCGTCATATTTTTTTGAATACCACAAATTGTTTTTCCTTTGTTTAAAATCCTGATTGAATGAATCCCAATGAATTTGGACAGACTCTAAAATAATCTTTTAAAATTCTAATCGAATATCACGTGACTTTTTTTTTTTTTCAATCCTTTAAAATTCTAATTAAATACCAATGAATTTTTTTGTCCAAAAACAATCCAATAAAATCTCAATACAATACACCCCTAAGTGTTTGTTTGAGAGGTCTTTTTTTTAGCTTCTCTTCTCTTTATAAGCAGAAGCTAGGCCAAACAGATTTTTATAAAAGCTCTTATAATAATAAATTTTTTTAATAACTAAGAAAAAAGTTAAAAACCAAAAACTCCTAGGAGAATATAATAACTCACACCAATAAAATGAGATTTTATATTTTTTGTAATGTTTAAATAGATTAATTAGATAAGAAATCTAATCAATGAGATAAAATCACTTTTAAGATAAAAATAAAATTTCAAATTTTTTGGTAAAATACAATAATTTTACAATTATCTAAAAATTTTAAATGGCAAATTTTTTCGATAAAGTCATTGTGTCCATCCCAATGATCAGTGAGGCTGGACACACTTTCTGTTGATGCGATTTGTTTAGGTGCTTTCTTTATAGTATTCCTCAAGTGTGTTAGGCTTTTAATTTTAAGTCATTTAATCATTTTTCAAACTAACAGTTTTAAAAGTTTGAGAATGTATAACATTATAACCCATTCGTTGCTTAATCATTTAAATAATCTTTTACTGTTTCTTTCTCGATCTGACCCAACTAGTGTGCATATCCATAGATGAGTTCCATACATCAAAAACTGATCTAACAGCAGACAACAAAAAGATGAAGGTTTTCTTTCTTCCTTGTTTAGAAAAAAATGGTTAATGGTTGAAAACTGAGAACCACTCTATAGTACAATACAGGAACTGTCTTCTATTGAATGGGCAGATATATGCCTCAGATACATAAACTGGGTCAAGTAATGCTCTGTAAATTTGGTTCCAGAAAAAATTACAGGACCACAACCTATTCCCCATAAATTTCAAAAGGGTCATTCATCAACAAAAGGTCAAGTCACCTTAAATAAACCCATTTTGTAAGAATTTCAATATAGACCTATTTCAACATTGCATACCATCTGTAGCAGAATGAACCCCTCCCCCCTCCCTGCCTCAAACTGTTTCCCAATGAGAGAATGATGACATCTTCTTGCAAGCTCCATAACACAGAACAAACTGCTCTTCTTGAATCATGGTAAAAGGGGTTTCAACCAGCAATGGTAGAGAGAGAAAAATGGACATCTAACCTGACCGACCTTCCTTCCTGCCACCTAATCTAGGTAAAGGTTTTTGCTTCTGATTTAAGTTCTTAACAAGTCCCCCTTCATGCCTTGTCACAATCCTCAATGGGTGGGCTTCTGTGTTAAATACCCATTGATCTAATGGGATGACTGAAGGAGGTGAAAAGAGAAGATAGAGATACTTCAGAGTCTCTGCAAGAAAGAAGCTTTGCATCATGTTGTCTTTGACACCATTATTAACCTGAGAAGTGAGAACAAGTGATACTATATGAGTAGGCAGAATAGCAGTTAAGGATATTAAATGGTTGTTCAACATTAGACAAACACCAAAGGAAGCAAGGAAGAAAATTGGCAGATATCATAAGAGTAAGAAGCTACGGTCCATGCCAACATTTTCAGCCAAATATTCATTAAAACAAAAATAGACATGACCGGGTAGATTGTCCATGAATAGTAAAAGATCAAAAGTCCCCTGCTGACAAGTATGGTTTACATATTGCAGAACCTCCAAATTTCAGACTAGAGTACTAGACTATCACTGCAAAATAACATAACTTTCAACACCAGAGACCTATGAAACTAAGTTAAGCCTTCAATTGAGAAAAGGCACATATAGAATGCCTCGATGATCTATCAAAGTGCTTAATTCAATAAAGGCATTTCTCTGAAGAACCAGAACAAATAATTCTAACTTTTCATAGGATGTACTTAATACAAAACAATAATAATGCAAACACAAATACATTATTAAATGTGATATTGCAGTGTGCTTACATCCTTCAGTCCAACATAGCCTGACTCTATGCGGGAGTTCTTCTCAAAAGCTTGAAAAATATTCCAACCCCATTCTTGGTATGTCTTGTTGCCAGTTAGACGCCAAAGGTAAAAGAGTGACTCAACTGTCTCTGGCCTCATTATGTTCCATGATGTACCCACACTCATGTCCTGAAAATTCAAAAATAAATTTCAGATCACACAATTTTCAAATCGCACACCACAAATAAACTAATAACTAACCTGTCCAGAATGAAAGAAATAGTTCTCTCCAGCCAGTTTTGTTGGAGTTGATTGGTAGAAGTTATAACATGTCCAAGCAAGCTGCAAAGAAAGGCATATATCTTCAGTGATAACCTCATAGAGCAATCATTGCGGAATAAAATATCTATATAGGCCAGAGAAGAAATGCCCAGTGCAATTCCCTATAGGTTGTCTCACATATTGAAACATCACATTCACTGCTTCCATTCACATTAGAGAATTATTTGAATGACAATTTAATTCTTACTTATCGCTCAAGACAAGCACTCTCTTTTTACAGCTAATGATAAATTCCTTGCAACAAGAAAAGGAAACGAGTCTTCCTCAAAGGAAAACATTGATTCAACATCTACCCCTCTCGTCTTTAAAATATGCTTTAGAACTTCACATGCATGCTAATCTACCTGAGAGCAAAGTATATATATGAAATTGATGACATCATAATTTGAATCCAACCAATTTAACAATATCTAATCAGGAAAAAAATGGTTAACTTACAGTTTTTTTATATAACATATAGTAAATTGATAGGTCTCAAGACCAAAACAAGTCAGTCAATAGAACAAGAACATTAGGGTTTATTAATCCGCTATTAAAATATACCTCTTCTGCAAGATACAGAAACTTCTGTGAATCCTCAGGACCAAAATCAGATGATCCCAAAGCAATCATCCCTGGAGCAAAGCACGCCAGTTCATCCATCTGCAGGTACTCAGTTAAGTAAAAAATTATACTAACACCCCAACATCATGTGTAAATGCTAAATGTGACAATACCAGTACTGTAATGCAATATCATACTTTGTCCAAGAGAGATCCTCCGTTCTTCTCACATATATAAGTAAAAGAAGACGGTGTTGATTTCCTAATCAAACTTAACAGACCTTTCATTGATTTCTCCCACATATCTCTGTTTTCAAGATTCCGAAAAAAATGAGGAAAAAAATCAGTTTCAAATACATTAGACATTTAATTCATTAGCTTCTTATTCTAAATTAATTTGAAATAGAATATGGAAACATCTTTAACCATGAAAATTATATAGATTCCTTCATTAAACAAAGGAAGTAAAATTCCATTAGCACCATTCCAATGACAAGTGGATTCCAGCATGAACTTGTCAATACAACCCAGCCCAAAGGGCAGAGAATTTGATAAAGTAGGTGCGTTATTCTCACCTATAATGTCTTACAGATGAAGTCTTATTCCCCTGTATCCAAACTTTGAGCAAGTATTCATAAAAACTGCAATGAGATTGTGTCAATCACAACCAAGATCAAATTAACAAATACAGAGTAAGATGATTAAAGTTAAAAATATCCAGACCATATTAACAAATGCAAAAGTTTGTTATGCTTATATCACATAAAAAATGGTCATCAAATTGTGTTAATACCTGTCACCCATGGCACCAAAGGTGATAGGAGAGTATCCTGTTGTTCCACTATGAGGATTAATGTAGATAGGAAGCAATCCATCCTCAGGAAATGTTTTATTAAGCTGGGTTATTACATTCTCCACCTGACGTAGCAGGGTGTAAACCAATCAGTGAATTGCTAGAAAAATCGCCTCCACATGTAATATATAAATCACAGAGCATAAGCAGTTAACTGATGCCTTAGCTATGTGCTTAAATATACCAGTCAGGCTCCAAGTACAAAGAAGGCCCGTGGCAAAATTACAAAACCTGACATCAACTAAGCATATTTTAACAAGTAAAGGGAATGACAAAGTCTGCATATAAATACATCTGATTTTGACCAACAAAAAAGTAAACCCCCCTTTTTCCCTTAAAAAAATTTAACATATAGAATGACAGTTAAAAACCTTCTGCTGATACTTGGGGTCCCCAGTCCTTTGAGATAGAGCAATAAATTCTAGTTGTTCAGTGCCAGAATCTGCCAGAATACTCTCACCCTTGGGAAAAAATGAAGACAAAAAGGAATTAGAGACTTTAAAATGAAGTTTCTCTAGCAATTATGACCAATGAAGCCAGAGTCATGAAGGCAAAAATAGTGCTCAAGTGAAAATCAATTAATCAAAAACCCAATAGAACTAGCACAGAAAGTCTCTGATCTAAAATCAGATGTGTGAATGGCCTTTGCAATCCATAAGGTAGTGAGGTACCAAGCATGGATCGAAACAGAAAATGGATTAGATCTTGTATATTGTCCTGTATTTCTGATATCAAATGGACACCAGATGCATGCGTGTAGTTGTACAGACAAAAAAAGAAAAGAAAGATAGGCTCTGAGCAATTCGAGAGGCTCTAATTTTCTCCCAAGGTCCATATTTAATTCTCACATACCCCCAACAATTGTTACCCTTTCTCTGTTTAGCTAAACTGTCATAACTAACAGGTCTAACAACATTTTCCGCCCAAAAGCCCACTGTCCTATGGTGCATTTCAACTGGCCAAAATCCGTGCCTCTAATACATACATACCAAGCTTAAATACTAATCTTTTTGTGATGAAATAAGAAAATAGTAATTTCACGAGTCGACACTCAATCAAAAAGAGTCGTGCTTCTTTTTTCTAGCTAAACTTTCGTGTTTCTAAAAAAAGACCAAGCAAAAGCTAATTTTGAGTATACAGAGAGGCTATTCCAACACAACAAAAGCACTTCAATATTGCATCAGAACATCAAATATCTTTTATTTTTTTATTTTAAAAAAATATTATATAAGAAGCTCATAAAAAAAACCTTCCATTAAAAGATCATCGAAAACAGTCCTAAATGGCAGATTTTTAGAGATGTCAGATGTGCTCGTGCGTAGTGTAGCTCAGCAATCTCTGTTACAGAAACTGATATCTAGCTTCTGTTACTGTTAACTTGTAAGACAAGTCTGTTAGAAAGTTAGTCACACAGCTGTTGTAATCAGTTAAAAGTCAGTTACTATAGATTACAGATTAGGCTCATATAGCTGCAAGAACTCATGACTGAGCTCATCAGAATTAATGAATAACACACTCAAACTTCAGAGAAACCTCTCTGGTTTTCTCTCTGTAATTTTCCCTTAGTTTCTACCACTTTGCTCATGCTCAGATTCTTTCACAGATCCAATTTCATCAAGCTAGCAACAAATTTTGCTTGAAATCCAAAATGAAGATTAAATAATGACTTATAAGCTCAATATCCAAGCATAGAAGTTAAGACCAAGGACTAAAAACCCATGAGTGCCATATCTAAGGGTAATAAAAAGGTAACAATGATAAGTAGTTAAGATCAAGAAAGAAGACCCATGAAAGCAATATCCCAAATCTGCAAGTGTTCAGTAAGACTGAAATGCATACATAGAATCGTATAACTTACCCCAGTCCAACTAGGATTGTGTGCACGTCCATGTGACAAGTTGATGATGTTATAAGGAATTCCTGTCTGAGTATTCCATGCAGGAAGCAATTTGTCTGCAATTTCTATAGCCTTGTTGAGGAAAACTTTGTCCCCTGAAAGATCATATGCACTAAGAAGGCCACCTACTACTCTGGATTTTGGTGGGGAAATAGACCAACAAAGAGAAATATTTAAAAAAAAATAAAAAAAATTAGTTGTCCAACTCATAAGCTCAAAAATATATTTTTTAAATGGGGAAGGAACTTTAACTGCAAAGTAAACCTTATAAAGTAACCTTATGGTTGTCTCAAAAACGCTTGCTTCATAATCCTTGTTAAAATCCAGAGAGTTTGCGACCCATCTGTCAGAATAATGTCTTAATATGACAAGGGATGCAATAAAGCATAACCAAGAAGATCACAATTAAACATCAAAGGCAAAATCCCGGTACATAAGGTTTCCTGACTTGCAGGGGTAAGGGTGAGGGTCAATTTTACATAGCTTTACCCTTACATTTTTGCAAATATAATGTTTTTTATACTCGAACTCGTAACCTTCTGGTCACAGAGCAATCTTACAACTGCTCCAGGGCTTGCCCTCATCACAATTAAACATTAAACAGATGAATATAGCAAGCAACAGAAACAAATTTATGAAACTTCGATATAAGATTCAAAAAAATTTTAAGCAATAGAAAGTAAAACAGGACAATAAATATGTATCAGAAATCAAGCCTTCGGAGTAAAAGACCATCAGTATAAATGTGCCTCCAGGAGAGCATTTAAATTGGAAGAGAGAATTGGCAAATATAACTTTAGAAACAGTCTCACCACTATTGATTCCAAACAAATATAGAGATGTCATGCAAGCAAAAAATAATATGTAAAGTGCAGAATCAAAAGTTACACTCACTCTCGTGCTTTCTGAAACTGTTCATTGAGACCCATAATGTATAGTGTATCAAGAGAATCTATTAAAGTTGCTCCAAGACCTCCAAAGCTATTGACACCATTCTTTGACTGTGGCTGGTAGCACCAAAAAAATAATCATTAATTGTCAAAAGCGTAAATTTAAATAACAAAAAAATTAATTATTCTTATGCAAAAACAGACCAATAATTTACAATGCACTGTTTAAGAACATACATTTAGTACAGCAACATATTGTATGACCACCATAACCACAACAATATATTAGATCATTATGCAATGAATGCAAAAGACACATGGAGATTAGATATGGTATCAGGACAAGTTTAAAAAGTGTGTCATCCACTATCTGACTAATGGCTTCAGGGAATAATCTTTTCTTTTCTTTACTTTTTTTTTGTTTTTCACATGAATGACAGAATTGTTCAGTGTTTTTGTATGAGTGAATTAAATCCTGATCTGGCAAGACCTCCACAAGATTTACATACAGGGAAAGAAGCTAAACTTATAGCCTTACAACAGAAACTTTGGACATATCAGAAGAAGCCCACAAAGGAAAATACCTATAAAAAATATCATTAAATAAAAAGTTAAAGGTTGATTACCTGAAGTTCATCTTGGCCCCAAGCATACTTCTCATAAGATCCCCAAGCATGAAGCATTGCTTCTTTTACTTTTTCCCTTCTCTGAATATCAATAGGATCATCTGGGACCTCTTCACTGGACTTGAAAGTTTTTCCCTTCAAGTTAATCTTCCCAGCAGTACCACCTTGCGCATTTTTTAATTCTTCCAACTGAAAACAAGTCCAATTGCTTAGCCCCCAAAAGAGAAGATTAATAAAAAAAGATGTTTCATTACATAATATTACATTCATCAAATAAGAAGCCTGTGCTGTAAAACAGCCACAAGGAAAGGAGTTGCTAGCTACCAGCAAGAGGTGAGGATTTAGCTTTACATGAGATTGAATAGGGATTGAGAATTCACAGTGGAGGATTTCAATCAGTTTGAAGCAAGATTCGTGTAGGAAATGCCAAACGCATACAGGCCATCTTGTTGCTTGCGTTTGTTGATTGAGAAATAAAATGAAGTGTTTTTGGGGAACTATAGACTGGACTAAATGTAGCAGAAGAAACAACATATACTAAAGGTTAAGCATTTGATAGTTTCTTACCAAATTTTGCAAATCAGACACTTCTTTCTGCATATCGGCAATTTCGACCTGTATTTAACAGAAAACAATTACATACTGGCTGTGAAAATAAGCTATTCAAATGCCAAAAAAAGTTCAAAATATATTTCATCCTCCCTCCCTTTATAAAAAAAATTACACTGAAAATGAAAACAAAGTTGTACTTTAGAATAATGTCCATGGTAAACCCCAGTTGCGCCAAAGGAAAAAATAATTATTATCTGTCATTACTGCAATCTATAACTAACACAAATTTGGTTGTTTGGCAGGAATAAAAACGGCAGCTTTAACAGCTACTCATGATTTTGAAGAAATGATAGAAAATGAAACAAATATTATTCTCATCCTATAGTCTGATTTTTGCCACAACCTTCAATTTGAGAAATATGAAAATCCCCCAAAACGTATCCTGCTATAGTACTACTTAGCAATGATAAATCAGTACACACAGTCCTATAATATGGTACATACAAAATTCTACACGATCTTCACAAAGTAATAGACCAGAAACATAATCACGATCTCCAAACACAACACTGATTGTTGTGTGTGTGTGTATATGATTTGGAGGGACAAAACAATCAGATCCATAATCTAAGTGAAGGGAAGTACCTGGTGCTCTCGGACTAGAGTTTGACGGTCCCAAACAAGGAAAGAAACGCAAACAAAAACGATGAAGAGCAAAGCTAGACGCTTTGGACGCTTCAGGTAATAGGAGGGGTTGCAGTACCTCCATTTGCTGCTCGTCACTGATGATCTGTTACCTCTCGCCATTCCCAAACTTGGTAACCAATGAATGATCTAAGCTTTGGACTTGACTTGGGTGTAGAAACCAATGCACCCACCAACAACGTTGATCTCTCTGTTGACAAAGATATAGATCCTTGAAATCTACTTTTTTGTTTGTCCGATGTGGTTGTAGTTGTAGGATAGGAACACCACAAGAGGTTTGAGGGTTTATAGATTTTTTTTAATTTTTTTAATTTTTTTTGGCTATTAATGCAATAAAATTGCTATGGATTGAATGATGATAACAAATTAATACCAATCCGATTCTAAGTTTCAATTTGCAAACTGATCTGCATCGGATCTAATAAAGAGAGGAAGAGAAGACTTCCACTCTCCATGGAATGGGTCCCATTAAACTCAACACAAGTCAATTCCTCCAAATTCAATAATATCCAACTTAGAATATTCAACCCCCAAAAATATAAATTCATTGATATCATTCTAATTAGTAATTACTTAATGGAAAAAGTATTTCTTCAATCACTAACATAAAGTTATTTTTGATGAACAAACAAATTTTAGGGAACTCAATTACCAACTGAACTAGCTTTGAAGATTGATCTTTCTGCTTTTACTTCCTTTATATGAGTGGATCTTTTGTTTTTTATTTATTTATTTTTGGGTGTGGTATTTGTCATCTTAGGAAAGAGATAAACACAAAAAAATGAAAATCATAGGGAAAAAATGAGTGATTTTTTTAATTTAAATTTTAAATAAAAAAATATTATTTTGTGTCTATCTCTCTCTTAAAATGATATAACTTTATATTATTTAAAATAACAAATACTTTTCTCTTTATTTTTATGTTATAAAATTGAAAAATGAACTTATTGTCTTGTTCCCTAATAGTAATACAACCCAATTGGCATAAGGAGGACTAGGAAACACTTAAATAATACGTGAGAATGGGACTGAACACATGTGATTGCTGTAATGGATCAACGTTAATTGGTTATATAAATAAAGAAAAATAATTTTTTTATATCGTAGGAAAATAGTTATTTTATATTGTAGAAAAAAGATTGCAACTAAGACCTATAAGTAAGAAGAGAGAAAAAAAAAAGTGAGACTCATTCATCTTTTATGTATGTAAAAAATTTAGTTATATCATGCAAAATGAAATAAATATAACCATAAACAAAAGAGTTATTATAAAATCTGTTGTTTTCTAATTCAATTGTAAGTTGGTTACAGTTTCCTTATTTCTCTCTCTTTTTCTTCATCTGTTCTTGTTCATTCATAATCACATCAAGTGGTATCAAAGTCATTTTTCTTTCTCAATCCGTTCATCCGTAATTAAACTATTTTCTCTGTTCTCCATGAAAGTCACTTTTTTTTTTTTTGATACATGCCATGTAAGTCACTTTCAAACCTAGAGTTAGAACAACTTGAAGAATTAATATATAGGTTAAACACATGAAATATATCAACGCAATCTTGTGCGTCGTATTCCAATCAACCATTCGCAAATTCAATGCTAATTTCCTTGTCATGCCACTCAAGTCATTAATGGTTATCAACCTTAGAATAGGTCTCTTGGAGGGACAACAAATTAACATCATAGAAGAGTAAAGAGTTATCTACCAAGTTATTTATTGCAGTTTCAACTTTTAAGTATTAATGTACGTAAACGAGACATAAAGATCCTAGAAGCTTGATCTTCCACGAGTCTAGAATTCAGGAAAGATATAGATATGGTTGTGCATAATTCAAGAAGGATTAAGAAACATGTGATGTGAATAAACATATGTGAACACTGTACCGGAGGAAGATTAGCAATAAGAAAGGTTGTGGTGAAATTGGTTACCAATCTTATAACTTACTATCTCACGTTCTTCTCTCCTCCTCATCTTCGTTTGTTTAATAGAAAATGTCATACCTGATGAATTTAAGCAGAGTGAATTGAGTTTATAAGAGTTTTTGATTTAAAAAGGAAAATATATTTCTCCTTTTAAATTATATACTTTTGTGTCATTTTAGATGAATCCACATTATTTTGATGCATAATTGATAATTTTTTACATTTTCTATCCTCCGTAAAACGATATTATTTTATCTAAAATAACACAAAATTGAAACCTATATTAAAATTTTCTAAAACTAATAGCATCAAATTATTAAATTAATTCACATATAACTTCAATATGTTTCTTATCATTAAAATCTTTCTAGACGTGGGACTTAACACAAAGTGAGGTTATAAATCTGAGTAGTTTTTTAGGGCATCACTCTACCTTTATTGTTGTTCTTGTTGCTCAAAACGTAAACAAAGCATAATTTTTTTTCTTTGGTCTATAAAAACGCAGAAATATATCAAATCCCATCGAAGTTTTGTAGATGTGCTTATACTTATACATTTATACGACATCAGTTATATAATTTTAGAGGAATATCTTTATCATGAGATAAATTATTTAATATAATACATAAAAAAGAGTGAAATCCACCACAAAAATAAGAGAGAGAAAGTGAACCCCAACTATTTTGTGTGTATTGTATGAGATAATTTCTTCCATATAATATGAGAAACATAGGATCTGTTTGGATGAGTTTTTTAAAAAATAACTTTTTATGTATTGTTTTTTTAAAATAACTTTTTTTAAAAGGTAAAGTTTTTTTACGTTTGGATGTATGATCTGAAAATCACTTTTACATATGATAGAATAAAGAGAGATAAAATAAGTATGATAGGATAAGATTACAATTGTATTTTAAAAATTTAAATTATTTTTTACCGAAAAAAATAATTTATATTATCTTTTTGTTTCTGCTTTTTTCAAAAGCAACCAACTATTGGCTATAAAAAAAAAAGCAACATTTTAACTTTTATTTTAAATTTTTCTTTTTTAAAAAATTATTATCCAAACATCTAAAAATTCTCAAAAGGACTTTTATTTTAAAAAAAACAACTCTTTTAGGAATAAAAGCCCATCCAAACGGACACATATGTTCCATAAGGGAAAAATATTTGTCCTTTTAAAATATATAACGTTGTGTCATTTTAGATTCTAACAGTTGATTTCGTCAATCAACGGTTAAGATTTATTGGATCAAACTTATTAATAATTAGTAATTCGCAATAAAACCTAATAAATCTTAACCATTGATTGACGGAAATAAATAGTTAGGATATAAAATGACATAAAATTATATACTTTAAAAAACAAACATTTTTCCCTTTCTATAATTCTACAGGAAAACTTAATTAATTTTTTTTGATAATATTTCGTGCAACCAAATAATTTTTTTTCAATTTTACCAGTAAATTTACTTTCACACCATTTCTTTAATAATTGTATTTACTTGGTTAAAAAAAATTTCTCTTGTACCAAACACCCCTAGAAGCCTTAGGATAATAATAATTGCTTGGAAACAAGATGCTAAAGATACATAAGCCATGGCACAAGGGTACTTTATTATTTGTTCCCAAACAAATAGAATATCTCATCACTTTTATTAGCAAATTATATCAATATTAATACAGCATATTTCATCAAAATCCTTGTGTTTGAAAATACAATTGGAAAAGGGTGCAACATATTGAAGCCTTCCAAAATATTTGTTAGAGCGCATGAGTTGATGGTCCGTTTCTTGGAATGCCTGAATAGCTATTAACAAAATATTTTCAAACAATAAACTTTATGTCATTTTGCATTTGTGGCCATTTTCAACCGAGCACAGCACCCCACGACAATTCTTTATTTTTTAAGATCACCATGAGTGTGGGACTGTGGGACTAAATGACACGCTCGTATACTTGGATACGGTCATGAATGATTTTAGTGAATTTTAAACTTTTTATATAGCAAAATTTCTCTACATAAAATTTACTTTATTAGGTAAAACACGTCTAATAATTATCCCGTGATTTATCAATTAATCAACTACAACATCAATATAGCTAGGTTGACGTTGATGTTATCAATTGATCTAGTGAGGTTTTGTGAAAAAAGTCCTTAAATAATAATTCTCAATTTGTTATCATACATCATTGGTAAAAAAAAAATCGTTATTATGTGTCTCCTATTTTGGGTTAAAAAATAGGATGTGTTTGATCATGTTTTGATTTCTTTTTTGAAAAAAACTGTTTTGTAAAATAGTTAATGAAATAATTTTTTTTTATATTTTTTAAAAAAATTAAAAGTCAAAACATAAAATAAAAATAACTCGGATTTATTATCTAAATTTAATTTTAAAAATAAAAATTTGTTACAACTTTTTAAAATTTCTTTTATAGAACATATCTTATCAAACAATTTTTTTTATTTTAAAAATTAAAAAATTATTTTTTGTAACAGATTTCAAACGAGTCCATATTTGTTCTCAGCATATATTATGGGTACAGTTGAAAAAAAAAACAACCATAAATGATAAACTGCTTTAACTGAAATAAAAATAAAATAAAATAATGTTTTCAGTTAAATGTAAACATAAAAAATAATATTTTTAGTGTGAGACTTAGATGTAATGATGAATTTGTTTTTGGGTTTGTGAATTTTCTTTTTTGGACTTGGAACAATGTACTGTGTTGTGTCCCCTTGTCCCTGATCTCATTCCTCATCGCTTTTCATTACCTTCCCACCCCAACGCCAAGAGCTTCTCATTCCCATATCAGACAACACATTTTGCCCTCTTTACTCTCTCTTCATCTTCACTTCCCTCTCTATTTCGAACGTCCTGTGCCTCCTCGTGCTTCTGGGTTCTTCCACAGATCCTGCAATTGCCTTGCCCGTTGGTTGGTTCTTCTCCTTAAAAATGCTTTCTTTTTCACCCCCCACCCCCCAATCATCTTTAATAGTTTTCAATGATATCTTTTGTGACTATTCATATCCTAACATCTTGGGTGTTTTGTTTTTTTTCCTTTCTTATTATTGTTTGTGATTCAAAAGTATTCCTTTACCTGAGGGATTCATAAAAAGTATGTAATTTCATTGAAATGTTTTTGGTACCGCTAGTTTTGGCTTTGTTTTCCAACATCTTCTTGTCCTGTGTGTTGCAAAATCTTCCTGTATTTTTGTCTAGTCTGTGGAGGGAGGTTTTCCTTGCTGCTAGAATGGGATAGTTTTACTTCTTCTTTTTTTGTTACCATGTGTTTGTGCTAGTTTCTTTCAGCACCCACTAGTGGATACTTGCCTGTACTTTGATTGGAATGGGATATTATAGTTTACACTATCCTTTACTATGATACTTTACTAGCTATCTCAATGCACTTTCCTGATTGTAAGTGTAGTTTGGTTTGCTATGAGAAAATCAAGCTCTCCGTAGTACATAGTTAACAACTTGGTTATTTTTCATCTGTTATTTTTACTCTTAGTTTTATTGAGCTGTCTTTAATCATCCTTTTGCTATTACCAAAGGTGTTTTTGGCTCTTCCTGTACCATGGATGGTATTCATGGGGGTGACTCTCGGATACACATTAGTGATGGACAACATCCTCTACCTCTGTCATACGTGCGAGAACATGAGCATCACGGATTGCACCATATGAGCAATGGGAATGGGATTGACGATGATCAGAATAATGGAGGTGATACTAACTGTGGTGGAAGTGAGAGTGTGGAAGGTGAAGTCCCATCCAACAATGGAAATCTCCCTGACAATCACGCTGTAATAATGGATCAAGGGAGTGATGGTGGGGATCAGCTTACATTGTCTTTTCAGGGCCAGGTTTATGTCTTTGACTCTGTTTCGCCAGAAAAGGTGCATCAACTTATCTCAGCTTTTTTCCATTTGTATTGACATGACATTGCCCCTCGTGTCTCTAATCTATTGTGCATGATTCAGGCTTTGTTTGACAATACTTTGTTGAAAATATTAATTTCCAGTAGATTACTTCAAGTATAATCAGCTTAATGACTCCAAGAAGGTTGTACTTGTGAGGCCAACAAAAGAAAGTTTTTTTGTTGTTATTAATATGAGTATATCATTTATGCATGTTTAGTTTTTCTTTTCTTTTCTTTTCTTTTTTTGGTGGTCACTTTTATTGATTACTTGGATCAAACAAGAAATTTTGACTAATTATTTTCTTCTAACCCCTCCCCCAGGTATATAGACTTGTATTATCTCAATTTTCAATGCTTTTCGTGTGGAAAATTTATCATAATATGCAGTTTAACAAGCTTTTTTGTATGTGTTATAGTATGATTGTAAAGATGGCTTTAATCTATGATAATTAATGATTTGATCTATTATTAATCAAGTTATGGACTACTGCCTACATGGGGTTTGATTCACTGAAGAAAATAATACCTGAAAATCCTAGGGTGAATTTGCAGGTTCAAGCTGTACTACTATTACTGGGAGGCCGTGAAATACCTCCAACTATGCCTACCATCCCAATATCTCCTCACCAGAATAACCGGGTATTACTACATTATTTGGTTGAACTATGATTGATTGTCTTTTGCTAGTCAAATATCTGGCTCATGAAGTATGTTATTAGGGATTTACTGGAACACCACAAAAATTCAGCGTCCCCCAGAGGTTAGCTTCATTGATTAGATTTCGTGAGAAGCGGAAGGAACGGAATTTTGACAAAAAAATTCGTTATACTGTTCGTAAAGAAGTAGCATTAAGGTATAGTGCTTATTATGATTTTCTTAGATTACGATTACATGGAATATTTGTTTGTATTGAAACCATAACTTCTCTGTACTCAATTTATGTTTTGTAAATGCTTTGTGTTATTGGTAACAGTAAAAGGATGTAAAACAGAACATAGTGGCGAGTTACTTGAAGGGTCTGCAATAATCTAGATTTGCTTGTTAAAGCCTCCTCATTGTAGCTTTTGGGAGATCGTTTCTAAAGTCTTCCAAAATCCATGATCCATTCTACTTGCTTTATTAGGTTGTCTTCAGTCTTTCATATTTGTCAAGGGCAAGAATCTATTTCTTTGAGAAGACCATTAAAAGTATAACTGATAGAGAGTATCTATGGAGTTCCTTAAGCCCACAAAATATGGTATAACAGCAAATTTAAATTGGGAACTTGATGAATATTTGACACTCCAATGGAGTTCCATCTTATCTCTGTCTGGAATATATGCCATCTATCATCTTATACCTCTAGCTTTCTTAAAGCAATGTAATATGCTGTGAATATATGATATATGGCAAGTTTCTATGCTGATGTATGTTTACTTTATCATATAAATATATTCCTAAATCCGCATACTGATCGACAATGTTATTTTGTTATATTTGCACCACATGCTTACGAATACAGTTGACATATGTAGGATGCAAAGAAATAAAGGTCAGTTTACATCTTCCAAGTCCAATCTTGATGAATCTGCATCAGCTGCAACAAATTGGGGGACGAATGAAGGGTGGGTTTCAGACAATAATGGATCCCAACAGCAAGATGTTGTGTAAGTTGACTGATTCATTCTAGAACAAGAGGGGGGAAAAATGAATGAGTATTCTGGATGTTACAATCGAATTTATGGCTCAAAATGAAAGCCTTTAGTCCACATTCTATTTGTGGAGTTTTGACCCTATCTTTAATTTGTCTTGTATATCACTTAATAAATGGTTTTTTCTTTCAATTTATGTTAGTTGTAGGCACTGTGGCACCAGTGAGAAGTGCACACCAATGATGCGACGTGGACCGGAAGGGCCAAGAACCCTCTGCAATGCTTGTGGACTTATGTGGGCAAATAAGGTACACGGGAATCATGTTTATTTGTCGTGTCCGTTGCAATCTTTTTGTTTATTCTTTATTCTATAATTAAATATTAATGTCTGAAAACAATGGGAAAGGTACATTGCTGTGGTTCATTTCCTTCCAATTTATTATTAATTAACAATTAATTATTGAGGTATGCGTATACTAATGTGGTGTCAATTATTTGATATATGTTGCAATATATGTATTGACTATAATGGTGATTGCAGAGGTTACATCCTACATCATGAAGTGCTCAGCTGGTCATGTAATGACATGCTATTACTATGTAGACATGTTTCATCTAGTTATTAAATAACCTATGAATAAACTGCAGCACTGAATTAAGGGGATTACAGTCTTTTGTTTAAAGGAATGCTATGAGCGTTTTTTTTTTTTTCCATTAACTCCAACATGTATTGCATTGTGTATATTATAAATCACTGACATTAATTTAGGTAACTTACAACATGTGAACCTATGAGTGGAACTCCTCGCATAAAATAAAAAGCTTTGAGAAGAAAACAAAAATAATACCATACAAGCCAAGTACTTAATCTCATGTTTAGATTGGACCCAACTGAATGGTTTGACAATCTGTCCGAGTTAGCTGGAAAGAGACCAGCGCAGATTATCGATGTCCTTATATATAGACCATGATTTATCAGTTCAAACACTGTTTTAATCCGGTTTTAGGGAAAATATAAAAGATCAATTATAATTGTTGGCTCTTAGGCGGTTTAACTTATTCTTATATCTGACAAAAATACATTTGAAGAAAATTACAGCACAATCACTAAGTTCCTTTTAAAATATCCAATTCTGGTTTCTGGATATGGAAAAGATGTTTCATCTTTCAAATCAATTTAAATTCAGTAGGATATGTATGTTGCACTCGTTCCTTTAAAATATCACTTAAGTTTCTTTTTTTATTTTAAGTACTATCACGTTGTACTTTTCAGCAAATTTTTGTGCCTTATTTTGATTTAGTTCGTTGACATGTTTCACATTTTCTGAACACAGGGTACTCTGAGGGACCTATCAAAGGCAGCACCTTTGCCAGGACATAATTCGACATTAAACAAGAATGAGGTCAGAAACCATGCATGCATTAAATTTATGATGATGTTTCTTTTCTAAACTTGGAAACTTAGATCTTCTAAAGGAACTTAATTTTTCCATTCATTGAATATTTTTCAGAATAAAAATTTAGAGGCCAACCAAATAGTGCTCAGAGTGGCAGGAGATGCTGATGATTCATCATGATAGACTTGTTCTATCTTTGTCCGAATGGAGAGCAATTCTATGAAATAAGGGTGAGAGAAGAGTTACTGACCCTAGATGTGAAATTATAGAAGAGCTGGTTTCCACTGCGTTTTTTTGCTGAAAATGTTTAAATGAGCTTTCTGTAATGTATTTTGATTTATATATTAGCAAAAAAGTCATGTATTATTGTCCCGTGACACAGCTAGTTCTTTTTGGAGATTTTGATTTATTTTGGGTGGCTGAACAGCTCCAATGCACTCCCTGATGTTGTATTGTGTTTGAGCAGTACAGTTATAGTTTTAAAAAATGGGTCCCTATTTGTTGAAATAATGAAACAACTCAAAACTGGGAACTCGGTCCAAGTTTTTTGGGGACAATGATCCATATTCCATACCATGTAAAAATGCATGCTGATCAACAGGCATTGAGAGAAGAGCTGAATGGTCAATCTCACGAGGAAGCCCAACTTGGCCAGAGGACATCAAGTGATTTCTTGGCCTGAATAAATGACATTAATGAGGTGGTAAGGCGGGTAATTCGACTCGTCCTGTCCTCTTTCAACATCAACATCAAAAACACCTTTATCCCAAATTAATTGGGGTCGGTGGTAGATGAATCCACATGAAAGATACAAAACGGTTGAAAAAAAGTAAAAAAAAAAAAGCAAAAAATAAATAAATAAAAATAAACAAATAGAATAAAAGAAGTGGCTTAAAATGATGTACAACCTGATTTTCAAAAAGTGGGTTGAAATCAAAAGTGGGTTGAAAATCTTAACTTGTTGTCGGCCAATATATTATAAAAGTAAATTTTTTCAAATCCTATAAGTGTTAAAGGAATCAAATGAAGACTACATAGCTCCAAAAGAAGTCATTGGTTAATAATTCAAAAAAAAATAATAAAATAAATAATCCAATGGCTCAACCCATCTCGCAACAGATTGAATCTATTTTGACCTGCTCTTATATATGATGGGTTCAAATAGAGAATTTTTAAAGTGGGTTGAAAATTTCAGCCTGTCTCATCTTGCCAACATATTAAAAAAGTAAATTTTTTTTCAAAATTGTATTTCCCATGTATGTTAAAGCTATCAAATGGAGACAAAAAAAAGTACAAAAAAATGTCATTAATATTTTTTAAAAGATAAATTAATAAAAAATAATCTAAGGGGTCAACCTATCCCGTGATAGCGTGATGAGTTGAATCTTTTTTGATTCAATGTTTTACAGGCCAGTTCAATCGAGTTGACGGATAGAATTTTCACCATTTATGGGAGGTTGAACACGTCTGAACTGTTGTTATAAGAGAACCTCGTATGTAACTCCAGGGATTGTGAGAATCATTATAGGGGTGTCCTTGACAATAATGGTATAGACCAAGGCTATGCAAAGTGTTCCTAAGTGCTATGTATAACAATGAGGGTTGGTGTTAAATGGCTCTCCAAGTTGACAAAGTAATAAATTATAAAAGTAGTGATATTGTGTGTGTTCATGGTGAAGGAGGAGAGAGTATTTATAGTTAGGGTTAAGCTCTATTTTGATGGGGGAGTCAACTAAGTCAACTATTGTGGTGAAGAGCCATAACAGCCTGACATTACAAGGGCAAAGCACTTTACAGCCGCTATCAGCACTACAGCGGTTGCTGTGCAGAGCAAAGCATAGAAAGGGGGAAACATTTTGGTTCCATGCAGACAAAGGGGAGAGAAGGACATCCCAAGTAAGACATTTTGATCTCTAACATTGAAAAATTTGCTATCTAGGCGTTGATATGATAGCACGGGTTGGTGCAGCTAGGACAGTATGGGCTCTTTAATATTGGGTTGACTATATTGGACAGTCAATTAGGCTGGCAAGAACAATGTCAATCTAAGGTATTAATCCGTTTTTGCAATCTCTAATCACAAAAGCAATGCAGACCCTCTTACTCTAAACTCAGTCTAAAGTAAATAAATAAATTCATAATTCCAAAGTCAATCTTCAATTCACTTTGTTACGGTGCCAACCCAAATCCGATGAAAGCAAAGATTGAAGCTTCTTTAACTCGGTTCAAATTTTGAATACATTTCTTAAGTGTCACCTATGCTCAGCCCGTGTAAGTTTACGGATTAATTGATTGCGGTTGTCATTTATCACCTATTAACCCAATTTCATTGGCTTTTTTAGTGACATTTTATTGATTTGTTGATGTTTGTAGCATTTGAAGACTGATCGAAGACGTCCACAAAACGGAATTCAATTACACAGTTGGACTCGGAGGCAAACTACAAAGTGTCAACGCCTTGCATCTTGACACAATCCATTGCATAATATTTCAACCAAAATGAGAGCACCATGGTGTGAGAAAAGCTAGCTCTATGGAATATGTTGCCATAAGCGCTATAAGTTATTCATTGCATAATAAACAATATTTCAAGAGGCAATTTGCGAGGTCTAAATTTGGGTTTTGAATGTGAAAACTATGTGAAACCCGATTCCAATTCTTCAATCGTTCTTAGAACAGCAGGCAGAACTACGTTAATATGTTATGCTGTAGGCGGCCAAGGCCCAAGGCCACTTGAAGTTTTTTAAACTTATCTTAATAAATTGTTATTATTTTTATGATATAATTTTTTTTTAGGGAAATATTACTCTCCTTTTGCATAAGATTACTTCTCTCCTACTCTCTCACTTCGATTTCCGCACCTCACCTTTTTCTTTTTTTTCTTTTTTCTTGTAATGGTGGGACCCACCCATTTTATCTCTACAACATAAGATACCTATCTTATGTTGAAGGAGAATAATAAAACCCTTTTTTTTAACCCTCTTAGGTTATTTTGCACCTCAATATTTTTTTATTATTATTATTTACAGTCAAATCAACGCGAATTGACTCATTCAATTCATATTTCATTTATGATATTTGTATGGTTGAGTTGTCAATAGAAATTGATTTATCTTGTTGACCTTTGTATATTTATGACAATTGTATGCTACGGGTTCGAATCCTTTTTTTCTTTTTTTGTTATTAGACGAATTATATAATCTCGTTACAAATTATTGTTGATATTGATGTTTTCGTTTAGGCTAAAAATGGAGAGATCATCTATTCAAAAACGAACTTTTGAACCAAATAAGGAGCATCTCTTCAAAACGAACTTTTGAACCAAATAAAGAGACATTAGGCATATATATATATTATATATATATATATATATATATATATATATATATATATATATATATATATATATAGGGATATAATCAACTTACACCAGTGTAAAAATAATAAATCTTACACCAAATTTTAACCGTTGATTTCTGTGCATCTAACGGTTGAGATTTATTGAGAATTAAAAATTAATTAATGAGTGAGACCTAATAAATCTCAACCGTTAGATGCAGAAAATTAATGGTTAAGATTTGGTGTAAGACTTATTATTCTTACACCGGGGGTAAGATGATCTTGCCCCATATATATATATGAGATATGATCAACTTACACCTGTGTAAGAATAATAAATCTTACACCAAAACTTAACCATTGATTTCCGTGCATCCAACGATTGAGATTTATTGGGAATTAAAAATTAATTAATGAGTGAGACCTAATAAATCTTAACCGTTAGATGCAGAAAATCAATGGTTAAGATTTGGTGTATGACTTATTATTCTTACAACGGTGTAAGATGATCCTGCCCCCATATATATATATATATATATGGGCTTATCGTTTCTCAAGTTGCTTGAGATAATCTTATCTCCAGCTGGTAAATCATAACCGTACAAAGATAGATCAATAGTGATAAAGGAAGAGAGAGAAAAAGGGAATCATAATCATTCAAAGGTGAATCAATTAATATAAGGAAATAAATAAATAAAACGGCGTAGTGTTAGGGTAACCGGAGATAAACTTATCTCAAGCTGCTCGAGAAATATTTTTCCATATATATATATATATATATATAGGCTTATGAACCAAATAAACATATTTGAACCACACGAGACTTAAGCATAGACTTGGTAAACAAATCAGGGGTCTTTGATTTGGCTCGTGAAGACCTGAGTTTATATATCTAAAATTGAATGTTGAAATTAAGCTTGGACTTATATAAAAGTTGTTTAATAACAAGATCTCAGGCTCCAATTCAAAAGCTCGGCCCTTAAGTCTAGCCTAGTATATTAATTTTTATTTTATATTTTTTATGGGATAGGATATTGTGACAACCAAATAATGTTATTAGTTATTACCACATCTTAACCGTTGATTTCCGTCAATCAATAGTTATTATTTATTGCGAATTAATAATTAATTAACGAGTATGATTTGAAAAATGATAACCGTTGATTTCCGCAAAAAATGATAACCGTTGATTTCCGCCAATCAACGGTTAAGATGTGGTAGTAACATTGGTAGTAACATTATTTGGTTGTCACAATATCCTATCCCATTTTTTATACTACTCATAATAGTTCCCATCTCTCTCCTCAATCAATTTTATTGGTTAAACAGACTTTCTGAATAATTTTGTTCTATATTATGCTGTTTGGATATAAATTGAATTTATGAATATTCGTGGAATTATTAGTGTTGTTTATCATATATTCTATTTTTATAAATTTTTGTTATCTTATTTTGTTTTAACAAACTAAATCAGATTTTTATTTTTTATAAATAAGTCAGGTCACATGTTGATAATTATATGGAAAAAATGTTTCTGCAGTTACTGCAGATAAGTTATCTGCATTTTTTCCAAAACGGCGTTGTTTTGGTTTTGAAATCTTAAAAATTTATAAATATAAAGACTGTTATAACCCTAAAATAAATTAAAATTACAAAAATACCATGATTTCCGCCCCAAAACGATATCGTATTGGACTTACTGCAGATAACTTATCTGCAGTAACTGCAGAAAAACGAACCCTAATTATATTCATAATAGATAATAAGTTAGATGAGACTGACACATTTAAATATATTTAAACACAGAGTTAATCTTTCAATACCAAAATCCAGCTTGTCTCGACCCATTATGAACTCTACTTGAGCGCGTACATAAGGGACAGAAATTACATGAGCATTTGATAGTACTTCCAACAAATAGACGACATTCTTTTTATTAAAGTAATTTCATTCTCGGTCATAATAACTTGTAGCTTTACTTTGTTGAACGATTAGATTGATCGCGAAGGGAGGAGCGCAAGAGAAACATGATTTGATTTTGTGGTTGTTATTGACAGCCTCCAAAGATGGCGCTACACCTACACCAAGCATTAGTAACATATTCATATTCATATGAATCAAGTGCCCCCACTCCCCACTAGTACATCCTTGCACCTTCCCATAGCCACTAAAATCATTCAGCAACGCATCATCATTCATCGTTCGGCACCTTCGCAACCTTGCTGAATGACACTTGCACAACCTTCAATATTCAGCCATTTTTTATTTTTATTTTTATTTTTTTCACCATCTTAATAATTACGACGGATCTCGCATAGTTAAAGAAGCCCAAAATGTAAAAGAAATAAGGAAAAAAATAATGCATCCCATGCTAAAAACTTCCTAAACCCTAAACCCAAATTCAATTCTTATTAAATATATCTTTAAAAAGGATGAAGAGTTAAATGACTAAACCCGAGCCTCAAATACATAATTAAGGTGGGTATATTTAAAAAAGAAAAGAAAAGAAAAAGCTTACAAATAAATATATCGATCGACACTATGGGGGTGTTTGGTTGAGAAATTTTTTTTGGAATAGTAGAGAAATGTAATAGATAGAGAAATGATTGGAAAGATAGATAAAGTGAGATAGGTAAAAAAATGTAAAAAAAAGTTGTTTGATAGAAAAAAACTTTACTGAGAAAAGTAGGTAACTTTATGAAATCAACAGTGCATCAAAAGCCAGATAATCGGTTTTCAGAAAAATCCCACCTTCAAATTGGGTTTCTAACCAGTGTGAATATCTATGTTTCTCATAAATCCATACAAATTGAATAGATGAGTTTTTGGTGAAAATACGTTGAAACAAACATGATATTTCTAAAAACCATACTTGAAAAACATAGATATCCGTTGAAAAGCTCCCAACCAAACACCACCTGTACATGTAGTATCGCGGGAAAAGCATTGCTTTATTGGGCGGTAATTATCTCTCCACTCCATTCTGTGGTTCCCGTAGCTTCCTTATTTAGTATGTCCTTCCACATCTTGTCACCTCCTCTATGAACGGTGATGCAGCCCAATATCTCTTTACCCTTCTTACGCAACCATAGCTTTTTTTTTTCTTTCCAAATTCAAGTTTTGAACTTTTAATTTATAGAAAAAACTTTTTTAGAATATCTTTTTTTTACACATTATATATATATATATATACATACATACACCAATTTATATTTATATTATTTATATTATTTAATTATGATTGATTCTACTAAATTATATGTATTTTCACATCCAAATGCACGAACTTGTAATTGGCATTAATATTTTATAAAATTTATGTAATGAGAAAAAAAATAATTACATATAAAATATTTTTATTCACATTTCATTATAAAAATAAAAAATAAATTATGAAACAAAACTTTTTAAATGGGTGAGTAGCTAATTAATTAATGAGTTTGATTCCATTATAGATTTTTTGAACTGGATATAAAAATAGAGAAAGTTTATATTTACAACCTGTCGTTGATATATCTTAATCGTTAATTTTTGTCAATTAATGATTATTATTCATTGTGAAATAATAATTAATTAATAAATTTAATTTGTGAAAATAATAATCATTAATTAAAAAAATTAATAATTATAATATAATTAAAAGAGGTTGTAAATGAAAATAAGTGTAAGTATAACTTTTTTTATAAAAATAACATATTTTCGAATTTATTTTTCTAAAAGAATGATTTGACATTTCTTAAATCAAATCCTCCTCCACAAAGGTCCAAAATCGGTGGAAGTGATCATGTTGATGAGATTCGCTGCATGGTTGAAATAATGAGGAGGAAGCTGAATGGTGCCACGCGGAGGACAGCACTCGATGGATACAACTCTTGGTGGAGATTGCTTCTGTTGTGAACTTGTGACGTGCGACTCATTCCTCACTCACTCGTCAGATATTTATTTTTGCACCTCCCTGATCCCTCTAACCAACGAACGCTTCCATATTCTCAAAACATATTACACCGTCAATCTTTTTGTTATACATTTATTATACATATCAAATATAAGAATCTGTATCAAGAACTAAATATTATAACATCAAATCTGATACCCCGCAACTGTTTATTTATTGAATATTGATCATGACTGTTTAAGAATTATTTAGTGATGAGCAGTGTAAAAATAATTTGCTTGAAGTTATAGATTTAAACTTAAATATTATTATATATAAAAAAAAACTCGAGATTTACAATTAGGAGGTGTTTGGCTCACGGCTTTTTAGAGTTTTCCTATGCAAATGTCAAGAGGATTCTTGAAATGGTACGTTTGGTTTAGTGTGTTTTACTCAGAAAGCCATCGATCTAAGTTGCATGGTTTCTACATTTTGGCACCGAATCACAGCTTTATGTAGTGTTGAGAAACCGAATTGGGAGGTGGGTTTTTGGAAAAAACTGGTTAAACAACTATTCATTAAATTGCTTGGCACCCATTATACCCTCTGATTGTATGGTCAACAGCATGCCACCGAAATAAAATCTTTAAAATCAGGGTTATTTTGGTATTTAAGATTATTTTTCCATCTATATCTTACCTCCCACCAAACATACATTTTCTAAAAGTTACTTAATTTTTTTAATAAAGTTTTTCCTCACCAAACTACTTTTTTCAACATTTCACTATCTATCTCACTTTATCTCACTTTCTTACCATTTCCCTATCAATTCTATTTACCTAGTATTCAAAAAAATTTCCCTCAGCCAAACGCCCCCTTATAAAAATATTTAAAGGTGCCCGGGATAAAAAACAAAATAAAACAAAATAGAAACAATGACACATGCTTTCTAGAAGAAAGATATATTAAATAACAAATTCGAGAGAGACGAGGTTTAGAATGGAATGGGCTAAAAAAAGGCACCAGAAAGATAAGTGGCAAGTGACAAGTCTTCGTTTAGACTTTAGTCGATCAGTTCAATAATCGATAATTTTAATAAAAAAAACCAATAGTTAATAAAATAATCAATCGGTCAAAATAATGTATCATGGGAATAGATAAACATTAAACAGTGATTACATTAATATTATGGGACTTGTGAAGTTTTATATATAATAACTAATAAGTGGCGACGCCACACATAAATATTTTTATAACTTATAAGAAAAGTTGTTGTGTGATATATGTATGGTGTTTAATTTAGCATCGCTGCATGCCCAGGTGAGTAGCTCACGTTATAGCCACAATAAAACTATAACAAAATAAATGCACATATCGAAAAACAAAAGGCGTGGCTTTGCTTGTCTCCCTTATTTAAAATGTGGTACGGTTAAGTTGAGTGGTATAAATAAAGAGTCTCATGTCATGAGTTACACAAATTTATATATAAATAATAATATTCATTCATTCTGTTTAAGCAATCTTTCTGAGCCTTGACCTTCTTTTGAAATCTCAACTTCACGACACAACAGAATCTTTTTGTTTTTCGAAATCAACATTCATATGAAGATGAAGGTTAGGGTTTGCGAGCTTTGCGATCAACAAGCTTCCCTCTATTGCCCCTCCGATTCAGCTTTTCTCTGCTGGAACTGCGACGACACCGTTCATCGCGCTAACTTCCTCGTAGCTCGCCACCTCCGCCACCTCCTCTGCTCCGAATGCAACCGTTTCGCCCAAACTCACATCGCCGGCGCTACACCTCCCTGCCTCGCACCAACCTGCCGCTCTTGCTCGCCGGAGAATCCTTCCGACGATGCCCCTTCTTCGTCTTCTTCATCTGCTTCCGTTTCCAGTTCCGAGTCTTGCGCTGCGGCTCCGAAGGAGATTAAGGTTAAGCGCCGCGCGAAGGCGGGGAGGGTGATGAGTTGTTCGAGTTCCGTGACCGACGATGGATCTCCGGCGGCGAAGAAGAGGCGGAGAAATGTTGAGTCGGTGGCGGTGGCGGTGGCGGAGTCGGAGGAGGTGTTTGTGAAATGGAGCAGAGAGTTAGGGTTAGAGTTAGGTGTGAACGGTAATCGCGTGGCGTCGCGTGCTCTGGGTTTGTGCGTTGGTGTTCCGTTAAGGGTTGCTGCTGCGACGTCGTTTTGGTTGGGCCTCAGATTTTGTGGGGACGAGTCACTCGCCACGTTTCAGAATCTGTCGAGGTTGGAGGCAATATCAGGGGTGCCAGCTAAGCTCATTGTGGCCGCACATGCCAAGCTCGCACGTGTCTTCACACACCGTTTCCAATTACAAGAAGGATCGGACGAGTCCTAACCTAAAATCTACGAGCCTAGCTAGCTTCCTATTAATCAATATAAAAAAACTAGAGTTTATTTTATTGTATTTTATTTTGTTGGGATTAACGTGTAACAATTTAACGTTGTTTTGCATTGCCGCTGTTATTAATGCCCTTATAGAAACTTAGATTCAGTTACATAGCTAAAAGTAAAATCGCCAAAAGACCAAAGATTTACGCTTTTATCTGTGGGGTAAGAAAAATGAACCCAAAATGTCTAACATGGGGTCATGATAATTGATCATGCATTTAATCTATATGCTGTTTCATGACTATGTCGTCCACCTCTGATTTCGAAATAAATTTAATCCTTGCGAACCATTCATTTTGCTTATGCCTGCACGTGTCTAGCTACTACTGATTTCGAAATTAAAAAAATGGGGCATCGGTTGGTGCTACTTCTTATTGAAAAAACTCTGAACATATTTTATCTTTGCTTTAGTTGAGGTACATTCATTTGCTTCTGAACAGTCACCAACCATAATTGATGTTCTATCACCAAGATACTAAAGTTGGAAATTGGAATACTAAATTTTAAATTCACACGTCAACTAACTTCCTGTTTTTGGTCCCAATTTCGAACCCACAATTTCTGCCGTGTAATAATGCATGGCAACAACCTGAAAAAACAGGAAGTTTTAATCAATCAAAGAGGTTGAGCTACCGCAAAAAGGATGGTGTTCAGTCACTCGTGACCAAATAAACAGATACAATAGAGATAGATGTGAGGTCTAAATGTTCTTATGAAAAGTGAGGGTTGAGAAGGCTCGATGAATAGCAAAAGCACTTTATTGTGGTTGCTGTTTAAAGTTATTGAAAGAATCGCACAGACACATAGACAGAGACAGGAAGTGAAAGAAGTTATTTTATTTTTCCGTATCGAGACTCTTTCTGTCCCGATGGGATTATCTTTAAACCACAAAGTTTAATTTACTTTGAATTTTAAAATGGTGACATTAGTTTAGTTGTCATGTCCCCTTCTTAACTATGATTTGATCTCTTTAATATATTCATTAACTCATGGCTATAAGCTCACTAAATTATTTTAAGCTTAATACTTATTTGACGTGAGGCTTTTAAAAGCTTAAGATCAGTTTACTTGTCAATTGTCATGGCCCATTCTTGACCGTAATTTGGTTTCTTTAATATTTTCATTAACTCATGGCTATAAACGTTCCATGTTATTTTAAGCCGTTTGTAATGGATTAATACTTAATTGATGAGAGATTTTTAAGATCAAAATCTCCTACTACTTTGCAAGCAGCAACCACGTCACTGAGTTGTCCAAAAATCGTTACGAAAGTCAAAAGGGTAAGTCAAAATCATTAAGAATCATCTATAATTTATTTTAGGAAAAACTTTATTTTCACCTATTGTGATTTTGTGATTTATCATTTGACTCTTCGTAGTTTTAAACTTATCACTTAGATCCACTGTGCTGAAATAATTTATTATTTAGTCTCTTATGATTTCAAATTTTTACTTAGACCCCTTGTGGTTACAAATTTTTTTACTTAAACCCCTTGTGGTTTAAAAAGTAAACATTTTAAAAACATATTTAAAATAAATTTTCTCTCTTTTTTATTTTATATCCTCACGTAATGCATTTAGGGTTTGAAATATATTTGAAGTTATTTATTCTGAAATTAATTTATAAATTATCTTAATATTTTTATTTTAAAAATATATTTGAAATTAAAAAGATTATTTAAGATGAAATTAAAAAAATATTATTTTTGATAAATTAAATATATACTATCAAAATAAGATATTTACTTTCTTTAAATAGATAAAATAAAAATATTTGATTTGAATTTATTTTCTTGATAAAAATAAGTGAATTTTTTTAGAATTCATTTTAAGTTTTTAAACCTTAAATGCTTTAGGTTAGGATATAAAATAAAAAAAGAGGGAAATTTTATTTTCCTCTTATTTATTTTTTAAAATTTTTATTTTTAAACCACAAGGGTCTAAGTAAAAATATTTTAACCACAAGAAGTCTAAGTGAAAATATGAAACCACGGGGAGTTAAATGATAAATTATTTAAGCACAATGGATCTAAGTGGTAAGTTTAAAATTACGGGGGCTCAAATAATAAATCACAAAACCACAATGAAAATGAGATTCTCCCTTTATTTTATTGCGATTTCCACAAAATCAATTAATAAAATGATAAGATTATGTCAATCAAACATATTTGTTACCAAATACTTAAGGAAATCGCATGTGATATACACGTACATATAATGTCGACTCTGCTTGTTTGGATTGTCTCTTTTTTAAGTTAGAAGGTATTTATAAGCATAAGTTAGGTCAAATAGGTTTTGAGAAAAAAATTTATAATGAAATTTTTTTTTTATAATGAAAAATAAAGCTAAAATCTAAAGTGCATGTTTGGATCTTTTTTTTTTAAGCTAGAAGCTACTTATATGTATAAGCTAGGCCAAACAGATTTTGAGAAAAGCTCTTATAATGAAAAATCCTTTTTTAATAATGAAGGAAAAAGCTAAAAGCTCCTATGAGAAGCTTTTTTTTAAGCTCTTATATATTTTTCTTGAATTGTGTGTTTTTTTTAAAAATGAAGAGCTATAAAGAGAGAGATAGTTTCCTTGAAGCATGTGTTTTTATGTAACTTCTAAGCTAAATTTTTTTTTTTTGTAATTACCAAATAACTTTTAGTTTTTTTTAAACTCTCTTTTTTAGCTTTAGCTTATAAGTAGCTTCTAGCTTAAAAAAGAGAGGATCGAAACATGCTCTAAGTCTGCTATACAATTTTTGTTCCTCCAATGACGACTCAACAAAATTATTTCTCTTATTTTCAATATATATATATATATATATATATATATAGGGATCGGTGTTTGTCATTTTAAATGACATAAGTTATGTCATTTTGAGAGAGAGATAGACACAAAAAAATATTTTTTATTTAAAATTTAAATTAAAAAAAAATCACTCACTTTCTCTCCCATATTTTTTTGTGTCTATCTCTCTTTTAAAAATGACATAACTTTATGTCATTTAAAATGACAAACACTTTTATCATATATATATATATATATATATATATATATATAGGGGTATGATATTGTAACAACCAATTAGTGTTACTACCAATTAATTTCACTGTTAGATCAATTATGTTGATCCAACGGTTATATTTATTTCCATTTTTATTTGGTAATGTTAAATATGGGAAATCATAACCATACAAAGTTAAAAATAAATATAAAATATTAAATATGGAGAATCATAACGGTTATATTTATTTCCACTTATATATATATATATATATATAGGCTTTAATGTTTCTGCATTGAATGTAGATAAGTTATCTACATTCGCTTACAAAACAGCGTTGTTTTAGGTTGAAAAAATACTATTGTAACCCTGAAATAAAGTATAATTACAAAAATATCTTGATTTTCGTCTCAAAACGACGTCGTTTTGAGCTCAATGTAGATAACTTATCTACATTGACTGTAGAAAAAGCGAACCCATATATATATGTATATATATATATTGAGATATATAGTCCCACATTGGTTGTATGTGCAACTAATGTGGAGTTTACAAGGTCCTCTCCCATCCCTTGAGCTAGCTTTTGAGGTGGTGTATCCCAAGGTTCTTTATAATATATATATATATATATATATATATATATATATATATATATATATGGGATAAGTTATTATGCCTACTCCTATTTTACCTACTTTTGCCTACCCCTTTCGTTACCGTTCGATTACCATCTCATCCAACGATCCATATTTGTGATATAAAATAAACCTTTTTTTTTCCCTTTCTTTCTTCTCACTTTCTCTCATACCCTTTCTCTCTCCTCCCCTTTCTCTCTTCCTCTGCCATATACCTATTTTTTTTCCTTTATCGTTAATCTCTGCCCAGGTGAACGGCGCAGAAGCATTTGAAATCAATTACCACAGCATTTGAAATCATCGTCAATATACATTAGTCTCTGTTTTTATTATTGTAATGTAAATTTTCTCCTTCTGAATCAGTTTCTATCAAATTATCAGTGTCAATGGATTGAAAAATCACAACAAGTTTTTAGATCTGAAGAACAACATAAATTTTATAAATTAATAAGATTGAATCGATGACTAACAAAGAAGTTTTAATGTGATTCAAAAGATCTGTGCAGAGTTGGAAAAGATTCAAAATAAATAAAAAAATTAAAGAATAAAAAAAATTGATATTGGAAAAATCTAGAAAGAGGGTTAATTGGTGCCATTCCAGCAATTATGTTGATACGGATAGCCAATTAATTATTAGAAATTAAGAGTATCTATCATGTGGAAGAACAGATCGACATATTGAAGCAGAGACAAGGAGGATTCTGTGAACAGATCGACCTTGTGGCACCACCGCTTTGAATCACATCAAAACTTCTTTGTTAGTCATCGATTCAATCGTATTAATTTATAAGGATTAAAAATATCATTAGAATCGAACAGTTTGTCAAGAGATTGAGGTCCACGACGGCAGAAGGGAAAAAAATTAGGTATATGGCAGAGGAAGAGAGAAATGGGAGGAGAGAGAAAAGGTATGGAAGAAAGTGAGAAGAAAAAAAAGGGAAAAAAAGGTTTATTTTATATCACAAATGTGGATCGTTGGATGAGATGGTAATCGCACGGTAACGAAAAGGGTAGGCAAAAGTAGGTAAAATAGGAGTAGGCACAATAACCTATCCCATATATATATGGCTAAATGATTTCTGCAGTTGCTGTACCTACAGCAAGCAAGGATCCGCGTCCGGATCCTAAGATACGGCAACAGATCCTGAATTTTTTTATTTTTTTTTGAAAAAGCCGTGGGACCCACTTTTCTGTGTCAGCTGTAGATAACACTATCTACGGCTGCTGCAGAAATGTTAAGCCATATATATATATATATATATAAAATGACAGGACAGGACACTGTTTAGAAGAGGTTGATTTCGGCATGACAGGACACTGTTTATCTTCCCTGCAGAAATTCACGAGTGAGATAATCAGGGAGAGAGTTTGAGGTGCCTTTGAGATATTCAATTTCAAAATCAAAAACACTTAAGATAGCTTGCCATCTAGCAAAAATTTGTTTAGATGCTTGCATATTCTTTGCAAAATTTTCTTTGCTGGTTGATGCTGCTAATGCTGCTGATATATATATATATATATATATATATATATATATATATATATATATGAGATAAGATATTATTACTACCAATTAGTGTTACTATCAATATTACTATCAATTTGTTTCAGCATTAGGTCAATTATGTTGATCTAACGGTTATATTTATTTTCATCATTATATGATTATGGTTATTTTGAATGTGAAAGAATTAAGTATGAAGAATTATAACCATATAAAAATAGAAATAAATATAAAGTATTGAATATAGCCTAGGGATAAGAAATAAGGTTTTTAGAAAGTTAAATCAGAACCGTTGAATCAACATAATCAATATAACGGTGAAATAAATTGGTAATGATATTGATAGTAACAATATCCTATATATATATATATATATATATATATATATATATGACGATAGCTTAATCTCTTAGTTTTTCTTTATTTATTTTTTGTCGTTACTCAATTGGAAGGAAAAGAAAAGAGACTGTTATCAAAAAAAGAAAAAAAAAAAAAAAAAAAGAGACAGAAAAAGAAGAAAGCAGATTTAATTCCCTAAAATAGACATAAAATGTTAAAGAATAAAAATTCTTTGAAAAATCATATTGATATAGGGAGAGGAGAGATTTTTAAACGTTTAAGCATGTGAAAGAAGAAAATCATGTAAGTTTGAATTTTCAATTTCAGGTTTTTTTTAAACATTACGTAGAATTATGGATGTTATATTATTTAAAAGAAGAGATAGGATATTCCTACTACCAATTTTTTCCACTACCACTTTAATCACCCTTGGATTCAAAAGTTATTTTTGTTTCTCTCTCTTCATTTAACTTTTTCTTTAATTCAATGGTGATTAAATTGATAGTAGAGTGGTAGTAAAAAAAATTGGTAGTTAGAATATCCTAGCTCTTAAAAGAAATAGTAAGAAAGTATATAATTTATACAATCTTACAAACTCAGGAAGTTGATTGTTTCAATTGTAAGTATGGAGGGAATTTTTAAACTACAAATGACCCCCAACTAAATGTTGGGAAATTCGTTCCCTCAAACTCCAATGTCAAGCGGGTCCAGGGAAAGCCCATGGCGGGGGCCACCACCAATGAGCTAAGGCTACACCAACCGTAGCAAGTGGATCCAACACCATGTCTCAACCCAAAACCTTAAGGCATTGGGTTCATGGGTCCTTTCACTTATATACTCTTCACTTAGCTCATTACCAACCAATGTGGGACTCATCACACTTGAATATCTCAACACTAAATGTGATATTGAGTAATTTAGCCAATCACAAAATATTTCATGGAAAAAATAACTAAAAGGATACAAACTCAACTTTGAGCCAGACACAATCTTGAATCTTCTGTTCCAGGCATCAATCAATAGCAAAGGACTATATATCTCATTAAGCCAGTTTTAATCGGTTAGCTTGGGTAAAGGAGGATCCACTTCAAAGTGGTTGCAGCAACATTCCACTTTGTCACCCCTTTTGAAATTGGCACTGGCTAGTTCTAAATCTCCTATTGTTGACAATTTCAGCTAATAGAGTTTTAAGCTTGATGCCAAACAACCCTGGCTTTACAGCATCAATGTTGCCATATAGTGAGCATAAATCTTCCTCAGTTTCTGAAACTTTTGTAGTCTTATTTATTTCTGAGTTTGAACACCACTCTCCATGAACCAACCCATTAGATGACCGGTTAAGAATCAATTCATCAATTTTCTCTAGAAACAGATCACCTTCTCCAAATGGACGTGCAAATGCAGCCCCAGTTTCCAACATTGTATCATAGTGTGACAAATCAAGCAATTGGGATTCAGATGGATCAGTGTCCCAAAGATTGTACATTAGATTATTGTCCACAGTGGTGTTCTGGAACTCGGGTGAGTTACACAAGACTGTGTGGAAATAAGATTCCACAGGATATGCCACATTGCTGAAGAACATTAGAAGTTTTCTTGGTAAATTGTCCCAACCACTGACACAGTACTCCATAAAAGCTCTTGTAAGAATCACCCAGGGTGAACCTAATAATTAGATAACATGAAAAGCATATATAACTATAAAAGTTGTACTTTTTCATTATTAAAATTAAAGTATCAAACTTGTCTTTATAATTTCCTATATTTGATTAGAAAACAAAATTTCAGTGCACCCGACGGTGCATCCCTAGTTTATTTTTACTAAGATACATAGGTGGATTCTGCGCAAAATTGTAGGACCTTGCATATGTATCTTAATAAAAATGAACTAGGGATGCACTGGACTCAATGCATCCGTAGCATTGTAGATTTTTTCCTACTTAGGAAACAAAGGTCTAAACTTTGAGGTTTGGTTGAGAGTAGACTGACCTTGAAATATCTTAAAAGCATCTGGGGTATCTCGGGACTCCACAGCAAAGAAAAGTGGACTACTCTTTTCATTATGTAAACTTGGGTCTACCACAATTTGATTAATGTCTCGTTGCCTGCATCAGGTCATTGACCATTTTATAAACTAATTGGTTACATGATGGAGATATTTGAAAAAGCTTGTTCCCTTTTTTTCTGTTACCAACATGCAGTGTTGGACCCATTCTTATTAAGATCATAATCTACGCTTCTTTGGATGATTAACAGCAAATATATTCTTTATTCCCTCCTCCCCACAAAGGGAAAAAATGAAAAATAATAATAAATGAAAATTAAGAAAAAAAATAAACCCTGATATCAAATACATACATATCTTTGACAGCTACAATTATCAATTGTGATTAGATGAATTTTCTATTGCAGAAGATAATACAGGGCTCTCCACTCAAACATAAGAAAAAAGGGCACTAATTTATTTTTTCAGCAGCTATAGTTGTCAATATGATTATTTAATTAAAACTTTACATCATGCATATGATTAAGGAAATAAGCCAGACCTTAATTTGGGGATTACTTACTCGTTCCGAACTGTCTTGTTAGTGTAATGAATGAAGTTGAGATATGTTGGCAAGAATGTGAAAGCATGAAGGATATCTGCAGAAAAATAAATAAAGCACGTTCGAATTATTATTCCAATTAAGGTTTATGGATCAGAGACCCCAGGCTACAAACTTATTTTTTTAGGCCAGGTGATCACAATTCAAGAAAAACTAAGTCGGCTTTAAGAAGAAGATCATGAGCAATTGAATATGTTAAGTCAATGTAGAATGTTTGATAATTTGATTTTTATAGATCTCAAAAATCAATTCACAAAACTATTTATGTCTACCAATCAGCATTAATTTACTTGGTTGGAGTTCAGAGTACTTTAAAATTTCAAATTGACCTTAATTTGGAAACCAAGTCACAATGCATACCATTAATACAAAGTGAACATTAGAACAGAAGTTGTTAGCACATAGACATCAGTGAAACTTACCATCTTGAGTCATGAGAGGATAATCTGAAGCACTTAGGGTGATGAACCAGTCCCAATCTGTGTTCACTTTAAGAAGCAAAGCAGCAGCATGCAGAGGTGCAGAAAGTGCAGATGATCCCATCCTATTGATGGCATAACTTTTCCCAATGACATTCACATTTCCAAAAGCCTCAAACACTTTAAGGGATTTAACTGAAAGAGCTAAATCCATTCTTTCAGACTCAGAGGAACCATCATCAAGCTGAAGTAGGTACTGGTTTCTTGGATGGTATACAGCCTTCAACAGCCTCAACATCTTCTTACTCTCTCCATTGGTGCCAAAAATCCAATATGCAAACACAGGAGGGTACCCTTTTCCTTTTGATATAACTCTCTTAGGATTGTAGTTTTCTAACTTGGTGAATGTGGCATGAGAAACATTTGGAAAATTCAATCTTGAAACTGTTCCTAACAACAGCAAACATACAGCAAAAGTCAGAAAGCATAGGCGATAATCCAATCCCCTACATGGAAATTTGGACGTTCTCATTGAAGTGGTTGTTTGTGGATATGTAAGAAAGGTTCAAAGGTTTGAATTCAGATCAATTTGGCTGTCATCAAGAAATTCATCTCTTGTGAAAGCAGGTTCAGCAGCAACAAAATTGCCTTTGACTTGAATTCTGGAGATCTGAAGCAGAAATGAAGTCTTCAAATCGTAATGAATCTCAGCGAATATAAAGATGGAAGATACTAAGATACATTAGAAAAAGACATCTATAATCATAACCTGTGGATCAATAGTTCAACTTAAAGTGAGAGGAGTAAGGTAAAAAATCAGTGTAGAAGGTGTGTGTGATTGACAGGGGATAAAGGTTGGGGATGTTGAAACTTGTACCTAACGTTTGAAAACTTGAACTGCAAGTAATAAAAGTAGGGTAGGAAATTTGATACCTATAGAAAAATTATTATTATTATTTTGCCCTTGTGATAACAAGAAGCATTCTTTCGTTGGGCATTAAATACTAGTAAAAATCATCAAGTAAATGGATGAATTGGTAAGGGATTGTTCTACTTTAATAAGTGATCTCGAAATTGAGTTTCTAGGAAAGCAGCTGTGTTAAAATTTAATAGGTAGAGCTTTGCTGCTCATGTGATTTATCGGATTCGAGTAATCGATCAACCGACGCGTAATATAAAAAAAATAATAATAAAAAGGTATATGAAGAGAGCTGATCTGCATGTACAATTTTTTCCAAATTATTTTATATAATAGTTGTATCAATGTTTACATTGATAAAATGTTAAAAGTCACCTACACATTGGAAGGCAAATATGTGTTTTCTTTTGACTTGTACCAATTTTTTTTTTTTTTTTTTTTTTTTTGTCTTTGTCAATTGTCACCCTTTCTTTCTCGTTCTTGCATTATTTCACACTACTATGATCTTTAGTACATAAGAATTACAAAAGGGAAATCTCCGGATATCGGTGGAAGTTGCTACGTGTTCAAACATCAAGTCAACCTTTGACGAAAGTTCAAAAAGAGAATGGTAAACGCTATGTTTTGATTGATTCTTAACATTTCTTGTGTCAGAGAAATAATTTATAAATTTATGTATAACGCGTAACATGAGTATGATGGATGTAGTTTTACTTTAGTTTTCATAACTGATAGAATGCCTTAAATTCATGGATTTTAATAGTATAAATAAAACTTTTGTTTTTGGAATTTCAAAATATGTAAATTTCAATGATATTGTATAATATAGTAGTCTCATATTTGTGTTTCTTAATTTTATTTTTAAATATTTTTGATATTTCTAGTTAATGTTGTGTAACATATTTTAACTTTTTAAAAATTTAAAACGCAATAATATTAAACAGGAATGATAGTAATGTAACATAGGAAATAAAGGTTACATTGGTTAGATGGATAGAATCGAATAAATGACAAAAAGAAAAGTATAGAAATAAATCGGAGGAGATGGAGATAGAGATAGAGATAGAGATAGGATAGGAGTCGGACTCTAGGGGTAAGCTTGTCTAGAAAATACACCATATATCTATTTTTATAACATCTAGTCTAGAAGTTTATTAGTTAGTTTATATTGTATTATTTATTTTAACTAAAATAAAATATTTATTTAAATAATTTTAATTAATAAAATTATATTATATTATTTTTTATTTTTTATTCTTAATAGGTATTGTTGTATTGATAATATGATAAATTTAAATTGGTTAATAGTCTAGACTAAATCTTTTGATTTATAAATATCAAATCAAATTAGAACTATAATTTAGTTTGATAAAACTAATAGGCCAAACTACATTCGAAATGTTTTATATAGGCCTCGCTTTTTTAGACCAAAATCTCTATTTACACTCTTAAATCGGAGCATATAACTTTTTTTTTGTTAGCATATGACGTTTTCTTTTTAATTTTTTACAAAAATTTAGATGAGATAAAATGACAGTATCCCACCAAGACTAGACACCTCCAATTTATTTTAGAATTTCTAAAAGAGGTTGGACATCGTCTGAAGGGAGTAATGATACTCAATACAAGATTTTTAACGGACACTTTTGTTAATTTTTTTTTTTTTTAGGTGTTTACAGAGATGATTTTAATAAACTGATAATTTTTTTTCCCCGCAGAATACTGCATGAAGGTCTAGGAATTTGCTAAAAATATAAGACATGACACATAAAAATTATATTTATTTGATTATTAAAATAGTATATTACAAATTTATTAGTCAGTTAAATTCGCCAAAAATAAAAATAAAAAATAAATTACAATGTATTATTTTGATTACAATATCTCTTACTATCCATCAAAAGTAATAATTTGATAGCATTTGAGTAATTTATGGTGTAATTTAAATGAAAAAATTATGTGCTTTAATTTTTTTCATGTTACGTGATAATTATTTTATTAAATGGGATATGCTATTCTATTTATTTCTTTTTTTTGTCTATCTTTATCTATTATTCTCTAGATTAGAATCTCAACAGAAAAGAGAAATAATAAAAGTAGTTGAGATTCTAATCTAACGATATTGAAAGATGATAAATAAAAATAGACATAAGTAAAATAACCTATCCCTTGTTATATACTGTGACTTAATTAGTACTGGCCTCACACAAACCACAGCATCGTAACATAAGAAAATATTTATCGAGCAACATGATAATGGTTTTTCCTAAAATTATATAAAAGAATTTGTTTCCAGAAATAAATGATATTTACTTCAATCTGAAATCAACTTGAGAATACTATTCACTGTGGGAGATTTGGCAAATAGGAATTGGAACAAAGGAAAGAAAAGAAAAGGAAAAGGAGAGGACTATATATTATATTCTATATTCGATTTGGCAAAAAGCCAAAATTCTCAAAATTTCTCAATTCTGATACTAAGTGTGTGTGATTGAACATTGAAGGTGTTGGGTTTGGTTCTATGGAAGCACTGTCGATTACCCCTGACGCTTATTCACTGCTCCTCCATACTCCTTCTTCCCTCACAACACCAACGCCGCCGCGACTTTCTTTCCTTAAAATCCCACAACACTCGCTGTCACTGTCACTCTCACAGTCGCAGGTTGTCCCTCTTCGTGTTTCTGCTCTCCCAAGTGATGTTCCAATCGAAGATGATGCCTTCAGTTTAGCTTCTCACCCTCAACCTCAGGTACTCTTCCCCTTTTTTTATTCCTAACTTTTATTTCGTTATTTTTTTCTTTTCTTTTAATAAAATTTCAGTTTTTGTGTGAAGTCTTAATTTTTAACATTAGAGTTAGGCACAACCTAACCCCTTTTTAATCAATGTGTTGAAATTTGAAAACGTTGATGTCATAAAAACTGTACTTTTTAAGAGATGATGATACTGGTAGATGGATAGGTTAGGTTGTGTGTCTTTCGTTGGGAATGAACTGGTACAGTGGTAAAGAAAATATATATCTCAAAATGATATATTTATGTAGCACTTGTTTCTCAATTTAAGGTAGTTTGCTGAATTCCCTCTCTTTAAGTTCCATTATCATTTTTTAGTTCACAGTTCATGGAAAATTCAATAATTCATAATAATAGGGTCATTGGTTGGTTGTCTCATTTTTTGTTCGAATCCAGGAAACAGCCTCTTTGCAATTATGCAAGGATAAGGCTGCCTACAAGGATTACCTCCACCCCACACTCGCTAGTCGGGTTTAATGGGGATTGGTTTTTTTTTATAGATGATCAATAGATAAGTTTATCATTGATCTTTGACTTAGTTGGGTGGGCTTTCATTCTGAAGGAAAATTTAGACCATTGTCAGAGTACTGATGAAGACACAGATGAGCCATTACAAATGGACATGTCATGGTCAACTATGACAACCCCGGGTGGGGGTACCAGGGCTGGACTTTTCAGAACACCGATTTCTGGTGGCGTGCAGAGTGCAACCTCAGCTCATGGTTTACCGAGACCGGCCTTGGCAGTACGCAATTTGATGGAGCAGGTAAGTTGCTGGTCTTTCTGGTTTAGCAAAATACAAAATTTATTGTATATTCTTGTGTTGAACTATTCATGGATTCCCTTTATTAATTTTCAATTGTCTTTTTCCTTCAATAATTCTAGGCCAGATTTGCTCATTTGTGCACTGTAATGTCTCGTATGCACCACCGACGAGAAGGATATCCATTTGGTTCGCTGGTTGATTTTGCACCAGACTCAATGGGCCGTAAGTCAATTCCTCATTTGCTTGATTAGTTATTTCTATTCACTCATGAATACTTTATGAACCAATTTGGATTTTGGTGCTTGGTTGTTTATCCATGGCTCAAATGAGGTTAATAAGAGATTAAGTTGGGTGTTCTGCTCCAAGGTGCCAGATCTGTAACAATCATGATAATAAGTTTTCTTAATCTGTTAATCCTAGTATTTGGTGGATTCAACTAAGTTGATGGGATAAAGATAATTAAATATTTGTACATTGGGCATGCGTTACTGATGATACCAATTTAGTTTTGATCCTTGCTCTTAAAAGAGTGAGAATGGCCCAGGGGAAATGAGTTTCATGTCCCTGCCGTATTAGGAAAATGAGCATGAGTTACAGAATGTTCCAATCTAATTGACAATTGCTGATACTACCTCAGTGTACTTATAAGTTACAACAATAGAAAGAATGGATATAAGATTCACAGTCCACCTCATGATTCTTACATTCTATAGTGTTCCTAGATGTACCGGTATGGTGGTACTATTTATTCCTCTCCATCACATAACCTAGATAAGATGATTCATCTCTGAAGTCTGTCGTATGGTGATCTTTCTCTTATTTGGTAGGATATGGATCAGTACGAGTTGTTGAACTATAGTAGTTTACTTGTCTGGTCATAGTGTTTATCTATAAAACATGTCTTATATTATATTTTGATTTGCAGATCCAATATTTTCATTTTCTCCTCTCGCAATTCACACAAGGAACTTGTTGGCTAACCCAAGATGCACACTTGTTGTTCAGGTTTGCAATTTAATATTTCCTATTTTATCTTTTATGTTTCTGATTCTTGTTTTTCTCCATCTATGGGTTTTATTGACAGTTGGGTTTATTAGGTACCTGGATGGAGTGGCTTGTCCAATGCAAGGGTAACTATTTTTGGGGATGTCTATCCACTTCCAGAAGATCAACAGGTTGCTTTCTAACCAATTTGTTCTTATGGGTCAGCAAATGTGCACTTGTTTGTACCTCTAATTATATTTATGGAGCTACTTCTGATTTCGAGGTTTACTTGCACATGAAACATGGTATCTATTTGTACTAACAGGAATGGGCTCATAAGCAGTACATTGCGAAACATCACCAGGGTCCTTCTCAGCAGTGGGGTAACTTCTACTATTTTAGGATGCAGAATATAAGGTTGGGTACTTTCCAGCTATTATCGAATAGATACAGTTGCTGCCAAGCTGATTGTATTGAACAAATCATCTTTTGTGCAAACTCTTTTTTCATATATTTTTTTTGGGGCATTTTACCCGGGCTTGGTTTATAATTGTCAATAATAGTCAAAGAGCCAGTTATGCTAGACTTTGACAAGAGAAATAGTTCTTTCTGTTAAGTTGCAAAAAAACAATCTCTTTGGTGTTTGGTGAAGCATGAAGAACGTGGGCAGGACTGTTTTTTTTTTCATTTGAAACTTTTTATAAAAAAATATATAGTTCTTTAATAGACAATATAGTGCTCAAGAACAATAGAATCCATGTAGAATTGGGGAAACACAAATCTTTATGCTGTTTGGTACCATCATGATCATCTTGCATTGCTAATTTAATCATTTTTTTTGGTCATTAGCAGTGACATATATTTCATTGGAGGCTTTGGTACTGTTGCTTGGGTGGATGTAAAGGAATATGAAAGTCTTCAACCTGATAAAATTGCAGTTGATGGTGGTGAGCAGTATCTAAAGGTAAATCTTCTGAATTAAACGAAATAACATCTAACTTTTTAGGCGTAGTAGCTGGAGGTGGATGTATAACTAAGTGGCACATTTGAGTGCTTGACAGGGATGGTTTTGTGGAATTACTAATTGGCCATTACCTATCCTTTCCTTTTACTCAAAAGTGATTCCAAATTTCCCCCCTCCCCAAAAGTAACCCTCAATCCGAACTTAGGGTATTGCGCAGTTGAAATGATGTCTGAGTCTGTCTGTTTTAGTCAAACCTTTTCCAACGACAGTGCATCATCCAGATTCTTGCTGATACGATTATGTAAACCTGTCCAAGAGTTTTATCACCTCATTGCTTGGTTTTATCTTTGAAACAATAGGAACTCAATGCCATCTTTTCAAAGCCCCTAAAGAAACTTCTATCTAAGGAGACTGAGGTAGATGACGCGGCACTCATATCTATAGACAGCAAAGGGACTGATATTAGGGTCCGTCAAGGTGCCCAGGTAAGCTTTTCTGAAAACATTTAGATTGGCTTTCCAATATTTTTAGCTGCTGTCTGAGTTATGTAATGTATTGCATGCAGTTCAACATTCAGCGGATATCATTTGATGAAGGGCAGAGTGTAGAAACATTAGAAGATGCTAAAGCTGCTCTTCAGAAATTAATACACAGGGGAAAAGTGTATAACTTGCAGACATAAGACGTTGGTTGTGCGTAATAGTATCCTCTCCCCTTTGACGAGGGGACAAGATTCCGATTTCATGTAGTTTTTTTTTGGACTCAGTTTATTTTGGCTAACAAGCACCGGAAAGTGTATTATTATTCATGTAACTGCATGGATATTTTGTTAAGGCTGGTCGTGAGACGTCTTTTTTGGGATTTAACCCCATAGTCAAAGTAGAAATAATATTTTAGAACTCCGAAGAAATAATAGTATGCTTTTCTAAGTTCTTTGCCTGAATCCCCCTTCCATGCGTGGAATGTTAAATGCTAGCCAAATTCGATTTAAACTGCCGTGCTTTATATGCCAATTATAATCGATCATCTCCGATTTATAACTAAAAAGACCCTGCCAAATCTGGCTTAACTTTTCTGAAGTTTTAAAATCAAAACTTTTTTGTTGACATTTTGTAATGTCAATTGTCATAATGAAAGTATACCTACCTCACAGTAGACACGATAAGCTCTTTTGGGTAGATTCTAAGATGCTAAAAGTCTGTATCTAGTTTGTACTATGGTTTGGTAACTTTGTACATGCTCCATTCTACGATTGTCTTTGGGCTATAGAAGCTATAATTGTAGATGGCAACTTCAAAATTAAAAGCAGAAAGATGACTGTCTAAGTGTATTAGGTTTCCAACTTTCCATTATAAACATAGCACAATGCAACTTACCATATGCAGTGTGCAACAGAAGGATAGCCATGTTGTCTGACATGAAGAGCCATCCTCTTTAAAATTGATTACATCTATCTATGATGAAGCAAAAGCCTACAATGATCTTGTTTGTGCTAGTTTCCTGGATTTCTTTTCATCTTTCTTTCTCTCTCATTCTTTTTGGGATAACCGTGAATGAATACTCTTGTCTTGTCCAAATAACATGACATGGCATTTAACTGAAGAGGCTGCAAGAACAAGCCAAAGCATGTTGAAACAAAGACAAGGCTAATAATTTCACAAAAACGACAAAGAAAATAGGCACCCCACTTGCGTGTCTGTAATCAATCTTCAACAAATGACAGATTACCCAATAGAAACAACAAAAACCCATTTTACCAATTACTTATTATCTCAACAAAACAAAATAAAAATAAAAAACCTTTCTTTCTCTCCCTGCTCTCTCTGGCTTCAGTCCAGTACAACTTGGTTTGTTCCAAGAAGAGAGAGCCATAGATTCAAAGACATGGAAGAGGCGAGTGCAAGTGGGAATCACAACTATAGTGGATCATCAATAACCACTATATCTCAGGACCATCTCTTAACTATTCTCTTCCTCCTTCCCATAGATGCAATTCTGTCTCTATCCATGACCTGCAAGAGATTCAGAGCTCTCACTTCCTCTGATACTCTCTGGAAATATTTGTGCAGGAGAGACTTGGGTTCTACATGTGTTGATGCACTCAATTCTTATTATCATCATCATCATCAGTTCCCATGGATGAGGCTCTACAAGCAAGTCTCTCAGATGGATTCTGTTTGTTGCCATAGATTGTCTAACCCACATGGTGATTCGGATTTTCCCAGCGCCAGAGCCTCTCACTCTCTCAACTTTGTCTCTGGCTGTCTCATCTTGTTTGGTGGTGGCTGTGAAGGAGGTTAGTTTCTCTTTCCATCTTCTTTTCTTTGTTACACATACATGGCTTCTGGTTTCCAACATGCGGTTATTATTAATATTAAATATCATCTTATGTGTTTTTGTTTGTCCCCTAATTTTGAGAAAGATAAGTCCTTTCCCCATAACAAAGGGAAATTGAACAAAAAAAATATTCAATAAGTTTGGAATAGCATGGCAGTATTATGCTTGCTACATTTAAGCAGCATACTTACTAGGTGTTCCACTATTTTGGCTCTGGTAATCGTTTAGGTGATTGAGGTTCTATTTAAGAATGAAGTGAATTCATGATTAGTTTTATGTCAAGTTTGATTACCTCAGTATTTTATCATTTGAGAGATTTAAGTGTATTTTGAGCTTTCTTTATTACATGTCATTAGAATAACTAACATACTTGTGATTCTTAAGCATGTCAACTTGCCTAGGAGACTTCAATTTAAGCTTTAGCTTACAATATGAAATATTTGCTTATTGGACCATAGTTACTTGTAGAGCATCTCGTTGTTATGAACTGTATGTTTTAGTTTCTCCTTCTGTTTCTCTTGTCCATTTTTAAAAAACTCTATGCTTAAACCCAATTTCTGCCATCCATGGTACAAGACCCTTTAATGAAGCATTCTGACATGAATGCTGGTTTTTTTCATTTATACAAAGTTTCTATTTCTCTTGACTAACTTGTCACCTTTCTAACATCTAGTTCCGTGCTTTGTTTTATAAATTTTTGTTTAGGACGACACCTCGATGACACGTGGGTAGCATACATTGGCAATGATTTCCGGAGAATGTTGAAATGGCAGACAGTTCATTCAGGCATTCCAAGTGGGAGATTTGGGCATACATGTGTTGAAATGGGTGATTTCCTTGTTCTCTTTGGAGGAATCAATGACCATGGGAACCGTCAAAATGATACATGGGTGGGGCAAGTTACATACAATGAAAACAATGATATTAAATTTTTGTGGAAAATGCTTGATGTGGGGGCTGTTGCCCCAACCCCTAGGGGGGCTCATGCTGCTTGTAGTATTGATGACAAGAGAATGGTAGTCCATGGGGGAATTGGTCTTCATGGCCTCCGTTTGGGGGACACATGGGTCTTAGAGTTGTCAGATAGTCCCTGCTTTGGTACATGGCATGAGATTGTGACTCATCCATCACCTCCACCACGTTCAGGACACACATTAACTTGCATTGGGAGAGGCAGGACAATTTTATTTGGAGGTAGAGGCTTAGGCTATGAGGTACTTGGTGATGTATGGTTATTGGATACATGCCAAGTTGATCTGAGATGGGTTCAAATACTCTATGATTTACAAAACATACCAAATGGGGTTTCCCTTCCTAGAGTTGGTCACACAGCTACAATGGTTTTGGGAGGTAGGTTGCTAATTTATGGAGGAGAAGACTCATGTAGAAGAAGGAAAGATGATTTTTGGGTATTAGATATTAATGCTGTCCCATACAGTAGTAGTAGTATGCAGCCAACCACAGTTAACTCCAAGAAAGTGTTGACAAGAATGTGGAAACGGTGGAAGTCAAATGGATATGAACCAAGATCTCGATCCTTTCATCGTGCTTGTGCAGACCATTCTGGACGTTATCTGTATGTGTTTGGTGGAATGGTGGATGATCTTCTTCAGTCTGCAGAGCCTTTTGGACTCAGGTTTGATGGGGAGCTCTTTCTTGTGGAGCTTGTGCTTCAGCTCTAAAGGACTCTAAGGAGGCAATGGATTCCATGTGCTCTTTATTGAGACCATTTTGTGCTGTATCTTATAATTACTTCCCATTATCTAGTGCCATTTGCTGCTGTTATTGTATTTGCTATTGTAAATAGCAGCTCTACTGGTCAGCCAATGTCAATATCTTCTATGAACTGCTACTACATAATTAGAAAGTGATGATGTGAAGATTACAAGTACTTATGGCACATTTTCATGAAGTTGTGGTTTGTTCATTTGCCATTTTGAAATTTTTATTGTGACATAGGGCTCCCAATTAATGCATCAGGACAACTCATTATTTTGGGTAAAATTTTCAGGGTAAATTTTTTTTACATTATCATATAATACATTGACACTTTATTTAAAGAATTTGATTATAATAATAATTACATAAAATGTCAAACTCATTCAATGATGTATCAATACAATACTGAATATGCTTAACATAAAAGAATTATGATTTATTAAAGTTAAAATTCTTAAGAATTATTATGCATTTAACTTTTTTATTTATGAGAAAATCTTTTGAATATCAAAATTTAAAGTATTAATGTTCTAGTTTTAAGAATAATCATTCATCTTAGTCCCTTAAGTAACATCATCTTAATTTGCAATATCATAGTCATCATAATTTGCATAGACTGCAAAATTAAAAAATTAAATTAATGTCGTTTTCTATAATTAAAAGAATAAATTAATATAACTTTTCATTATTGCAACCTATAATTTTTATTTTAGATTCATAAAACAAAGTGGAAGTTTATAATAAATTATAATCTGATTATTGGGGTGAAATGCCACAATATTTATATTTTTTTTTTTTTTGACACAGCACAACAATAATAAGCCTATAAGAACCACAATTAACATAAACGAAGCTCAACTGTTAATTTTAACTTGAATGGAAGGTCGCCTGCAAACCAAATTCATAAGGGGAAAGTACAAAAGGCGATTGGTAAAAATTTCGGAAAAGGTAGGTGATAACTATCAACGTGTAATTGAATTACAGTCATTCTCAGTGAATTACAACAATGAATATTTTAGTGACAAAGAATGAGTAAAATTTTGGCCTCTTCACCTCTGCTGCAATTTTGGAGGAATAAGAGGCTACTAAAAGATTACACAGCAATTGCTCACACATTCAACTTTAATTTTGTTCTCCACATATCTCCATTGACCTTTTTTGGGGATGGATCATCAGGTCCCTTGTCTCGCTGTCCTGAAGTGAAGTACAACCATCCATTCCAAAATCCAACTAAAGTAGTTTTCACCCGGTATGGTAATTTTCCAATCACTGACCACTTCTGCAAAATTGATAACGAAAATAACCAATCAGTAACAACATAGTATGATGCTACTACTTGCAATTAGATTACAATGTTATTGCCTTCATCAGCAGACTACCGACTTGACATGGTTACAGGTATGTCAGCATTGAATTAAAGCACAGTGAGCATTGGAGGTACAGCTTCAAATAAATAGCATAAACTGGTAGACGACAGCAGATTGGGAAATAACTTCAATGCAGAAAGAGATAGATTGCTTCGTCGTCTGTTTAGGATTTGCTCAACTATTCTCTTTGGTTGGCAAATCATTCGAGTTTTCAGTTTTTGTTTTTCTTTATTCCTTGTTTCAATTACATATTGACAGTAAAAAAGGTGCAGAAAGACGTATAACTAACCATAAGCTATGACGTTAGTTATTTGTTAAAAGGATTAAATAGAAAAAGTGCTTTGAAAAACTAGACATTAAGAAGGACTCATGCAAAAGAAAATTCATCATTTTTTGCACCAAATGTGTGAAATGGTACAGAGGAAGCTTGACATTCCACTGACTGTGACAATAAAAAGGCACCTGAGAACCTAATGGTAGTAACATGCATTCAGTGGAATCATAAACTTCAAAGCCCATTTCTCGTTCAAATATAAGGCTAGGTTTAAATAAATAAAAACAAGAATGCTGAATCATCTTATCATATTTTAGGATCTTCCACCTGCAATTCATAATCTTAACACTTGGGAAACTCACCTGGTTGAAAAGAACATTATTTTGGAAATTAAGAAATGGTAAAACAGGAGTTTAATTGAATACCAAATTACGAAAACTTCATGGCAGTGGAAGAGAGCCAGAAGATTTTTTTTGTCAAATCCCAATTTCTAGGCTCAAGTGAGTGGACGGTTAACACGAGGAAATTACTTAAATGGGGTATTTATTTGCATCCTTACATATAAATGAGTAGCATGCATATGAGAATATAAATACACATATATGACTGAATATGAACAAAATGCAGCAATGTAGACAAATTTCGTAAGTGCTTTGTAAAAGAGAAGTCAGTACCAAAGTATTTAAGTTAAACTGGACTACTTCTCCATTTAAAACCATCTTCTTGGTTACAGGGTGCTTCTCTGTTGTGCCTCCAACAATGACAATGGAGTTGTTAACAAGCGCCCAAGCAAATTCAATATGTGAGTTCGGTTTTGGCATTGGAGGTAGCACTTTCCACTTCATCTCATCATCCAGCATGTAAACATCAGCATAGACCACCTAACATGGCAGTAAACAATGAATTGCAGAGTGTGCCAAACTATGGGACAGAATCTTGAAAGAATGCAATTTAGCATCAATAAAAACTCCAAGGAGATCAAAATCATATGCATTATCTATTCAATTTAGAAAGAAGGGCAAAGGGAAAATCCCGGAGTGCAAGGCTCCCCGATTTTGTAAGGATAGGGATGAGGATCTATTATATGCAGACTTACCTTTGCATTTTAGCAAAGAGGTTGTTTCTCATCGTTGAACCCGTGACCTTCCGGTCACAAAGGAGCAACTTTACCGTTGCTCCAAAGCTCACCCTCAAGGAGAATGATGCCTGGGTTGACCACAATATGACCAAATAAGACAAGAATAATAACAATTTTATTCACAGCTTACCTCCAGCCTGCGTGAGCACTTAAAAATAGGTGACCCAGGTTTGGCCATAAAGTCACCTTCTTGACCACCAATGACATAAAGACGATCATCAACCACAACACAAGCCCTAAAAGAAGATATTAATAAGTAAAAAATTACAGGTGACATATACATGATGGCATTGACATAAGAAATCACATATCAATAAACCTACAGGATAAGTCTATTGGACTCAAATGGCATATCTGCTAATTTTAATGTCTAAGTTTTATACCCTAATCTCTTCAAAAACTGTATCAAGTTTCATTCTTCAGTGCTACACAGTTCACTACACTTTGCAGCATTCAAGTTAGATGAATTATAAGGGAGAAGAGAACAAAGTGAAAAATGGTAACGCAAGTAAAGACAAGAAAACAAAATAATCTTCCATGTGGCCACGCTCAAACAATCATAAAGGAGACTGAATTAGGAGTGTAAAATCTGATGGAGAAGTTAAAATGGTTGGAGGATAAAAAAGGAAGGAATGAAGTTTTTTTAAATTCAAAGGCCTCCTGAGAGACCAAAATGGTTCAAACCACGAAGATTTGGCTTTTCCTAGAAACATAAAATATATAAATAATGTATTTCAAAAAAATCATATATATAACCATAGTAGTAAAACACACTGGTTTGAGGAAAAAAAAATAAAAAATACTATCATCTATAAATTCCAATTAACAGTCATTATATCTATACAGTCAGTCCACGAACCTATGAGGTCCTCCACGGGGAATTGGTATCTCACTTCTCCAATCCTTTTCTAATGCTTTTCCATCCTTTACAGCAAGACTCCAGTGTTCTAATCCAGGGGTATGTCGATTCTCCTTACTCCCACCCATCACATGCAGTCTACCCCTCCAAAGTTGAGTTGCTGGTGCATATCTGAATATAATATTGTCAAAACCTTCCACCCAAAACCATGATACAAGGAAGAAAAATCACACACATTACTTGCTTAGAGTAAAAAAAAAAGTCAGAATAAAGAAACCGAAATACAATTGGATAGGATAATATTATTAAAATTAGTTCTATTCAGCTTTCAATGCAGTAAATAAACATAATTGTTATTTTACATAACAAACTTATTAATATAAGTGTAAATATGCTATACTTTTACATAAAAAATCAACTACCCGTGAAACAGCAACTAGCGTGGGTAGGGGTGAGGGAAATCCTACATAGCCTTACCATTACCTTTTTTGTAAAGAGGATATTTCCTGAATTTGAACTTGTGACCTTTCGATCACAAGAGCAGTAGTTTTGCCACTGCTCCGCGCCTTGTAATTATAATTATATTATTATAAATAATAACAATAACACAAAAGCCTATTTTTTTCACTTAACTACGCATGTTATATATGTACAAACCCCACTTATCTATCTTCTTGCCTTTCTTTACCAATCTTTTGATGTGCTACAGTTTAAATGCCTTTACTTCTTCCAAACTTCAACTCTCCTATTCCGCTAGTTGAAGATAATTTTGATGAACAGAGATGAGATTAACCTTTCAAACTCCTCTGCATATCCTGGTTCTCTAGCACCTTCTGTCTGTGATGAAAACTTCTACATCAGCCGACAACCAAGAAAGAAGGTGGGAAGAAGTGTGTTTGACCAGATCTTCCCCCTTCCCTTTGAATCTGTTGTTTATATTCCATATTGAAAATTTCAGTGTTCATCGTTCTCTTCTATTTATCGCAATTTTTTCAACAGGAATGAAGTTGAAGCAAGCGACTTAAATTATCATTATTCATAAAAAAAAAAAAAAATGTAAAAGATAGCCTAGTAACTAACTAACCAAGGCAGCCTGTTATTATAAAGCTCCCATGATGCGCAGGATCCAGTAAAGGGCTGGACCCAATATGATTGCCAATAACACTATGTAAAAGATGCCTAGAAATTAACTAATGAGTGTCAATAACAATAGTGTACTGCCAGTATGATATTTAAGAGTTCTCGATGACTACCATATAAAATGCTTGATAGAGCATCTTCACTACCCCATGAAGCAACATAAAGAACTATTTATCCGGATATTATATTTCAGAGTATGTTAATTTCAAAGGAAGATTAAAGGAAATTTTTTTTTGAGAGTGCTAATTCCAGACATACCTAGGGACTGGCAAAGGAGGGAGATCCTTCCATTGCTTTGTTTCAGTGTCAAGAACAAATGTACGAGCTGTGGGACCTCTACACTGCGGGCCATACTGTCCTGTGACTACATAAATGTATCTTCCATCCGTTACCATTCCTAAATGCGAATGTGCCATTTCTTTTGGCATGTCAAATCTTTCTCCCCAAGTATTATCAGTAAAATTATATATATCAACATGTGAATGTACCTGCAATTTCATAGAAAAAAAATTTCATAGAAAAACATAAACTAATGGCGACTATAAGAAGCTGAAGAATAAATGCTAAATTAACTAATTGAGTTCAAACTCAACTAAAAAAGGTAAACCCTAAGAGTAAGAGAGGGAAAAGAATGTTACAAAATCAATGGTGCCGTAACCAGCAAAAACAAAAAGAAGATTTCGAATCTGAATAGCAGCTCCATCAAGACGAGGAACAGGTGCAGCTGCCATCTTTTGCCACGTCAGTTCTCGGCCAGGCAAATCGGCATAAGCCGCCGATAGGATTCTTCCCGAAACACCATCAGCATCCTTATCCTTCTTCTTGTTGGGAACAATAATGGTGGAAGAAGAAGAAGAAGTCCTCCAAACAGAAGATGAAGAAGAAGAAGAAGCCCAGAGAAAATCGGCAACAAGAGCAAAACCTAAAAGACCAACGCAGATCACAACCAGCTTCGCCGAACCAACTTTCACCGACGCGCGAACCATGTCATCCACATTCAATCGCTTCAGATTTCGTAACAACACTCAACTTTTTTTTTTTTCTAAACTTGTTCAATTCAATCACTCCTCCAGTTTTTCTTACTGTCATGTACATGTAATTCGTCTACGCGTATCCATGGTTAGTATTTATATAGGGTTATATTTATCTACTTTTACGTAAGATAACTACATTTCCTACACACAAAAGCTAGATGGATCCCATTTCTTTTTTTTTCTCTCTCCTCTTACCTATGGGTTCCACTTACAATCTTGTTTCTACAACATGATAAGCATTTTCCTAAAAATTATTTCCCTTTATATTAATATCATTATCAATCGCTAAAAAATATTTGACATCTAATTGATCTATTAGTACTTTTAAAAACTAAAAATAAGTGAGAAATCCGTATATTTACAAAAATTAATTATTTGTTTTTTACAATTGGATGAGTAGTGCCAAACCTAATCTTATTACCTTTCTCTCCAATTTTATGTAAATAAATAATAATAATTTTAAATTTTTGAATAACTAATAAATAATTATACTTTTTATTAAATAGTTGAATTCATTTAGCATCGATACATACTTCACATATTAATAAAAAAAAAAATCCTCGCAAATTTTACACAATCTTATTAAACAAATAAAACCTCTAGTATCAAGCTATGAAACACAGACACTTCAAAATTAAATCCTGACGTGTCTTGTGACACTCTGACGCTCGTTGCAAAGACTCAAAAAAAGTTCAAAAGTTACATTGTTTTGCATTTTGAGTTTCAACTATTAGATTCGTTAAATTACGATTATATTTTTATTGAGTTTAATATAAATATTTGAGATATATTATCTTTCTTTGCAAAATTTACGGGTATTATATGTTTAGCTTTATTTTTTTGTTAAATTATTGAATACTAAATATAATATATACTATATAAATTAAAAATATTATATAATATCAAAACGTATCGTAACGTATCCAAATTTAACATTTTTTAAAATTATCATTTCAAAATGTCATGTGGTATCATATCTGTATCAGGTATCAATGTATCAACGTGGGTGTAACGTAGGTACCAAGTACCAACATTTCTGTTTCATAATTGGCAGCTTTAAGGTGTCACTTGACTCGTGCATATCATATAAATGATATAATACATGGACTAGTCTTCTTTTTAAGCTGAATTACGTACTTAGATGTTTTTTCTTCTTCAAAATATCACCCCTATACACGCAATTTTAAATTATTACCCCTTCACATTTTAATATTATAACAATTAAGAGAAAAGTGTTTGTTATTTTAAATGACATAAAGTTATGTTATTTTAAGAAAGATACATACACAGAAAATTTAAATTTTAAATTAAAAAAAACCACTCACTTTCTCTCTCTCATGGTTTCCATTTTTCTGTGTTTATCTCTCTCTTAAAATGAGATAACTTATGTCATTTTAAATGATAAACACCAAACCTAACAATTAAATATATTTAATACTTTTAAAATAAAGTTATCGCTATCCTCAATTTATCGCCAACCATTAATTGATGTATGACTTACCATTGTCATCCATCATTCGTTAGCCATTGTCGTTAGAGGTGTAAATAAGTTAGGCTAACCTATAAAAATTTACGGTCTAGTTTATATTAGGTCAGGTTTGACTTATTACAAATAATTAAATAAAATAAATCTAGGCTTTTAAAAAAATCTATTTAGAAAGCAAGTTTTAAGTTTTTTTTTTTTACATGTCAGACCTATAAGCCGTTGGCCTATATTATATTATCTATTTTAAATAAAATAAATTATTTTAATAATTTTGAATAATAAAGTAATATTATTTTAGTTATTTTTTAATTACTAAATGTTTAATAGGCTTAAATAGGTTAACAGGCCTAGACCAAAGTTTCTATTTTTTAAATATAAGTCAGACCAAACTTGTAATTTTGGGCCTACACAGACTAACAGATCAGGTCAGACCTAAGACTTTTTACACAAACTTATTTAAGCCAAAACCTAAGTCATAACTGTCGCTATTGTGTAGTTTTCTTCCACCCTTGATTTCCAAACAAATGATCGGGGTATGAAACAAATCTCTTATAGGATGTATCTTCATATATTTTTAAAATTGTAAGGTTTTTTAAATTAATAGTGTAAAAAATCAATGCGTTAAAATAACATTTTATTACTCTTTCCGATCATGACACTCTTATTTTGCAAGAATGTTATGAAACCGACTCAGTCATTGATTTGATGATGGTGTTGAGTCAATGGATCACGGATTGAATCGGCTAAATTATATATATATATATATATATATATATATATATATATATATATATATAGGCGTAGCCACATGTAAGCCAGCAGATGCCTAGGCAATTGGCAACTACTTGTTTTTTTTAATTTATTATATAATTAATTAAGGTAAAAATTATAATTTGACATCACCTAAATAAAAAATTAAATACTCAATATAAAGTAACAACAAATCATCTAAATGCAAACAAATAATAAGGAACATGTATAATATGTTTATTTTAGTATTTTACCTTTTTTTTTATGTTTAATCACATTCCTAGAAATCTCATTTTCTTATCATATTTTTAATAATCGTAATTCTCCTATAAAAATATATATATTCTCCTCTGCCAAAGTCTCAAACGCTTTCAAAACTCGCCCCAATTCAAGTAATTCTATTTGAAGACAAATTACTATGACAGGCTTTGTAGTTGATGGAACGGGTTGTGGGTTTTAAAATAACTAATGCAGTCAACTCTAACACAGTGGATTACACAACAACTTGGTTGCAATAATGCAGGGAAGCTAACTATGATAATTTTGTGATTTGATTAAGTGAAGATGGAGAGAAGAGGGTTAACCCCAACATGTTAAGGTGTTTTCCATCGTTGACTACTCTATTTTGATAAAATATTTTTTTGTTTTATATTATTTTGGAAATTTTTTATTTTTCTATTACATATTGGGTCAATCAACCGGCTAATTGATCATTTTATCCTTGTTTAAAAATAAATTTATCATTTTGCCCCTCTGTCAAAATTATATATCAATATATCCTTCTCAAATTATATTATTAATTTTCCCTTTTTAACTAACTCGAGTAAATTAGTTTTACCGAGAACTAAAATTTGGTTAAATATCGGTCAAATAAGAACAAGTTAGTATATGATTTGAAAAGAAAGTTAAATTAATATATAACTTGATAAGAGAGACAAAATCATAAAAATAAAATACAAACAAAAAGATCAATTAACCTCAATCCGCATGTTCATGAACGAAAAATTTGAAAACACCATAAAACATGTATTGTATTTAGCATGTTAACATAATCACAGTATGCTCATACATGTAAGAATTTTGGTTGTATCAAACAATACCAAAGTTTACAATCCCTAAAGAACACCAAACCAAGCATCACTATACAATGATTTAAAGGGAGAAAAAAACACACACAACTTTACCATCTTAATCTATAAAAATATGTCAATAAAATGTTCCACCACCACTAATAATAGAGGGGAAAAGAATACTACTATCTAAGAATGCCAATTAAATGATGCTACAATTGACATTCTGTTAAACTGGTATCACATCATTCTTGAATGTGTCCTCACATCTTAATACTAGACCCTCAAGGCTAGCTGGAAAGATACATTTGGTCCATTGGCAACCCGTTGTGATTGGCTCTGGCGGAGGAACAATCATAAGCACATTCTCATTCCTCTGAACAACCCCCATTACACTTACTGTGCTTCCTTCTTTAATATACCTGAAAAAAAATATTAAGTTTCACCAAGTTATATATTCTCTCTTAAATCAAGACTTGCCATCAGATATATATATATATATATATATATATATATATATATATATATATATATGTAGAAATCTTGAAGAGAATGCCCCTGATGATAACACTTAACCTAAAAACCCAAAATAAACTATGTAGCAAAATAAAATCAACATGTTAAAAACTTTCAACAGCTCATGTATACAAATTTAATTCAAATTTCTCTAGCAGGAATAACCCCAAAGTCAAAGCTGACAATCAATGCACCCATCCACTTATTATATGCAAAAAAGATAAAAAAAAAAAAAAAAAAAAAGGGAAACATAGAAGAGAACTTTTACCCTTCTTCCATCCGCATGATGCGGTCATCACTTGAAAGATTTCTCTCTCCCAACCACCGGAGGAACTCTGGTGACAACTCTTCTTTGGTTGGATTTACATTAATGAGAACTGAGTCATCAACATAAGGAGTCACCCTTGCTCCATGCCCAGTCTTAACCAATGCCCTTAAGCCAGATTGGAAATCCGAGATGTAAAAGTCAACCACACGCCTCTGTCACATGACATATATTCCAGTAAATCTAGTGAAAAATTAATGTTCTCAATATAAATACCAGTCTCTACATGCAGACTCCCTATCGGGCCCCAGGCTTTTCCTAGGGCCGACTTCAATGATGGGTCCACCCTTAAACTATCCTCCCCTAATACACAAGGCTCCCCGACTGGTGAGGGTAAGGGTGAGGATCGATTGTACGTAGCTTTACCTTTGCATTTTTGCAAAAAAGCGGTTTCCAAGACTTGAACTTGTGACATTTCGGTCACAAGGAGCAACCTTACCGCTGCTCCAAGGCTCGCCCTTTCTAAAAAATAACAATACCCTGAATGCAGACTCGTGTATGTAGACATAGCTAGTTCAGTAATCAATATATAATAATAAAAAAAATGGTTCGAACAGCCAATCAAGAGAATACAAATGTTAGGGAAAGATAAATAATAGCATAAACACGTCAATTTAACCTAGAAGGCCATGAAAAAGCTTGACAGGAAACGTGCAAGTTCTCAATACATTATGACTGGCTTCAGGGTGCGCAATTGAATTCAACCCTTGCTCGGCAAACAAAATCTAGTTCTAGTTAAGTCCTAAAGCTATTGAAAAATTCACTAAGGGGGAAAACATCATCATATTAAAAAATCAATGTCTTCCCTTCCCCAAAGCATGATAGCACCATTAATTCAAAGCAATAATTTAAACTTGAAATTTGATCAGAAGAAATATGCCTTCCACTGCCATGCCCCTGGGGGCCTGAATACTTGAATAGAAGTAAAATTGTATACAAGACATTAGAGTGAAGTATTAAATTTCCATCATAACTAACCCGGAAAATTTTTTAATAACTTACTTCCAGCAATCTAAGGCCCCAAGTGAATCGGCGTTGTGTAGGATTGGCAGGTTTTGAGTCCCATCCTCGATACTCAGATAAACTTGTTGCCGTATATACACATCTAGGGATTTTCTGGAAAGATGACTCGAGAGGCACATTACCGCAGGTAACAACCTTCACATATCACAGCCAAACATATTTGATTACTGTCATTTAAGCTTGTCTTGTAGTTATAGAAAAGATGTGTACAAGGAAAACCAATCAAATGCAAGCCTCTCACCGGCATAGTTAAATGTTCTATGGGGAAAATATTACTCTGGGAAGCACTGATATCAAAATAAGACATGGGTAAAAAATAATTGTGATACTGATACAGCAAATGGATATAGCATGCAAACAAGGAATATGAAATGGAATGCTCACATCTAAGTATCATCCAAAGCTCATTCAGTGAATATTACATTATTTCAAACAGCTGAAAAGACGTACTTAAAGGCTTTCCATCCATGATAAAAGTTTCCTCTTATTTTCATTTTTTTTACGATGATGCCATGTCTTTAAAAAGATAATAAATATAAAATTTCAGTATTAAATATAGTTACATTCATATAAACCATACAGAAATTGTATATTTGTAGAAGTACCTGGTAGTGGAACGTATCCTAGCTGGTACCAGTTTACGTACCTAATACTGGTAAGGCTATTTATTAGGAATATCATGTTCCCTCGCTTAACAATTATAGAATTTCTTATAACTAACAAATAATATGGTTCACAGTCAAACCACTTGTAGGTTTTCAATCCTTCTTCCATGTTAAGTAAAAATGACATCCTTGAAAACTTCCGGTAAATTATAAGACAAGCCCAAAATAACTCTACAGTAGGTGAATATTAATTTATAATAAAAAGCAAAATCAAACTGATGCAAAGACGGGTGAATAAGTAAAACATTTGAAATTGGGATAGTATGATATAGAGAATATAACCCCAAGAAGAGAAGATGAACTTCCCAAGAATAGCCAATAAGTTAGTCAAGAGAAGCAAAACATACCCCGGAGACCTTCACAAATTGCCCATTTTTTGCACTTCTAAGCTCAGAGTCAGGATAGTGAGCAATGAAGCCCATAATAGCTCTTCTTCCCCAATAAATATTCCAAGTGCACGATGCAACGACTATGCCAAAGAGAACTACAATCACAATAAGGAGGATGGCATTGTGCACTGCTCCAAGAATAAAACCACCGGCAATGAAACCCATCACAAAAAGCAGAATAAAAGACCATAATATCGCCTTTGGAAAATTCCTTCTGAAGGAATACTCATCATCTTGACTAAGAACAGTCACAGCTTGATTAAGAACAGCAGCAGAACCTTGCAGCTTCATTGAACCCATCGCTTCTAAAGGACCAGACACTTTCCTAGGAGCCCCAGAAGAGTTTAACGGTCCAGATGATATGGGCCCAGACGTAATGAGACCAGTTGTAGGAAGAACAGGAGTAAGATTTCCAGAATTTTGACGCCCGATTGGTGTTACTCCACCAGACTGAGGACCAGAAGACTTTTTCACCGGTTCCCCATGCTTATTCAGTGGTCCAGAATTTGATTTCTTCATTGAAGTTGAACCAGACATGGGGCCTGAAGTAGTATAGCCAGCCCGTGCAGCAGCATTAGGCTGGATTGGTCCGGAATGTGAACCAGCTCCTCCAAAAGATCCTGTCCGTGAAGGAGCACCTGTTATTGGTCCAGATTTCCTAGACTTAGAGCCATCAACAGGAATAACAAACATTTTTCCCAATTCTCCTGACTTTTTTATGTCTCCACCAGTATATGGCACAGCTGTTGAACTCATGGTTGGAGTCCTTTCTTTGGGCTGCTCTGGCCGCCCTGATACATAAAGGCCATTGCTAAGCTGATGAGATGGGATTCTAGAGCTCATCTATACCTTCTATGGAAGAACTCTCGAGTAATCACACGATAGTAATACCAGAAGTTGGTGCTGGACAATTCAAACAGTCAAAGTGATCCTGAAAGTTTCAAAAATAAAATCCCCAAAGGAATTAGAATTATTGTTCAACCAAAGTTGTTTGCAAAAGCTTCCACGTTGCCTAATGCAAAGGTAACAGAAAAGGTCGATAACTATTGAATAAAACAAAACTCACAAATAGATATGTGAGCAACATTCAGTTTTAGAAGAAAAAAAAAATTAGCACTTTAAATTCTCACTTGACATAAACCTCATGTGGATTGTCAATCAAAGCCTTGAGAACAAAACAAGTGATGTCTAAAATTAACACACCCAAGGGAAAACATAATATTCCAGATGTCGTATTGGCAACAAAAATACGAAACAAACCATTTCCCATCGAGAAGCAAGTGAATCTTGTGCATGTTGCTAATTGAATAACAAGAAATAAAATAATTAAGAAGAACCAGAGTATATGATAGTCAACTTCTTAGCATCCTTCAATGCATGCACATAACCCAAATGAAGATAAAGAGCATATCAACTCCCAAACACCGTTACCAGACAATCAACGTATCAATAGAATGAAGGAACACCCAAAGAATATACATATACATTCGTTCTTAAATAATTATAAACCTATATAAGAGGGCATGTCTAAAAATCATGATGCAAAATTTTCATCTCCTCGCCTCCATGCATCCTCCAACACAAAGTACACTGATTTTTAAGTGAATGAATGAAGGAACGCTAATACTAAAATTTTATATACAGAAAAAATTCCTGAAGTGGAAGTGCACAAAAAGGCAAGGCAATGACTAAGTTGGAATTGTTGTGCCTTCTATTTTCCCAAATAAATCCTATAGACCTATACTAGGAGAAAAGACCTACACTATGTCAGCATCCACAAGAGTTAACATGACAACCACATGATTAGACAAAATCAAGCCCCCATTTTTTCAAACCTGTGCCAACTGTAAACCAGGAAACAAATTATTCCAAATTAAAACGGAGGAAGTAAACGGAAAAGATCCGAGGTCATACATAATTTCAAGTTGGCATTTAATTTCAAATATATCATTATAGGAAAAGAGAAGCTTCCTCGTCTATTTTAGCCACCAATCAAGCATAAAACTAGCATCCAATAAAATAAAATTTATAGAAAAAGGAAACTTTTACGGGAAACTTGTGATTTTGGGAGGAAAAAAAAAAAAAAAAAAACTCACAAGCAGCACCAATGTCAAACACATTGCCCTGGAAAAGTCAAATTTTGCAGCCAATGGTGAGGAGAGAAGGAAGACCCACATCACCATTTGAACGGTAAGGGGAAGTAAAGGGAAAACGATCTAGAGAATGAAGTAGTGATCTCAATGATGGGGTGTAAGCAATGTGTCTAATATACAAAGTTGAACATTATTCTGAACTTCTGGGGCATTTTCTCAACAAACAAAATCAGAATCCAAAACCTTATGTCTTCTATCTTGTATATGTGGAAAGATTTCATGAAGAAGCGTTGAAAGAAATAGAGGAGTACTAGAAAACAAGGAAACAAAAACACCGAAATTCCCATTTGGTAGAAAAAGAAGGTAAACAAGAAGGATCTAAGGAAGAAAAAGAAAGGAAGAATGGAAATAGGTAGAGAGAGAGTGAGTGAGAAGGGAGAAAAGAAAAGGGCATAGCATACATACCTGAAATCATAACGGGTAACCATCAAACAACAGTTCAAAACACAGCTCTCAGTGAAGTGTGTTTTTACAGAGACAAAATTGGTCACTCTTTCTGCGAATCCAAGGTTGTAGTGTGTGAGTCTGAGGTTGAGAACTGAGAAGAGAGCAGCAACAAAATTAGTGGGTTGTCTGGTTTTGCAAAGTGAAGAAAAATTTCTGATAAAAATAGTAAAGGAAGAAATATATATATATTTTGAGAAATGTTATACTTACCGCTTTTTTTTTACAATCTCTTACAATTATATTTTAACACCGTTGATTTTCATCAATCAATGATTATGATAATCATTAATTGATGAAAATCAATAATTGTAAGAGATTGTAAAAAAAAATTGTAAGTATTAATTTTTTAAAAATAACTTCTTATTTTACAATAAAATCTTAATTATTGATTTTCATTAATTTGATTATTATATTTTATTAAGAATTAAGAATTAATTAATAGATATATTCCAACCAATTATATATGTCAAATTAACAAAAATCAATTATTAAAATTTATTTATAAAATGTTATAAGTGAAAGAGGTTTTAAATATAACTTTCTTACTTTTAAATCATAATAATAATACAGACGCATCGATGTATGTGATTAGACGCAAAATGCAATATTAAAAAAAAAACCCGAATGTACGCGCGGGCACGAGGCATGTTATACTTACAATTTTTTTTTACAATCATATTTTAACACCGTTGATTTTCATCAATCAATGGTTATGATTTTTACAAATTAAACTCATTAATTCACAATAAATGATAATCATTAATTGATGAAAATCAATAGTTATAAGAGAATGTAAAAAAAAAATTGTAAGTATTAATTTTTTAAAAATAACTTCTTATTTTACAATAAAATCTTAATTATTGATTTTCATTAATTTGATTATTATATTTTATTAAGAATTAAGAATTAATTAATAGATAGAATCCAACCAATTATATATGTCAAATTAACAAAAATCAATTATTAAAATTTATTTATAAAATGTTATAAGTGAAAGAGGTTTTCAATATAACTTTCTTACTTTTAAATCAGAATAATAATACAGACGCATCGATGTATGTGATTAGACGCAAAATGCAATATTAGAAAAAAAAAACCGAATGCACGCGCGGGCACGGGGCATGGGCCCCATCTTTTCTTCGTAACACCTAAACTTTCTCACTCAAATCTCATCACGGACTCCAAATCTCCAATCTCATATTTTGTTCCTTTTACCTTAATAAATCTAAAATTAAAACCTATGATATTCAAATCAACTCACTACAAAATATTTTTCATTGCATGACTTTTGGTATTCGAAAACTACTTTTGAATCTTGACTAACGAGAATCAATTTACAGTATCTAAATTTTTATTTTACAGAAATTAAATTTGAGATACTATTTAAAAGAAAGGTTCGTTTTTTCTGCAGTTACTGCACATAAGTTATCTGCAGTAAGCCCAATACGACGTTATTTTGTGGCGGAAATCATGATTTTTGTATAATTTTAATTTATTTCAGGGTTATAATAGTCTTTATATTTATAATCTTTTAAGATTTCAATACCAAAACAACGTCATTTTAAGAATAAATACAGATAATTTATCTGCATTAACTGCAGAAACATTTTTCCCTTAAAAGAAATCTGAAATTTATTTTTGCTGCAAATAAGAATACATATTTCTATTCGTGAGTTTGTTATGTGATTGGTACTGATTTTCAGTTTCTAATATTAGAGTGTGATGATGGTATCAAATATTTTATAAAAACTTTGACAGGTTAACTTTTATTGCTAAATGTACCTCTAATAGTGAATAAACAAAAAAAAATGCTCAAATTATCCATTTAACGTAAATTAGTTTTTGAGCTAGGCTCTTTTTGCAATATTGAGACATAACAGTTTTCCTAATTTATATTATTTAATAGAGATTTTAAACCCTAAAGTCACATAAGGTAAAATTTGAATTTTCTTTTATTTTCTTTTTTGTCATGATGAAAAAAATAATAGACAAGTCGCTCTCACAGATGTCAGCTTGGATTTAATATTATGTTTCCTGATTTGATTGAAATTAATGAGGATTTGATTTGTATGTTTTTGAACCACTACCTCCATGATTACTGATTGTAAATATAAGATGAATAGAATGGGCAATAAGTTATAAATCCTAGTTGATACTTTAGTACTTTGCATTTCATGCAATGTTCATGTGATTTTATCGTAGTGTTATAGCCTTTATGACAAAAAAAATTTAGAGTCTGATCCTTATTATCTATTTTTTTTAATAAATATTTTGAACTTTCTTAATACAGATAAACATGCTGTGCATTGTTTACTTTTCTTGTATGAGGACATTGTGTTGTAAATATAAGATATAAAACCCTTCGTATGCTTTAACCCAGTGATTTAAACTTTCAGTAAAGTTAGTTTGCGACATGAAATAAGAGCTACTAAGATTTATTCATTATGAGAATATTATATAAATAGAGTGGGTTCCTCAATCCATTCACATTATTTTTACACAAAATTTTTTTGACTCTCATGTGAAACACGTGCAATTTTATCATTTAATTTACAATCATTTGACTTTAATGTCAAGATACGTGCAATTAGATTGAAAGTTCTTACCTACGTGCAACCAAATTGGGAGTTCATGCTCAAATGAGTATTTTATATAGAACTGACAAGGAATTGCATTAATTTATTTATGGTCTCTTTGATCTTTTGGAATAATTCAATAAAATTAATAAATATTTTAGGATTATCTAATGACCATATATAAAACCTATTTAACTTTTACATGGTTGATCAATCGTATCTACTCTTATTTTTATTTATTTTTTGATCAATATCAAACAATGCATTTCGTTCAATGATAACGTTGAACCATTTTTCTAGTTTGAGAATCTCCTCCTCTCTTTTACTTTACCCTTGAAGTGTAACTGGGACTAACTTATTATATTTTTATGTTCCAATTGAACATTTTCCCTTTTTTTTTAAATTATTCTTAAAAAATTATTAATCATAGTCTCCATGACAAAAAGATTTAGAGTTTGATCCTTTTTATCTATTTTTTTAATAAATATTTTGGAGTTTCTTAATACAGGTAAACATGTTGTGCATTGTTTACCCTTCTTGTATGAAAAAATTGTATTATAATATAATCGATCTAACAGTAAGATTGATTGGTAATCACTTGGTAGTAACATAACTTGGTTGTCACAATATCCTTCCCCATAAAAAATTTATAAATATAATATTCCCTATATATAAAATCATTCATCTGCTTTAATCCAATAACTTAAACTTTTAGTAAAATTGCTTTATGACATGATATGAGAGCTGCTTCCTGCTAAGATTTATTCATTATGAGAATATTATATAAATAGAATGAGTTGAAAAATTCCTCAATCCATTCACATTATTTTTACACAAAGAAATTTGACTTTCATGTGAAACGCGTGCAACTTTATCATTTAACTTACGATCATTTGACTTTAATGCGAGATACGTGCAATCAAATTGGAAGTTCCTACTTACGTGCAACCAAATTGGGGGTTCATGTCCAAATGAGTATTTTATATAGAACCGACAAAGAATTGCATTAATTTATTTATGGTCTTTTTGATCTTTTGGAATAACTATATAAAATTAATAAATATTTTAGGATTCTCTAATGACCATATGTAAGAGTTCACTTTTACATGGTTGATCATTCATGGTATAGGTATCTACCTTTTGTTTTTTTGTTTTTTGTTTTGGATCAATATCAACAATTTACTTCATTCAATGATAAACCTATCATCCAACCATTTTTCTAGTTTGAGAATATCCCCCACTCCTTTTACTTTACCCTTGAAGTGTAACTAGGACCAATTTAATTATATTTTTATGTTCCGATTGAACATTTTCCTTTTTTTTAAAAAATTATTCTAAAAAAATTATTATTTTACCAAACATATACGAATTCAATCAGCTTATAATAACAATAAATCTTTTTCAGTCAATCCTTTGATGTCTATTATTCGAGGATCAAAAGGATTTTCAATCAAGTTCAAATTATGTAATTATAATTTTGTTTTTCTTTAATTAATGTCTTATATGTTAAAATTGGAAAGAAATAAGATGAAATATCATATAATTTCTCTTGCAACCAATTACAAGAAAGAATAAATTTCATTCTATATCAAAAACTCTTATATATGTTTTGGTCCAATTTATTTAATGATACAATGACTTATTTGTCTCATCAAAATTAAGTCTAACTTATATTCTCATCGTTGGGGATTGTTATTAGAGGTGGCAAAGTGGACGCCCCGCCCCAAGCCTTCCAGTTATGCCCATTAACATGTTTTTAAGATAGTTTAGGTGGGCCTAATTGTTATTACAAAGCAACATACATACAATAATCTGTGTGGACAAACAGGCATGTATTGTCTTGTCTCCTAAGAATAGGAGACATTTTGAAGTCATATGGTGGAAGGAAACGAAATTCTGACTTTATTAACTAAATCACTCTTACAAGCTGGTACCTAAATTAATCTTAACTATGTCTACATAACTCTTAGAAGCTGGTAATATAGTGGAGACATGAGAGTGCAAGCTTTATACAATTTTTAACTCTTTCAGCCATTGGGTATGTAGAGGGCATGGGTCCGGCTTGCCTTGTGCTGTAGCCTTCTCAGAGAGAGAATAAAACCAACCATTCCTCCATTTGAACTGCAAATATAACCAAGATACAGATAAGAACTTATATCAGTTATCTTGTGAATTGAATATTGGGAAAAGTTCAAAAATTCCCATATAATTTTTTTACTTTTTTACCACTTATCCCCCTAAGTTTTTTTTTTTTTTTTTTTTTTATCACTTACCTCCTCTATAATTTATTTTTTTCATCCAAGTTCATCTTTAACACTATTAAAAATTGAATTAACTTGCCTATTTTACCCCCATTTTGCCTACATAAAAAGTTGCTAATATGACATAAAGATCTTGGCTACCAGAAGTCCAGCACCAAACAACCTTTGTATCTATCACATACCCCAGTTTCTTAACACTCATTGCTTGTGATGGTAAATCGTGCTTATTATTGTTATACAAATATCTTGATTACCTTCCTCAAATAATCAATTTCTTAAGGAGAATAAACAATATTAAGCATGATGTACCATTAAAGAAGAGAGTGGATATGGATAATTTAGCAGCCAAGTTTTTTATGATAGATTAGTGCTTTTGATGTAGATAAAATAGGAATAAAATGAACAAGTTAGTTCAAATTTTAATGGTGTTAAAGGTGGACTTGAATGGAAAAAATCATAGGAGAGGTAAGTGATAAGAAAAAACCATAGAAAGATAAGTGATAAAAGAGTAAACGGGGATTTTTTAAACTTTTCCCTTGAATATTCATTCCATTAATTGTATCTTTTACCTCCTTAACTGCTGTGGGAAAGTGGGCAACAGCTCGAGAATATGCACATAAGCGGTCTTCCGTGGCTTCTTCAAATGCTAACCCCTTTTCAGTTGCTGCAGCTGATGCTAGTTCTGCTATAAGGCTAGACAACTGAAAGCATAAACATCAGTAAGTTCTGATTGCGTTTTTGTGCTCAATACATCATTAATATTAGCTCAAAATGTTTGTCCCAAAATCTCTGTGTGTCTACTTCATCTTTTAATTTTTTTCTGCCCAATTTCACAATACAGACATAGTTCATCTGCAAATTTGTAGCTCTTGGATTTCATACAAGGCACAAAATCGAGTTCAATATCAGGTCATCCATGTTGGACACAAGCTCTTCAACTCCACGATCAACCCCTCAAACAAACTACAACCAACAAATAAATAGATTGAAGTTTGAACACATTACATGTTAACTTGATTTTACCCCAAAAATCAGAGCGATATACCTACTCATTTGTAACCCAACTTGTACATAGGAATTGATATAGGACACTGAGTACAGACCTCTTAAAGATCTAGCACTGCCAAAATGATATAGGGCACTGATTTCCCCATTCGGAGAAAAGAATAAATTTATATATATAGATGAGACGTATCAATTAATAACGCAAGAGATGTGAGGAGTTAATCTTAACAATTCAAGTGAATGGTCAAGATTGGTTTCATTTAAAGCTAATATTGACCATCCATGTACGATTGAATGGTCCAGAACTCCAGAATATCTATTTTCATCTCTCATGCCATCACTTGATACGCTTTACATATATAAAATATATATATATGACACTGATTACAATGACTAACCATCCAATTAACTACACAATTTTAATCTACGCATGTACATGCAACAAAACTGTCTTCCAACCAAGCAGATGTTGTTTGACAGAATAAGCAGATTAACTTTAAGAAAATGCCAATTGCAAAGCTTACTTCAGAGCGGAATTCCTTTTCCACGACACCTACAGAAACATTTCCATTACGTGCTCCAACAAGCATGACTGAACAAATCCATATGAGCTTCTCCAACATCTGTTTTTGAAACGCTTCCTTGTCGAGAACCTGGCTTTAGAGACATATATCAGAGTGTGATATGTTATCAGATGGGCAAATATTTGCATTTCACATTCTACAAGGGAAATACTATAATTTCAAGGAAACAATACATGAGAATTGAAACAGTTAAATCTCCAAAAAAAAAAAAAAAACTTTGCAAGATATCATGAATACCTTGCAAGAGAGGCCTCCAGCATTTAATCTTGCAGATACAGCAGAAGCCCACTTGCCATATGCAGCGGTCAATCCTTCAGGATTGGTATCAGTTTTACCATCAACAGGGGTTTCTCCAAGTTTTGACACAGCAAAATATGCCAACACTTGGTCTGCATCATTCAAACCTTTACTCTGAAGCCATGGCTCCAGCATTCCATTCTGGAAAAAGACCAAATCTGCTACACGATCAATAACTCATTAAAATCGTTGGAATTACACATGAATCCCACATCAATCAATCCATTTAAAACAAAGGACTCACCTTTCCATCTAGAAGGAGGAGTAGAATGAAGCACAGATTCAAGATCATCGTTTCTGGTGCAGACATAGATGGGGCCCTCAAAGTCGAGAGGCACGGACTCACCTCGCCTAACGAGGAGGTCTTGTCCAGTGCCCATGTCTTGCAAAGCCTTGCCAACCCTTCCACCGCCGACAATGACAGCTGGAGCTACCTTAGTGGTGACGGTGGAGGCCATGGCGGAGACTTGGAATCTAAAGGTTGTGGGCACCGTGAGAGCGAAGCTAGAAAGGGAGAAGGAGAGTGCAGTAGCCATCACTATTCACTAGAAAGTGGCAACAAGAACACAACCTCAACATTGTTCGGTTTTTTTTATTGCTGTTTTTGTTTTGAGTTTGTGGAAGTGATGTTGTGTTTGTCAATATTCCAAGTCACGGTTTATCATCGAAGTTCCTATCCTCCACAACTTCTTCATGCGTACACGACTTGTCGTTCCTACTCACTGTCATTTTTTATTTTTTTTATTTGAGAACTTTTTTTTATTATCTCTTATAGTTATATTAAAATTAAATTAATGATTATAGAATAATACATGAGAATTTTTAATTTAATTTTTATCTAATAATAATAAAAAATAATAATAATAAAATAATTGTAAGAAGTTATTAGAAAAAATTTAATTAACCCTTTTTATGTTTATTTTTATTATATGCCACTGGCGAGGTCTATCTTCCACAACTTTTAATTATGGACACGACTTGTCGTTTGTGTTGATCGTGGTTTGATTCCTGTTTGTAAAATTTTTGACAAACTCAAAAAAATGAAATAATTTATAATTTATTTATGAGTAAATATCTTTTTTGTCCCTAACAAAACACTTTAGTCTTTTACAAAAGAAAAATTACTCTCGAGGTCTATAAGAAATTTAAAATGGACCCATTTAGTTGAAATTGTGATCCTTCACAAATTTAAAAAAAGTTCACGTTAGTCCCTCAAAAGGACTAAAATAGATCTACTTTAAATTTTCTATAGACTAAACAACTAATTTTTTATTTTTTTTGTAAATAATTAAAATAGGGACCCTATTTTTTGTCAAGTATCTAAAAAGATATTTACTGTTTATTTATTTTTCGCTTGCGCCAACGGTGCTTATCTCACTTACGAATTCCCTTCCCCTCCTTCCATATCCCTTCGTCTTCATCTTATCTTAGCTGCCCCATCTCTCTTTCTTTCTTTCTTTTTAATTTTTGGTAAACGTCTTATTTTGTTCTGCGATTTTCATTTATTTTGAATTTGAGTATCTTGTTTTTCTTTTACAATTGCGAGTTGTGAGTGTGGTTTTGATTTCATTTACTTTAATTATTTCCCCATTTGTGTTAAAGTATATTTGGCAAGGATTTTATAATTCTCATGTTGAATGAGAATTAAAATTTTATGTTGTAGAGATAAAAAATATGTGGGATCCATATGTTAGAAAACATTATACGTAGAATCTATGTTAGCACGAAAATCGAGGGTTGTGTAAGAAAATTTTAATTCTCATGTTGAATGAGAATTATAAAACTTATTTGGCAATTATTTTAGGTCATTTTCAACCTGAACTAATATTTACCAATAGGCAATTATCTCATATATTTTGTTTGAAGCTGTTAAGAACCTTGGGATACACCACCCTAAAAGCTAGCTCAAATAGTGAGAGTGTCCAAGGCCTTATAAACTCTACATTAGTTGCACATACAACCAACGTGGGACTATATATCTCAACAGGCCCCCTCACACAAGAGCCCATTGGGCTTGAAGAGTGGACAATACAACAGGTCCAGCCTACCTGTGCTAAGAAACGCCACAACAGAAAGTGGGGGGCGGCGAGGTTCTGATACCGCCAGATAAATAGATCCAGAAGCAGAATGACGATAAAAGAGAGAGTGATCAGCTGAACTCTGAGTCATGCCAAATTGTTGAACAACACTGCTAAATTTACCAAACCAAGCTCTTGGAGATTGTTTGAGGCCATAGAGAGACTTACGAAGACGACAAACAAGACCAGACTCCCCCTGAGCAACAAATCCAGGAGGTTGCTCCATATAAATTTCTTCCTCAAGATCTCCATGAAGAAAATCATTCTTGATATCCAGTTGGTAGAGAGGTCAATGACGAATAGCAGCCATGGCAATAAAAAGGCGAACAATAGACATTTTCGCCACAGGAGAAAAAGTATCAATAAAATCCAAGCCAAAGACATGAGTGAAACCCTTCGCCACCAAGCGAGCTTTAAGACGATCCACTTGACCATCATGTCCAACCTTAACAGCATAAATCCATCTGCAACCAATCACAGATTTTTCAGAAGGTAGAGGCACCAGATCCCATGTGCCATTATGATGAATAGCACTCATTTCATCAATCATAGCTTGTCTCCATCCCGAATGTGAAAGTGCATCACATGTAGTCTTAGGAACAGAGACAGAGGACAAAGAGGAGAGGCAAGCAAAATATGATGGAGACAGACGATGGTAACTAATATTGACTGTATACCTGGCCGGAGGACGAGTATCACGAGTACCCTTACGAAGAGCAATGGGAAGGTCATTATCCGAAGGTGGGACCGAAGCCGTGGGAGGAGATGCATGTGAATGTGAGTCCACAGAGACATCTGACGAACTATGTTCGATCTCATCAGCAGAAGAGGTGATAGAAGGAGAGTCATAAACATGGACGGGTAAAGACGGAAGGTAAAGAAAGTCACCTGGGAAGGATGACTGTATAGAATCACTGTCCACAGGAGTAGTAGAGGATCCAAAGAAGGGAACTGATTCAAAAAAAGAGACATCCGCTGAGATAAAGTATCGACGTAAAGTGGGAGAGTAGCAACGGTAACCCTTCTGAGACCGAGGGTAACCCAGAAAAACACATTTATGAGACTTGGGAGCTAATTTATCCAAACCTGGACCAAGATGATGAACAAAACACGTATGTGGAGTTAAAGGATATAAAGACTGATGGGGAAATAAAATAGAGTAAGGTACCTTATGATTGAGAACAGATGATGGCATGCGATTAATGAGATAACATGCAGTAAGTACAACATCACCCCAGAAGGTGTATGGAACATTACCATCAATTAACAAAGCACGAGTGGTTTCAACCATATGGCGATTCTTGCGCTCGGCTACACCACCCCAATCTTCCTTAAGTCTCGTATTATCTATTAATATATATTAAAGGAGTAATTAGAAGAATCATATTTTCTATTAATCATTAGCATGTTGAAAATGTATTGCATATTTTATATTAATATTTTGATAGGTTTAAAAATTGGACTATCTCTTAGAATTTATTTTTTTAAACGTATAATCATATAAAGAGCTGAAATGTTTCTTGCAGTGGATTTAAATAATATACACTTCGTAAAAAGGTACGAAAAAGAAAAGTGAATGGCAAATTTCTGTGTAAATTTTGTAAGTTTTTTTTTTTGTACAAGTATCATAGCTTCTAAAGAGTACGTTTCTAAAATGGTCAAAGGATGTATTTATTGAATACTCTATTACAGAAAAAATTTACTCATTAATTATTAAATATCAATAAATTTTTAATAACCTTATTATAAAAAAGTTTGAAACCTAAAGGATCGAAGCCCAAAATAAAAGAAGAAAACCAATACTAACTGGGTTTCCTTTGATAGAGCCCACGAAGCCATACTCCCTTGGGTTACGCGTTCCAGCTCCCAATCGACAGATTTTGGTATTCAAATTAAAAAAAAAAAAGCTATTCTAAAGTTATGTTGTAATAAGTGAGAGAATAGGCTCGAGTAAGTTTATAAATTTTAGTGGATTAATATTTTAATATATTTTAAATTAAATTAAAAAAATACACCTTCCTTTATTTATTTTAAAAATAATTTTATTCTATATTTTGCAAGCAGATCAGCAACCCGAGCAATGAGGAAATTAGAAAATTTTGTGAGGCATTATATACACAAAACAAGGAGAAAATGGGTGAACAACTGAACAAGGTGAATTTTTTAAGAAAGAAATTGCAATCCTCAGTGACAATGGGTCCCAAGCATTTCTCGAGAAGTTAAAAATCTTATTAATAAATAAGGATAGGAATTGTGAATTGTAAGCAACCATACATGATATATGTGGTCTAGTGAAAAGATCAATTAGGTCCCGTAATTAGGGATGCAATATGATTACATAATTATATCATTAACTTGATTAGTACTTTTGCAATCATAAAGCACATATATTATCGTCACTATTTCATTCAGCACCTTGTACATATTTGAAACCTTGACTTCAGGGTGTCTAAATTATAGGAAGCTAGGTGTCACTCATGCACCACAAGCTACAGGCTGAGAGGTCTCAGTTCCTCACAATGTAAAAGAACTATACATACTGGAGGGGTTTCCCTTAATATGGGAGGTGTCTGTCACTCATGCAAAAGAATACTGTTGTTTGGGAGGTCTCAGTTCCTATAATTTACAAACGCCATGCTTTACAATATGGGGGGTCTCAGTTCCTCACAATGTAAAACAACTAGAGGCGAATTCCTTGCATTTTAAGTCTCGACGAGGGGTTAGTTTTATTTTTTCTTTCATGATAATTGTTTAATGCATCATTTATTTTAACGAGGAGTTAGTTTTATGGCCGTATTACAAACAGTGGAGGAGTCACGTTAGGGTAAGGTGGGGCCTTGGCCCTGATTAACTTTTGAAAATTAGTCACATTTTAAACATGGCTAAATCACCATAGCTAATTTGCATGCTAGTTTTTAAAAATTAGTTACAATTTAAACGTGACTAAAGAATCGTAACTAGGTTTGACACGGGCTAAAGGATTGAATGGAGATAAACCCTGGTTATATATGTATATATAGGTAGGATTTGACATCAGTGTCAAATTTGAAATTTGACACCTTATCTGAGAGCCATTAGATCAAAAAAGATCAACGATTCTGATTTGTAAGCATGAGACACCATTGATCTTTTTTTATCTAATGACTCTCAGACGAAGTGTCAAATTTCAAATTTAACACTTGTGTTATCTCATATATATATATAGAGACAGGATCATTTGACACCGGTGTCAAATTTGAAGTTTGACACCTTATCTGAGAGCCGTTAGATAAAAAAGATCAACGACTCTGATTTGCAAGCATGTAACACCATTGATCTTTTTTGATCTAACGACTCTCAGATGAAGTGTCAAACTTCAAATTTGACACCGGTGTCAAACTTCAAATTTGACACCGGTGTCAAAGGATCCTGCCTCTCACACACACATATATATATATATATATACTTTGGAATATAGATGATTGTTTTATGGGATTGTATATGTTAATTTTGTTTCTGAAACATAATTTCTTCTAAATTTCCACCTTTACATACGACTTAGGACCTCTTTTGATGGGTTTTTTTTTAAAATTTTTTTTTATATCTTGTTTATTTTAGAAATTTCTTTTACAAAAGTTAAAGCTATTTAAATTTTTAAAAAAGTATTTGATATTTGATAAAAGAGAAATATTTAATTTTTGAGTTCTGTTTTTTATTAGAAGCTAAAAAATTTAGCTTTCAAAAAAGCAAAATTTTAACTTTTTTTAAAAATAGACATATATCCAAACGGATTTTTTTTTAATGCTTTTTAAAAAAAAAAATACCTTTCGGAGAACAAAAAAAATTCATTCAAACAGACCTTAGATGTATACTGGGGCAGCCTCCTTTTATGAGGGCCACACGACAATACCTTTCAACAGTGCTTTGTTCCTCACCAATCACCATACAGTGTCTTACAGAATTGATTAATTAGTGATTCAACAGAATTAGTTAGTTAGCTACCACTACCCTTCCAACCCCTAACACCTAACCTAACTCCCCCAGCATTGTCTCTACTCTCTACGTTGGGTGGGTGGGTGGGGGATGAACCGCTTTTGTAATTGAAAATGGTTCTGTTATTTTTCATATTTGAGTATGCACACATATATCAATTAAGTTTCATAATATGTTTTATAAATAGATTCACTTTTTTTTTTGGTAAGCAAATAGATTCCCTTTAATTTTGGCAGGACCGCGTATATTAATATAAATAAATTATATTATTAGGTTATAACTTATTTTAAAAAAAAAATCAACTCACACATATATATATATATATATATATCTATGGCATCAAATCTTAACCGTTAATTTTCGTGCATCTAACGATTAAGATTTATTAGGTGATATTAATTAATTAATTATTGTGTCTAAATTCATTAAATGCAATATTGACCTAGCTATTCATATATAGATATACACATATTGTATAGCAGAAACCCACCGGGCGTGAAATATTGTGTTTCGTATACCTTGAATGATTCATAATATTACAAAAGCGGACTTTTATAGTTGAAAAGTGAAAATTAACGTGCAAAATGACATGAAGGTACGCGAATTTTTGTTTTGGATTTGGCCCCATGTAAGTACACTATTCGTTTAGAGATATTAATCTGTTTCTAGCTTGCATCAAAAGAAAAATTCATCAAGGAATGGACTATAGAATCAATAAGAAATATATATATATAAAAGATGGAGACAGACATAATAAAACTAAATTGTTGAAATTAGGCCCTTGGATGCGATCTCGTTCTATCACAATCAAGCTCCTAAACAATCTTCCACTCGTCTATAAATTGTTTACTCTTAGCCCCTTTAATTTGTCTCTATAATTCCCTTTTCATCTTTTATTGGTTGATAAATAATCGCCCTATAAAAAATAACGTATATATATTATTGTATATAAATAGGCGAGAATTCCTTCTTCATTATTCTAAGCATCAAGCTCGTAATGAAAAATTGGTGCAGCAAATGAGCATAAGTCACCAAATATAGTATCATCATTTTCGGTGTAGATTCCTGAATCTTGACTTTCAAAGATTGTTTGAATATCTTCGGGGAATGTACGACGAGGAGGGTTAGACTCAGAAGGTGTTGGAGGGTAATTATCTACAGTTGATGAAGTCTTTTGTAGCATTTCTTTGAATTTGGATGATTGTAAGAGAAGCCCAATTGCGGAAGATGTTGAGGTGCCACCATTAGATTGATCCAGATGATCAGCACCATTGGTTGAACCAAGCTGATGGGAGACAAAACCTAGCTCAAGTTCGGGATTAGGGTTTAGTTCTTCATTACTAGGGTTTTCAAGATTGTCTTGGGTTTTAGGACGTAGCAAATTGATATAACGGTTGAGGTCAAAGTTTGTAACGGCGTTAAGTCCTCGGAACTCTATGGCTGCCATATCATATGCCGTGGCTGCTTCTTCTTGTGTAGCTGTTCCACAATACAATATATATATATATATATATATAATATATGGTTATACACATGTAAGCAAATGCAAAAGGATAATTCAATTTATATACATTTATGTCTATCGAGGATTTCTTTTTGCGGAATAGTTTACATCAAAAGATATCATAATTAAATACCTTTATTAAGCAGTTGAAGTTTGGTGACCTATATCGCAACCAACGAGATTTGATTGCATATTTTGACCTTTACATTTGACCTACTATATTTGATCTGCTGGACCATATTGAAATGAAGTAGGTATTTTTTGTTGGAAAATGGAAGGCATGGTCAAATCTATTTCCTAGCTTTCAGGTATAGAGGTACATCATCTCCTATGGTTTGATTTATTTCAATATATATATATATATATATATATATATATATATATATATATATATATATAGGAATAAGATCAACTTACACCGGTGTAAGAATAATAAATCTTACACCAAATCTTAACCGTTGATTTCCGTGCATCCAATGATTGAGATTTATTGAGAATTAAAAATTAATTAATGAGTGAGATCTAATAAATCTTAACCGTTAGATGAAGAAAATCAATGGTTAAGATTTGGTGTAAGACTTATTATTCTTACACCGGTGTAAAATGATCTTGCCCCTATATATATATATATCTAATAAAGGGTTAATATTTGTTTTTGAACATTTTGGCATTAGAACAAGAACAATTAATGCCATATTAGCCAAAGAAGTTTTCATATTTACTTTTTCTCTTACCCCCGCCAAAAAAAAAAAATCCTCAGAAAAAAATAAGGGAATGACATCGATCCGTTATATGTACTTTAATATGGCATTAGATTATAGTCATTGAAATTACCGTAAGTTCCAAGGTATAAATATTTATTGCCGAAGACCCTGCCAATTCGAGCTTCCCATCTTCCGTTATGGTGGTGTCTAAATATTTAAAACCAAAAGTCAGAGCATTTTCCGCCAATAATTAATTATTTACACAGAAATATATGGAGAGGAAAGGTAAATGTCAATCGTCAATAGAAATGAACTGTAATGGTAGCTACTCATTTATCACCAATTGGGTAATTTGTACACGTAGACAAATGCTAAGATTTTGATTTAAAATTAATTGATAATATTCTACATTTAATCCAATTATCTATATAATTATGTGTTCAAAACGTATTATATTTTTATTAGGCATGTTATATTTACAAATTTTTTTATTTACAAACTATTACAAATTACACTATGTAGGACCGGTCCTACATTAATTACACAGTGTATGACCGGTCCTATATTAATGTAATTGTAAAAAAAAAATTGTAAACGAATCTTATCCCATTTTTATTTGACTGACTATAAATAGTTGCCCTCAAAATTCATCGAGAATTCTAGAAAATTCAACCTCAATTAATGTGCATCATTAATAACCGAACTTTCGGATATATATCATGGAGTGGGTATAAAGAATATACTCAGGTACACGCTGACTAAAGTTCTAGCCTACAGATATTGGTCAGCTGAATATTAGGTTATGCTAATTCTGCTCGCAAATTACAACCTAATTTTGTTATTTTTTATTTTTGGGTGCGTGAATATGACCACAAAAACTTGGTGTGTCTGTAATCTTGATTCGAAAGTGAAAAGTTCCCAAAACCAAAAAAAAAAAAACTGTTAGGCACATTATTAAACTAAATATATTTAAAATTAATAACTAATTAATTGATATAATTCAATAAATTATAACTATTAGATGATGAAAATCAACGACTAAAATGAGAAGAAAAACTTTTAAGCATTATATTGGATTAAAAAAATATCTCCCTATAATATAAAATGAGACAGGATATTCTTACACGAGTGTAAGAGTTAGAAGTCTTACACTCAATCTTAAGCATTGATTCACTTGTATTCAATGTTTCACATTATTAAAAAATTAGAGCCCTTAGATTTAAATAGGATCAATGATTAAGATTGAGAGTGTAACTTACACTGGTGTAAAATAATCGTAATTCATATAAAATTCCCCTAGAAAAGTATAAAACGAAAATAATTTCTTACGAAATCGAGTTGCTGTTATATAACTATTTTAATTTCTTTTTAAGTTTTTATGCGTATGTTCCTGTGTGCCCCACTTCCTAAATTCAACAAAGATATCATTGATTTATGTTATTGACCAAAATCTAACGTATAGACAGAGAATCAAAATGTCACAAAACCTAGCATTTTGCAATAAATAGAAACAAGGAATCTTATATAGTACCTTGCTACACCTCTGTATTTTGAGACTCCTCGAGAGAACCCACTGCTTTTTCTGCACATTGAAGATTAAACTCATTAAATACTTATACCCGGCTTCAATGGCTAAAAAAAAAGCACCCTTCACTAGTAATTTACATATTTTACACGTTACGCGTAAAAATTAAGGGTTAAAGAATTTTTTCTCATATATATACATAATTAACATGTAGATCCCATTAAATTATTTTTCTCTTTTCTTTTTTTAATTGGACCACATGTTTGTTGTGTGTAGGAGAAGATATTCTTCTCATCTAACATAAGAAAATTTTAACCCAAAAATTAAAGAATTTAATAACTAAAAAACCTTCTCAGGGATCCAATATGTTCTTCTTTTGACTGGCCCTCCATCTCCTTGAGCTCCTCTTGATAATTTGATAACTACAACCAAAAAACATATATGTATATATAAAATCAACTGATCAAATCTGGTTTTTGAATAAACATTTCTTTTAAAACCAAATCATCATTTGAATTGGACAATGAGGGAATTAACTGGAAAATTGAGAATGGTATCTTGGCCCCAGTACTTCAATGCTGCCAAGTCATAGGCACGTGCTGCAGCTTCTTCATCGTCGTATGCCCCTAACAAACCCAAGTTTGCAGTCATTAAATCGTCTCTCATCTAACCCCACTTTCAATTCTCAACACCAAATTACAGGACGAAAATTTAAGAAAAAATAAATAAATCATTTTTAGATGAATGACGCTATATATATATATATATATCTAAACAAAAATTCAAATCATACCTAGATATACTGCATCCAGTTGTTTTCCATTGCCATCATGAACCAAGACAACATAATAATGAACATGCCAATAAATAAAATAATTAAGTGAAAAAAAGAAAAAAGAAAAATTGAAAATATGAGAAGAGTAAATTAATGATTAAGAACCTTGTCTTCCTTTCTTGCTCTGTGATTCATTCCAACAATTCTTATCCCACAAATGAGCCTCATATCGACCAGTCCATCGATGCCTAAAAGTTAAAACCATATACATAATCTCTCACATTTTAGAACATAACATGGGACAGAAAAAAAACAGAGAGAAAAAATAAAAAGGAAGAAAGAAGATATAGATTTAAATTGATGAACCTTGTGACACCACGGTAGATTGAGCTTCGTTGTGGAGGTGAGTCTCTTGGAGTGCTTTTTCGTGTCCGCTTCACCGACGTCGTTGGTTTCATACTCTTCTTGTTGCTGCTGGCAATAGTGTTCTTGTTAAGGCTCCTCCTCTGCGATTTCTTCGCCATGAAAACTTACAATAAGAGAGGACCACGCTGCACTAAACACGCATAGTTCAATTGTGAAGGAAGTGAGAGCTTTATGAATATGACCAAGTCATCCAATAAGAAGGGCATTCATTAATACTAAATAGTGGAGGAGACTGAAAAAGTAGGTCTATTTCTTTATTTCTCTCTCTCTCTCTATCTATAAATTTAATATTAAATTTTATTTTCATTTTTCCTTGTTTCTGTTGTAGTACAGTTGGTGGTTGATCAGCGAAAAGACTTGGAAGATTGAAAAAATGTTACGGACGACAAGAAAGGTTGGTTTTTATTGTTGCCGCCTAAAAGCGGTTTGCGTTACCTGTAATGCTTATGAGAAAATATCTTCTCACTAGATAATTTGTCTTATACAATATAATAAACATATTTCACATAATTATATTTTTGACTATTTCTATTTGGGTGTGGATTTTTTAATGTGTTAATTAACATGATCATGTTATTAAAAAAAATTTAACCATGTAAGGGTGGATTAATGGTGATAATAGAGAAGAGAAATAAATATACGAAAATGAAATTATAAAACCATTATCATTGATTATTAATGGTTAACTAATTGTTACAATCTATTTCATTCTACTTTCCTCTTATTGTGATCATTTTTAAAATTAACTTATTCATTTTTAAAATCATTTTTAATAATTGATCCATTCTTAGCCTAGGTAAAGTCCATCTTGTTGTGATAGAAATGAACAAAAACAAATTTTTATCCTATAATTTTTTATTAACAAATGGTACTAATTAATAAAACTAACTAATTATATTTAACATTAACAATGTCTAGGGACCTGTTTTGTTAATTACAATAATTAGTTTAATATTATTTAAGGATTGTTAATTATCGTAATTTGTAATTAGGTTTTGTATTTATATTTAATATTTTTTTCTTAGTAGCGTTAATAAAAAATTATAGGATAAAAATGTAATTTTTTTATTATAGGGGTGCTGACACGTGACGTGAAAGTACGTACCAAACCAGCTAGGCAGCCCAGCGCGATTAAGGGGGTGCTGACACGTGTCTGAAAGTACAACAAATCTAGCTTGGTTGACCAGCGCGAATAGTGAGAGGGTGACACGTGTCCTGCTTTTTAGAAAGTACAGCGAATATAGCTGGGTTGACCAGCGCGAATGGTGGGAGGGTGACACGTGTCTTGCTTTTCAAAGTGTGCAGACTGGTTGATTGACAAGTCATTCTAGCTTGTCATACCAGCGGGAATGGATCACCATGGCTGACCGCCACGTGTCATCTGACAATATCGCTGGTTGGTGTAGCGGGATTGAAACGTGGCATTTTGAAAATTTCGAAATGTAAGGTGGCATACCGGTAAAATATTAGTCAAAAGGTGTTACTTTGGTCAAAGTCCCGCAGATGTGGCTCTTGTAATCATAAAATTATATTAGCCGAATCCATAATTTACATTTGTTTTTCTTAGCTAAAAATAAGAATTGAATTTTTACTATAAATTAAAGAAAAAAATGAATAAATCTTGCTGATGTGAACGATGGATGGAATAATCCGGAAGCTTTAATTTAGAGGAACTTATGGCAATGCAGGTTTGTAGCAAAATATTGCTAGTACCAAACCTCATTCCTCATATGCTGGAATTAATGATTTCCTAGCTTGGAGTTGAAGTCATGATGGCAATTTCTCTATCAAATCAGCACATCATTTTATTGCTGGTAACACCCATATCTTGGTACTGGATAGCACCCTGTTTAAAAAACATCTGATGGTGGTCATAGTGCACCAAAAAAGCATGAAAATCAAACATAACAAAACTTGCCTTTTATGGCCATTAAGGACTACCTTTAATGAAATTTTTGTTGAGCTTCTAATTATTAAAGATGGATCATCCAATTGTTATTTTCAAACCGCCCTTTAAAGACAAGTGAGGAATTTAGTTTTATATATGCAGAGGAAAATCAATACTACCTAGAGGACCTAGAGGAGAGAAAATACCCACCCATTTTATCAGCTAAAAGATAAAGATTTATCATTTATCAATTAGCTTTTAATTTATTAAAAAAAAGCTTGTAATTAAATGTATACAGTTGCAACTTTTTTATTTAATGAATAAATATTTAGTGTATATTTATTTTATTTTAATAAAAATTATAATTAAAATATTTTAAAGTTAATATTTGGTTAAAAGTGTAAAGCACGCTTTTCATAAAGTATAATAAAGAAACTCATATTTAAAATTTAATAATTAAACGACATGAATTTGGTTGTATAATATATATATACACACACATTAGCTTTATATACATAATTTGGTTACATTGAAAAATATTTTTAATTGTTACTCTTTATTTTTTTCATTTATAAAATGATGTTCTTGTTCTATCTTAATTAAATTTTAATCCTGTGTGTGTATTATATAAGAATTGAAAATTTATTAAGTAATTTAATTTTAAGTAAAATGAAATTCATTTGACTAAACTTCTTTTTATTAAAAATACTTAAAATCAGGAACTCAGTGAAAAAAGAAAGCATATACATAATCCAAAATCATAGAGGTAACAAAATGGATAATATATCCCGCCTCCAACCCATCTTAAAATGAACCAATCCACCCTGTTTTATTTTTAAAAATGGATTGAAAATTTCAACTCACCCAAGCCACCTCCAAACTGTCAACATATTAGAAAAGTAAATTTTTTAAAAAAATTATACTCTCTATAAATGCAAATGTGTCAAAAAAAACAAAAGAGGGGCAAACAAAATAATTGATTAATATTGTTTAAAAAAATAAAAAATTAACTAGAGAGGTCAACCTGTCCATGATAGATTAGAAATCACAACTCAATCCATAATTTGTGGCGAGTTAAATAGATCAATCCGACCGTTAGAGTACTCCTGTATTACCAATATATTTTTTTAAGTAATTTTTTTAATTTTATTTTACATAAAAGTTTCCAATATGTAAAAAGTAATTTATATGAATTATTTTGCTAGTGCAATCAACAAGATTTACAAAAAAAAATAAAATATAAAGGAAATTACAAAGTTGGAGGACCATAACATACTCCTCCCTCCACTTCTGTTTAAAATATTATTCACTGTTCATTTTCTCCCTCACTATTATTATTAAGTAAAAAATTAAAACAAAAATTAATGTTGCATTAATTAAAAGAACTTTTCGAAATGCTTGTTTAAGAATACAAGAGATGTTTTTTTAAATTCTCTCAACAAATTATAAAAAAAGGATTGTATTTTAGACGGATTAATGTTTATTATATTGTAAGAAATAATTTTATTTATTTGGATCCACTAGGGCTAGTCTAGTGGTGTGGGTGTGTGTAATAAGATGTGTGTTAGTGTGTTCGATTCCCTGTAATTTCAACAAAAAAAAAAAATTTATTTCCTACACATACATAAAACTACATAATATCCATGTTTTTTTTTTTTTTTTTCTCTTTTCTCGACATGACATCACATGGACTCTACACATTTTTATACGTGTATAAAAAATAATCTTATCTCCTACGACATGACAAACATTAATCTCATTTTAAAAATGAACTAATTCAAATATGCACCCAAAAAATGTAATAAAATCAATATATTATTATTATTAGAATTTTGTTTCTATTAGGTCACGTAATAAAAATCTTGTTGGTAGACCCACCCATTTTACTTAAAAAAAAAAATAGAACACGAAAGTCGAAAGTTCAAAACATTTTTTACAAAACAGGTCTTGCCAAACGAGTTTTTTAGTTTTTTTGTTTTGAAAACTAAAAAACTGTTTTGCAAAACAGAAATCAAGGCTCTGTTTGAATACTATTTTCAAAAACAGTTTTTTAGTTTTTAGAACAAAAAACAAAAAAACTCGTTTGGTAAGACCTGTATTATAAAAAAAGTTTTAAAAACTGTAACTGTTTTTTTGTTTTTAGAATCAAATTTAGAGAACATGTCTGAGTTGTTTTTGTTTTCTGTTTTGGTTTTTAACTTTCAAAATAAAAAAACATAGAAAACAACTGTTTCCATAATTATTCTACAAAACAGTTTTAAGAACAAAAAAATCAAAACACAATCCAACATACCCCAAATTTCTCTAATGTGACCTAACAGAAATAAAATCCTTATTATTATTCCATATGCCGATTAATGGTTTAGATTGAAACATAAACACAATATGGCGAATATAATAAAAGCCTTGGTCATTCTTATTTTATTAATACTGAAATTTTATTTCACTAGTTCTTCTTTCTTTCAGAACATGGCAGGCTTAAGAGATGGATTTCATTTAATAAATACATAGCCAGCAAGGTGCCAATGACTATATATCTTCTCAATTGCTTTGATTTCTTGGCTTGAGTTTCACTTGCAGTGGATGGAGCCTGTGGGTGGTAAGGCCAACCGTATCCACATTCTCTTCTTCCTCCCCTTCATTGAGCTTCCACTCAAATTCCTGAACCAATCTACCAATTGCTGTGCAAGAAATCAACATTGCCTGAAGAGACCCTGCACACACCCTCTTTCCTGCTCCAAACGCCATAGTCTTGTACAAATCCATGGTGTCATATTTCTCATCAAGAAATCTCTCAGGCATCCATTGCTCAGGATTTTCCCACTGGTTCTTGTCCATGTTACATCCATATATGTTTATTGCAATCTGTTAACAAGACCCTTGTCAATAATATAATGCTGGTAATCAATAATCATATACAAATAGAAGAATAATATGCATGGTAAATTCAAAAGATCCACCAACCTGGCTTCCAGCAGGAATATGATATCCTCCAAGTTGGGTATCTTCTTGTACATATCTTAGTGGGACCATTGGAGCTGGACTATGCTTCCTTAAAGTTTCATGGAAGACAGCCCCTAAGTATGGTAGCTTAGATAATTTGTCTTCAGTAAGCTTTTCAAATCCACAAACATTTTGAAGCTCCTCATAAAGACGATTCTGTTATATAAAGGAAAAGAGTGACACACTGTGTCAGAGAATAATATAAACCATTAAAAAGACCCTCACCCAATAGCTTAAGCTTTTGGGTTGAATTGGTTCTTTACATGGTATTAGAGCCTCGTGTCTCGGGTTCAAGCCTCGTTGCCCCCCATTTTCTTTGTGGAATTTCTTAGCACAGATAGGTTGGACCTGATACATTATCCACCTTTCAAGCTCAATGGACTCTCTTGTGAGGAGACGTGTTAGAGTGAGTATATAAACTATTAAAAAAGTCCTAACCCAATAGCTTAAGCTTTTAGACTGAATAGATTTTTTACAATAAGAATGAGAAAAACAACTAACTGAATAAACCAGTAGATATTGTTAGCCAAACACAAAAAGAAAAACAAACAACCTGGCGTCTTTTGTCTTTAGCAAGTTCATACATAGCCCACTCAGTTGTGACTAATGTAGTATCTGATGTCTCAATTATGGTCTCCCAAAGCAGCATGGAAACTTGTTCTTCTGTGAGTTCTTTTGCTTCGGATAACAGGTACTCAAGATAACAATTTACTTCCTGTGACATCCCAAACAACAAAATAAAGGATAAATCTATCATAGGCATTGCATAGATTTGCAATTGTTCACAACAAGGCCCTACCTTTGCTGAAGCCATTTGCTTTTTTTGTTCATTCATCAAAGCCTTCATCACAGCTTTTCTGCGGAAGGTCATTTTCTGAATTTTCATCTCAAAACTCTTATTTGGAATCCATTTCAAGTATGGAAAGAAATCTCGCCAATCCACCTCAAGTGCACCTTCCATCACGTCAAGCACTAGAATCTTATATATGTCCTCTCTTGACAAAGTTCTCATAAGCTCCTCCACATAAACAGATTCTACATTGTTTCCCATACCCTGCAAATTCCCACATGTTCAGTATAATAATTGTTATCCTATTCTCTCAGAAATATGTCTATTAACAATTATTTAAGGAGGGACTCACTTGCTTCAGTGCTAGTCCAAAAAGTTCAGATGCAAATATGTTTCTAAAATTAACAGCCGAAGCAGAGGAGGTCTTCACATGTTCTTGAAACTGCCTTGAAATATTTTCCATCATGGTTTCTCTGTGGGAACGGTGTCGCTTCTGAATAATGGAGGGGAAAAAAACACTTCAGAGTAACCTCAGCGAGAAAACCAAAAGAGAGAGTTCTATACACTTAGATATTCTTAAGGTAACCAGAAAGTTATTATAACAAACCTGTGCATTGGCTCCTAGAACGTTTGTAAGAATATGCCTTTTGACCATTTTGTGAAAATCATTGTAGTCACTTGTAGCAACCATGCATTTATCATAAGTCAGAACTTTCAGTGCATTTGACAGCGCCCTTGTTGAAATGGACGGAAATCTTGTCACCATTGCCTGAAATAACCATAAAAATCCTATCAATCAGAAATAAAAAGAATTATATGGATGAACTGTGACAAATGATAAAGAATCAAGGTCCCCACTGCCTGTTTGAACGAATCAGATAAAAAAATAAATAAAGCAGTATGGTTATTGTTGGATTTTGTGTCTAAATCCCATGACTTATGAATAAGAAGTGGGTTGAGAAAGAAGACAAAAAGAGAAGGTGAAAAAGATGTGTGGGTAGAAATCCCACATTAGACAAGACACTAGAAGTGAAAGAGTTTATAAGCCTCCCTCAATTTGCCCCTTGGGGCACACTACTTTTTTGTGGAGGAGAGTGAGGACTAAGTGGGTCTCATTAACCTTCCGCATACAGAGATATATTCCAATTTCTAATGTTAACAGTTATGCTTCATCAAATCCATTATATAGGACTCAAATGGCATGCCAAAAAAAGTCAGTTTGCTAGCAAATACTTTTACCATTATTCTTGAAAATGGACCTACAAAAAAATATCAGAAATGACAAAGGGAAATAGTTTCTCATGTTGTAGAAAATTAGTTACTTATGTTATGTTGTAGAAACAAAATTACAAGTGAGACCCACGGGTAAGAGGAGATAGAGAAAAAGAGTGGTGGGACCCACTTCTCTTTTGTGTGTGTAGAAAAATTGTTTATCTCATATAAAATGAGATAAATAACACGAGGAGAGAAAAAAAAGAGTGGTGAAATTCACTCCTCTTTTGTTTGTGTAGAAAAATTATAACCGAATGACAAATTATGAAGAAAGTAATGTCACCTTAACATTTGACAAGACGGTGACAAAATGTTGAAATTGTCAACTTAACTTACTGGATAGTTTTCAAGACGAACATAAATCTCATTGTAATATTTTTTTTAAAGAAAACAATCAGGCTCTGACTAGAAATCAAGTTGAGATGATGCCCATCACTTTGAAGGTTTAGGGGAATCAACTGAGGGTCATTGTTTTCCACTTGTACAAAGGTTGTGTAAAATAGGTGAAGTATACACCACACCCCAAATTTAATGGTAACACCTCGTAAGGGATGTGGTATAGATGTCACCTTGTAAATAATCGATAATTACAAGTTAACCACAACCAGAACCTTCATCTGACAAGGGTCAAAAACAGTACTTTTATCAAGTTGGATGTGGGTTTTTGGGTTGACTAACCTCCTTAGCAACCTGCACGGAGTTGAGGACAATGACAGTGAAAGCACCGGTTTTGATGGAATAAATGGGCCCATATTTCTCGGCTAACTGTACGAAGGTCTTGTAAGGTTTCCTCTCTTTCAATTGCAACAGATTCCCTATCACTGGTAGCCCTGGAACCGCTGCAACAACATTCATTTAACCCAATTTATTAATTTAACCATTTCATGCTCATAATCATATAAAATACATAAATCTAAAACAAGTTTAATTATAATGATACCTGGTACTGTGGGAAGTTTGGAATGTTTGTCTCTGACTCTGAGCTTGAGAAAGAGCAAAAAGAGCAAAGACAAAACACCCACCACGGCGGAGGTGGCAAAGGTCTCTGTCTGAACTACTTGATGGATAGCTCTCAGGTTGTCCATTGTTGTTCTAACTTAACACAGGAAGCTCTATTGTCTCTCTACTACATACATTGTATATGCGGTGTGTGTATATATATATATATATATAAGGTAGGATGCTTTGATATCGGTGTCAAATTTTAAATTTGACACCTTATCTTATAGTTGTTAGATAAAAAAAAATCAATGAAGTCACGTGCTTACACATCAGAGTCGTTGATTTTTTTTTATCTAACGGTTACAAGATGAGTGTCAAAAGGTCCTACCTATATATATATATATATATATATATATATATATATATAGGGGTAAACATTTCTGCAGCAATTTTAGATAAACTTATCTACAGCTACCTTTTATAACTATGTTCTCACGAGAGAACATAGTTATAATATCAAAAGTTGCTTTTTTTTCCTCTCTATTTACTTTTCATAACCTGTCGGTTGACGTGGAGAGAGAAAAAAAATGTAACTTTAATGTTAATAATTATAACTATATTCTCTCGGAAGAACATAGTTATAAATCGGTAGTTCTAGTAAATTTATCTAAAATAATTGCAGAATTTTTTTTTTATATATATATAGTAAACATAGTATTTATGGTATATGTCGTATATATGTACATATAGTATTTATGGTATCAAATGGATGATGACATGACAATATATATCTAATTCAATGCACTGACAGATTCTATCCGGTAAGTGGTAAACACCTTTTCATTATTCAATCCTATTAATTAGTCTTATTGCATTTTGCTCGATTGGATTGATTTTGCTCCACTATTCTTTTCAAGTATGCAGTAGTGTCTAATTGAAGCTTCTATATTATTTTTATAAATAAAAATTCAGTTAAATATACTTTTACAAAAGCTTTTATTATAAAAACTAAAAAGAGTTCACTATTATAATGAATAAAAAAGTAAAAGCTTTAAAAGAATAAAAGCTAAAAGCTTATTTTAAGATATATATTAATTTTTTAAAACTTTTTTTTTATACTAAATTTATATTTATTAATTTTACGCCTTATCTTAATAATAAATTATTTTATTTTTTGCTTATAACAAATTTTTTTTTTTTCAAAACTCTTATAATAACTTTATATAATTATTAAAGGATATCATCTTGTCTATTGTTAGGAGAGTATATTTAGTGTTTATGAGATACACAACGGGAAGGAGAGAGGAAATAGATTAAATTTTTTTTAAGCAAATGTCAAATTTTTAATCGAAGAACTACAATAGTCCAGATGTATTTTAATTTTTTTTCTCTTAATACCGACTCAAAATTATGGTGGGCCACTCTTTAAAAGCACAACACTCATTTCAATGAGCCAGTGGAAATTTTTTTTTCAGTATAAAGCCCAATTACTAAGCAGTTTTTATCTTTATTTTTAACTTTTTATTTTTAAAAAACTTTAGCTTTTGAGTTAAAAAACAAATTGTGCCAGCTCTCATTATCTTTTCCTTGTGACTTGATTCTTGTATTACGAATTTTATTTAAAATGTATGTATCTGATAAAATTAACAATTCTAACTGTTACACCCCCCACAAAAAAAAAATGTTAAAAATATTTATATGGAGAATTATTCATTGACTTTGTGATGTGAATTTGATTAAAAATAAAAAGTAAATACCAAAAAAATAAATTATTAATCTTAATGGTAGCAAATTTAATAGTGAATTTGTGGCATATAAAAATTTATTTATAAGTTATGAAAACTTACTAAACAAATCTATGAGCATTTAATATAATAAATACTGCTATAAAACTAAAATGTTAATTTCATTCCACGATTAATAGAAAGTAAAACTTACCATTATGGTTGATTGCATTGTTTTTTATTTTTTTAAAGAGAAAATTTTACTTTCATTTTTTTATTACATAATATATTACTTAAATTCCTGAGGTTTGAAACTCATCATTTAATACATAAATATATTATTTAATCCCTCAATGTTTCAAGCTTACTATCAAAACCTATTAAAATTATATAATGCATCAATTATATCCTTGTGATCTTATACATATATAATTTTTTAATTTAAATATTGTGCTATTATTATAATTTTATTAATAAAATGATGATACAATAAGGGATGTAATCACAAGAAAGCTAAGTGATACATTTCTGTGATTACAATAGATTTAAGCCACAGGTTTGAAACCTTGTCTATCATACACACCATATCACAAAAGGTAAGTGAAAATTTCCTTTGTTTTAATCATATTTTCTCAGACAATTTTGAATATGAAATTATTACTTATTTGTAAAACAGAGATTATTTTTCTGCGCTACAATATTTAAATCTGAATATATGGTTACCAAAAAAAGTATGATGGGATTGCAAATTTGCAATTGCGTTCAAAGTTCAAACGGAAAGAAAAATAAAAATAAAAATAAAAAATAAAAAAATATTTTTTTTGAAAGAATAGTCATTTTAGTTAAAATTATTATTATTTATTTAATATTTAAATTAATTTTTATTTTTTATTCTTTTCTTTATAATTTTTCTTTTTCTTATTATAAAATATAATAATTTTAATTAAAATAACACATAATTCTATGTCATTTAAAAAGAAAAACAATGTGAGTAATTACTTATAATAAATAAATAAAATAATTTGAAAGGTTGTAATAAGTAAGGCAATTTGAAAATCAAAAGGGCGCGTCTCCATACCCAGATCTGGAACTGCCCGTTACCCAATATTTCTCTCTCTCTCTCTCTCTCTCTCTCTCTCTCTGTTTTAAGTATAAATCTTCATATAATCATTTCTTCACTCTTCACGTAATCCTTTGATCTATTCTCTCACGCGCTCGCTGCATTCTACACTACCAGGTTTTGCTTCACTCTCTTCTTGATCTCTCTTACTTTTTTCTAATTCTTGTGGTTTTATTCTTGAAATTCTTGTGTTCCTTTTTATATTTTGCCGTCAATCACTCTGAATTTCAGATTAGATAAATTGATCTCCAATTTCTTGTGTTCCTTTTTGATTGATTTCGCTGTTAAAATTTGATGATGTTGGAATGAGATTAGATAAATTATCTTCAATTTGTTGTGTTGTGTTTGTGGTGGTAGAGGATTAGGAGAAACTAGTAGTAGGAGGTGAATGGAGAAATACGAGAAGCTTGAGAAGGTTGGAGAAGGAACGTATGGAAAAGTGTACAAGGCGAAGGACAAGGTAACTGGGCAAGTGGTTGCTCTGAAGAAGACACGTTTGGAGATGGACGAAGAAGGTGTGCCTCCAACGGCTCTCCGAGAGGTTTCACTCCTTCAGATGTTATCACAGTCCATTTACATCGTTCGTCTTCTCAACGTTGAGTATGTAGACAAGGTCCTAAAGACAAAGCCAGACACCACTGCTGCTGCTGGTGGTGGTTCTAACCCTAACCACACCAAATCCATTCTCTACCTTGTCTTTGAATATCTTGACACTGATCTCAAGAAGTTCATTGATTCACACCGCAAGGGCCAAAACCCTAGACCCCTTCCCCCTTCCCAGATACAAAGCTTCCTCTTCCAGCTTTGCATGGGTGTTGCACATTGCCATAGCCATGGTGTCCTCCACCGTGATCTCAAGCCCCAGAACCTTCTTCTTGATCAGAAAAACGGTATTCTCAAGATCGCTGATCTTGGCCTTGGACGTGCCTTTACTGTCCCTCTTAAGAGTTACACTCATGAGATTGTCACCCTCTGGTATAGAGCACCTGAGGTTCTTCTTGGCTCCACCCATTACTCAACTGGGGTTGACATGTGGTCTGTCGGATGCATCTTTGGTTTGTACACTAATTAACACTATTTCCCATCATGTTTTTGTTTTAATCATGCGTGCTGATATAATATGTGTTCCTCCTCATTTTGTTTTGTTTGTGTAGCTGAAATGGTCAGAAGGCAAGCTCTTTTTGCAGGGGATTCTGAGTTCCAGCAGCTCCTTCACATATTCAAGTATGACAATCACTTTTCTTCAATGATTCTATACTCACCTAAAGCATGTTTTGTTACCAGCTATGTAGAATGCAATTTTTTCCTTTTATTTTCAAACAGTCCTGTGGGTGTTGTTCTCAATTTGTCGATTTGTCACATTTCGATCTGTCACTCTCAACTTTGGTTTTGGCTTCATTTGATGCTTCCCAGGGTTTTGGGGACTCCAACAGAGGAGCAATGGCCAGGAGTTACTTCTCTGCGTGATTGGCATGTCTACCCACGGTGGGAACCTCAGAACTTGGCAGGGACTGTGCCGACCTTAGGACCTGAGGGAGTAGACCTTCTTTCGGTTAGTTTTCCGTTTTAACTGAAATGCTTTGTGCTTGTAAACTGATAGGCCTTTAGAGACCAAGTTAACATAAATAAGAATATTTGTCGAAGACAAACTCGCAGTCATAATATACACACTTCCTAATGGATTCTCTGTATCCATTGATACTCGCAGTCCAATAAACTCAAAACATTTGAGAGTTTATTGGACATAGAAATGCGTTTTAGTTGGTGGATCAGACTCCAGCATAAAAAATGGGTGTATTGGACTTGAATAGCCTATCTGACATGGGTGTTCTGCTTCATTTTCACAGCAATGTATCTTTTCCCGGCTAAATTGGTAAACAGGATGTAAGGTTTGGGGAATATGATTGGGTATCAGTTATATATAATCTATCAGTTATATATGATTGGGAATATGATGTATTGTAATATATCTTAGGTTGTGAAGTTATCTGAACTAACTTTGAAGTGTTGATCTGAAATTATGATATAAGGTTTGGGGAATATGATTGGGTATCAGTTATATATATACCAATGGACTTGAATAATCTACGTGACGACATGGGTGTTCTGCTTCATTTTCACAGCAATGTATCTTTTCCCGGCTAAATTGGTAAACAGGATGACAACACTCGATGATGTATTGTAGTATATCTTAGACTGTGAATTTATCTGAACTAACTTTGAAGTGTTGCTCTGAAATTATGATATAATATTTGGCGAATTTTTTTTTTTTTTTTTGGTACATATATTTGGTATATAATTGGGTTATGTATATACCATAGCACTTCATATAACTAAACTACATGCTACCTTCACTTCCAACATGTTCAATAATACATTTTTCTTTTTATCTTTTCCATCAAACTGTGGTAGTAATTTTATGCAATTTCGCATCCTGCAGAAAATGCTCAAGTATAATCCTGCCGACAGGATATCTGCCAAAGCAGCACTTGATCATCCCTACTTTGACGGTCTTGACAAGTGTCAATTTTAATGTTACTCTAGTTGGAAGGTTGGGTAGAGATGTCTGTTAAGCAGTATTATGTGGCAGAAAATAAAAATTAATTCAGGATATGGAGTTTAATTGATCATCCCTGTCAAATTGATGTTTTGTAATATTTCATCATCTTGTTGATAGTACAATCACTCTTGGGGGTAGTTCTGGGTCTCTTTTAGAACTCATGAAAAACTTTATGCACCTCGGAAATTGTATAATCTATTGAAATTGAAAGGGATAGTATGTGACTATGCTTATTAACTGTGTCAACGCATAATATTTTGTTGTTAGATGTTGGCAGTCAATTGGTTGCCATTTAATCTTTATCTGATAATGTCCTAACAAGGAGCAAGCGGAAACCAAAAATTTAAGAAGGCTTAGAGGCAGAAAACATCAATTTTTTTGGTAAATTGATGAATTGAGTAACACAGATTTGTAATTTTTGTTTTTTTTTTTTGTTGTTGGTAAAAACAGATTTGCGTTTTTAAACACATTATGCTTTTAAGATATAGTATTTTTTTATATGCTTCTTTCAAGTGTTAAAAGGGAAATTTACATAATTTTTTTAAAATTGTAATGACTAATGGAGGTGCAATTCTTATCAATGCAGATGGACACAACTTTGTATTTACCATGTTCTTGAACTGAAACTACAAATGTAGTTTCCTTTCCTATTCCATAATTCATAATATCTTATATTTAAGAGAAAATGAGTCCATTTACAATTCAAGCCCTTCTTTGAATGCAGTTTAAAACATAATAATATATATACCTAGGAAAAGCCTCATAAATGACACTCTTATGCTAATACTTTCTAATAAGTAAACATAGTTATATGTATATAGTCTGAAGAGAGAAAACTTTAAAGATTTTGCTGACTATTTGCTTAAGAATGGTATCCTCCATAAGACATCTTTTATAGCAAAATTCCCTATTCAAGTGAAACTGCATGGCTCCCCTGCAAATCCCACTTTGGACTGCTTGGTATCATATATTACTCTTTGGTTCCTCTGCTGATAATTCCCAATAATGGCGATGTCATATGCATCAGAAAGACTTGCAAGAGCCAAACAAACTTGTGAAGCATCCTCTTTTACAATATAGAATATGCCACTTACATCCACATTCAGCTCAGCATTGTCCTCAAAATACATCCTAATTGTAGGCATGCTTACTTCTTGATACCCAGTGAGATTAAAACAGGTATCCAAAATTGAAAAACCTGGTGCTGAAGGGAAACCAGAAAACTGTTTCAAGAACTCTGCCTTCAAAGCCTTGTAGAGAGGTGGAGCCAGTCTTGTTATCACTGTCCCGGAATCAATTATGATCCCACCATTGCCAAAGCTTGGAGCTTGCAGAGACACACCACCAACATCTATACTGGTGAGATTGAGTATATAAAAGTTGGATAGCTGTGGGTTTGGAACCAACCTGGTGTAAGCTATGGGAGTAACATTTTTGAAAACTGAAGACTCATTACCCATAATCAATGACCCAGAAGCTCCAGTCTCAGTTGTTGGTAAACAGTATGAGAAAACTCCTCCAAATGTAGCATTGGTTTGAGATATCAATGAGAGGTAACTTCTTCCCAAGCCCATAAGACCAGAGACTCCTCCGAATAGACCTTTGTTGTTTCTACCACAACCAAATACAAAATTACTCACTGAAACACCTCCAAAACTAAGGTGATCAACACCGAGCTCCCCATTAGTATAGGACCCATCACCATAGTTAACCCCATAATTACAAGTTGATGGACTACTTCCACACGCTCCTGTATTTCCTGCAGCAAATTGAAGCGATTGGCAGGTTGATGAATTGCACAGAATTGATTGATATGAAGAGGAGGTAGAAGGCTTGAATACAGGTCCTTGTTGATTATAACATGACATGCAAGGCTCACATTGGACCCATGTCAAGTCGCTTCCGGTGTCAATTGTCACAGTCATATTCTGGCTACCCAATCCAATAGTCACGATGTAGTTTAAAGTTTCCAAGTTTATACCAGAAGCTAATGGAATTTGGGTTTCTGAAGCTTCTATACTATGACCAGAGACCATTTTTCGAATCCTGTTTTGCATTGAACGAACACGAAGATCATCTAATATTAACTGTTTCTTAAGCCTTCTGTTCCAATCACTTTTCTTCTCTGAGCAGTGACCTCTATCCTTCATTTCCAGTATAATAGCACATTTCACCCGTCCTGAGAATTCAGATAAAAAGGGATTTCACTTCTGCACTGATAAAATAATAGAAAATTTTAAATTTTAATTTGAAGCACAAATTAGTCATAGAAAACATAATGCAACCTAAAGAAGTATGAAAGTCAAGACAAGCTTTTGTGCAAGCCAGTTAATCTCTTCTTTAAGACTTTGACTATAATAGATTAATTGAGACCAATGATGGGTTTTTTCTTTTAATGAAAAAGAAAACTTTCTTAGATTCTAACAGTAAAAGGGAAAGTAGTTTTGATTAAGTAGTCGTAGATCCAAAGTGAAATATGACATGATGCTCAGAAAAACTTAAAATCTATGAACTTCCCTTTTCCTGTTAAACTCACTTGATTCCGGGAGGAGGCAACCCTGGGTATCAAGTTGTAGTTTCCTCTGCAATATTTGCAAATTGAAGATCTTCTTCTCTTCAAAAGAGCTAACCCCATTTGCAATGATGAGATAAAGAGAAACAAGGGAAAGAAATAATGACAACATAGCCGTCGCCTTAGCCATTAATGGGGGATGGTAAGGGATTGTAAAGAAAGATGAATTTGGAAAGAGTGATGGAAGAATTTAAGGGAGGAAACGGAGAAGAAACATTGAGAGTGAGAGAGGAGAGTGGTGTTGAAGGCCTAAAGGAGGAGATTCTGAGTGATGGATTTTGGCATGAGAACAAAAGAGGAAGGACTGGCTTTTAGACCCCACTTGTGCATGAGGAATTATTGGGGTTTCACGTGCACATATTAAGAAAAGTAGTGTTCTGTTGGTGGTAGTGAAGTGGGTCGAGGGACTTTGGATTTTCCATGTTATTGGTCTCTTTTAAGCCCTAAAAAATAAGACCCAGTACCCTTCAAGGTTACACCTTTTCCACAGAAGATGAGAGCCTTAAACTATTAGAGATTCATTAGTACATGAAATTTGGTGTGTTCAGGCAATGTCTCTTTACTGTTTCGAGATTATTTTTTTACTAGGTGGGGTACTTGGTTGTGTCTACTTACTAGCTGGATTTATTTTGTTTTGTAGAAAGCTGAAAACGAACAGAGTAATCAGTTTTGAGAAAGTGATACTTAAAACAGTTCCAGTGCCATTTCTTCTGGCTTTTATATTAAATTCCATCTGTTATAGTTGTTTCTCCGAGACATTGGCACTTGCAATCCAAAATGAATCTTAATTTTCTTGAATTCTGCACTCCAATAAAAAACAATTTAATATTAGTAGCTTCACATTTCTCTAGCATGATAGTATTCTTTTCTTGTAAATACTTGTGGAACATTTTGTATCGGAGTCACAAATATAAGTAATTAGATATATTATATTTGTACACAAGGCATAACAGTTCTCAGTAGGTTAATTGGAGCAGGTATGGCTTATATATTCAACAAGCATGCTTTTGCAAAGGAATACAAATTCCTAGTTAAACCAAGTGTTGGAATGTTACAAGGGTAGTAGCACACTTAGGATCTCTAATTGAAACATTCTTACAGAATGTTGCACCACTTGGTAGTTGTTATTTGTTAGATGTGACTGGCAGTTCCCTTTTTCTACTGTTTCTGATCAATAAGTCATCCTATTAATTGTTGTGTAACAATTATTAGTACTTCTTCAGTTTTGATCAATGGTCTTTCATGTGATTATTGTACTAATATATACTTTGCTTTACTCCCGTTTTGTCAAATTCAGTTCGGTTAATGGTTACATATATATAACAGCATATCTGGAAAAAAAAAAAAAAAAATCTAATCTAAAGTTGCTGTCAAAGGAGGGTGGCGATAACACTTGAGTTTCTTAAATCCAAAGTGATGGGCGTCTAAGCTATTCTCATATAGGCACATGTAATCTTGTTGTTATCCTTTTATTTATTCATACTTGTCTGATCCAATTATGTTAATGGTCAGAACTTAAGCTAAAATATCTATATATATATATATTACTTTTATATAATTTTCATTCCAATGCATTATATATGTTCAAACCCACTATCAAAGTTTGTATACTTTTCCTCTCAGATACTTTATTCCATTGACAGTATATATTTTATATTCTGTCAATGGTCAGAACTCTTATAGTCTCTCTCTTTATATAACTCTATCATGTAAAATTCGAATATAAAAAAGAAAAAAGATTTGTTCTTGTTTATGCTTGTATTAGGGAAGGAATGTGAGATTATTATTATTATTATTATTATTATTATTATTATTATTATTATGAGGGATGTATATTTATTTATTTGTATCTTGTATCCATAGATTCCAATGTAATTTTGTAGATACGAGTTAGGGTACGGTGACCAATGCTTTTGTCCACTTTGCTAAGCTTTGTGGCTTTAGCCTTGGCTAGATGACTCACTGGACCTCATCTCTCTCTTTCTCTCGTCTTGTGTTTTGTCTTTTTTTTCCCAAAAAAAAGTAAGGATATTTGCTCACTTGTAGTTCGAGCCGGCAAAATGGAGCGGGGCGAGCTGAGTTTTTCAAACCCGTCCCGTCAAACCCGCCAGCTTGCCTGGGCTATTTTTTTTTTTTTTTTTAATTTTTAGTGTAAAATGTCACGAGTTTGGCGAGCTGAGATTTTTAGCTCACTTTCAAAATCGCGAGACAGGTTAAGATTTCTAGTTCACCTTCAAAGATAGAGTAGAGCGAAGCGAGGCAGGCCAACCCGCTTTTTTGCAGGGGTTGGGGCGGGGCGCATAGCCCGCTTTGACCTCCTTGTAGTGTACCTTTTCTCTCTTGCTATATAATTGAAGTTACCGACTTCGGAGAAAATATATGCAATTATATTCCTACAAGACAATACTTTGTGTTTGGACTTCAAAGACTTTCGATATGTGGCCCATCCAAGTGCTAAATATCTTGTGTTTTGCAGGCTAATACCAATTCTATTTACACAATTATAGAATTGTAAACGTGGTTTATCTGAAGTTGAACGAACTCAACCTTTTTTTCTTAATTCAAAATCAAATGGATTCATATGCAGTTATTTATTATATATAACCGTGACTAGACACATAGCTTTATTCTAATCATATTTTGTATTTTATAATATGTTTTTAATCTCTCTTGTATTATAAGAGATAATTTTTATATATTATATGTGTATAAAGTTATAAGATCATATTTTTTTTCTCTTTTCTTCATATGGCCTCGTATGGCTTTCAATATTTTATATATATATAAAAAATAATTTTATTTGTTACAAAATTAACGACATTAAACTCTCATAATTTTGTCCATGTACCGATAAGGACAACTCTCTGTTTATTTGGTATTTTATTAACAACTACTTGCTGGATAATGGTCAGAAAATTGCCAACTTGCAAGGGCATATTCTCTGACTACGGAAGAAACAACCAAATTCGCTTCATATATTTTATCAATATATAAAGAGATAGACATACTTACTACAATTTTTTTTTTTTTTTTTACAATCAATCTAATTATCATTTATTTTCGTCAAATTAACGGTTATAACTTATTAAAAATTAATAATTAATTAACAAATGTGATATAATAATTTTTAATAAATTATAATAAAATTGACGAAAATCAATGATGATTATTGATTAGATTAGTTGTAAAAAATTTTGGTGATAAATATACCTTTCTCCGTATAAAAAATAAAGATTTACTTTTTCTGCAGTTACTGCAAATAAGTTATCTTCAGTAAACCAAATACGACGTCATTTTGAGATAGAAATTATGGTGTTTTGTAATTTAATTTATTTCAAGCTTATTATAGTTTTTATAATTATAATTTGTTAATATTTCAATCTCAAAATAATATCGTTTTGAAAATAAATGCAGATAACTTATTTACATTAATGACAAGAATATTTTTATAATAAAATAAACATCCAGGTTACATATAAATAGAGAACTAAGCCTAAGCATGCAAAAGCCAAAACTTTTGAAGTACAAAATTTTATACTTTATTTAAGTCTCTGGTAGTTTTCATAAACCCAAGTCTAAGCGGTCAATAGCATATGATTTTGAAGTACGCAGTCCGAAATATCCATTAGATACATACCTAGGGAGTTTTTTAATGTGCTGCAGGAGCACAAATACTATTAATAATCCTTTACTTTTTTTGAAAAATTATTTGATTCTTAAATTCCTCTCTTTTTAATAATTTTCCTTTTAGTCCCCTTCCTCCTTTTATTTTTGGGAGGGACCATAATGGTTCAGGATCATCAAATAAGATCTCTACACTTAGACGTAGATATATTCAATATTGGTTAAATTAATTACCCAGTTTTTCTTTATATTTGGGAGAGTTTCTTACCTAATTAATTGCCGAAGAATTTCCTAGCACGTAAGGCGTTTGGTACGAGGATTTTTTCAGGATTTTCGAGAAATTAAATTTTTTTAAATTTTAAATTTTTGAATATTATGTAAACTGAATGTAAAAATCATATTTTTGAAAATTGAGATTCCAAACAAAAAAAATTACTCTTTTACCAAACACGAAATAAAGGTATGCAAAATTTTCCTAGCATGCAAAGGCATGGCTTTAAATTCTGATGCCAGTTTCTTAGATAACTGGATATAGCACCAAATAAAAAGGGAAGAGTAGGGGAAGGAAGCAAAAAGACAAGGGACTAATGCTGCCAGAGGATAAAATATTAAACTATTTTGGCTTGTTGGAAATTATAACAATTTACAGAATTTTCAATGGGTGTCCCAATATTTTATGGTTGTTTTTTTATCATAAAAAATTATCGTACAAAAAAAATAATATTGATGTCCCTGTTCCGTAAACATGACATGTTATGAATGATCTGGCTCTGGCATTAGTTTGGAGGCTCAAAATTGTCTGTAGTAGCATCATTACAGAATGGGGTCTGCAGATCGAAATTTCTTCAAAGTGCCATACACAATTATACTGACAGATCATTGAGTATATATGTCAAAGTGGAGAAAATTGATAAGCATGTGTGTGCACGAGAAACTACATGTGATTAGTACATATTCAATTACTTCAAGATGTGTCTTCTATACTTCTCACCAGATTAATAATATTGAAAGTTAGTCTCCTAGTAGTTTGGTTAAAAATTCTCATCCTCCTAATCACCCCAATTTGTTCTAACATGAAAAATATTTAAAATCATAAGTGATTTGAAAAGATGGATGAATGCATTACAAGGAAATGCTTCATCATCCTTGAGGACTTTGAAATTTATAAATTTAGCTCTTGATGTTATATCTTTGATTTTGCTTAATGTTATTACTCGCTTTGTAATTAAGGTAAATTGCAGACTATGGTAGCAAAGTTGATAATGGCTAACCATGTGTATCAATAAAATGTAGTTGTATGTAATCATGGACAAGAGAAATGTAAATATTGCTGCATGCCTTAAATCGAATGTTGAAAAAGAGTACGCATATCCAATGATGGCAATTCACTTAGTTAAGCAAGCTGAGCGAGTGGAAAAAAAATCTTGGTTCGAACTTCATCAATCATCAATATCATTTTGAAAAGAGTTGTAAAATCTTAATTTTTAACTCATTCTGCATTCGGAATTAGTCTCATAATCAACTCAAATAATCAAAACTTAGGAGAACATTCGAGAGAGTTTACTCATCTCAAGAAATAATTAGGATTAGTATAAAAAAAATTCACTCGTAAATCATAATAGACATAAATATATTCACATACGGATTAATATTTAAAAGGAAGGATCCGTTTATAATTTTTTTTTACAAATTACATTAAGTATCATTGATCATATACTCTTAATTAAAATATGAATCATTAGACAAAATATGATTTATAAGAAAAAATCATAAATATAATCATTACAGCAATTTCAATCTTACAATATTCTGAAGAGCCTGATGTGAAGTCTGCTAAGAATTCTCAAATTGTATCTAACCTCTTAACAATGCTTGCTGCGCGTGTATTGTTGACTTCTAGGCTTTATGCTCAAAAACTTTGACCAGTTTTATATCTTTTTTCCTCCAACTTTCCTAAATTGTGATTCTTCTGGAGGGCTGTTTTGGTCATTCCAACAAATATAGCCCCGTACTTCCTTTTTAATTTTTATTTTAGTTCAAATTTTACAGCATGTTTAAACTATGTTCAGAATCTAAGCTGATGGGAAAAAGTTCAAATACACATTATTTATTATTTATTTTACACGACATTTTTAAAAAAAATACAAGAAATACATATATTAATACACTTTTTTTTTTCTTTTTTCCAAAAAAAGTAAGCATATCAAAAGAATTTATAAAAAAAAAAGTGGTCTACAACAATTCCCTTTAAAAAATTATGGTATTCCCGTATCACATTTTCCCACATACATACCCAACTACTTTGTATTTTTAAATTAAGGGAAAACAAACTATCATTTAAAAAGATACAAGTGGTGTCTTTTTAGATGATTTATATAAAGTATGACCGGTTATATTTTGTGTAAATTTAAAAAGTTATTTTTTTTCTCTCTCCTCAATCACATTACTAATATATAAAATGATAAAAAAATAACTTTTCAAAATTACACAAAATATAATCGGTGATACTCTACTCTCTGTGATTTTTTGGACACACACGCTAAACCTTTAAATTAAATCACATTGTTTTGGTAAAGCAGAAAGACAACTAGATCTGCATTGTTTTGGAGGCTCAAGTTTATCCATTAGGATAAAGGAACCGCATGATAATAATAATAAAAAAATAATTAACAAGTTACATTATCCAGAAAGAAATGCATATGGTAGGACCCACCTTTCAGGCTTACGTGGTCAATCTTCCCACGAGATGCTTACACCTGTCTATCCTACTCCGTCACGCAACTAGAGGACAACAACAATGGAGAAGGTTCATGAACCAGGTCCCACTTTTTATCCACTATGCCACGTGCCATTCAACCTAGACGGCACCCAACAACGCCGTTTCACATGCGAGTCAAATCCTAAATATACCCACAATACGCGACAAAACCTGCACCACAAAATGCTCTCTGTGTCCGGTTTTAAGTGAAGGGCTTATTTGTCATTTTGTTCTCGGCTCGATCCAGCCGTTCAATTTTTAAATACGACGTCGTTTCGTCTCGGGCACGTGACAACATTGAAGAGAGAGAAGAAACTCTTGAATGTTGTTGTTCTTGTTGTTAGCTGAAGCGCCCGCCATTGCCATTTGCCAAAGAAAGTGGTGAAGAAGAAGCTCTTTTGCTCTGAAAATCCAACTTCAGTAAACCATATTTTTTTATTTTGTAGTATTTCTGAGTCAACATCATGGTTCAGCTAATGAGATCTGATACGGATAGTCACTGCTTGAAGAAGGTGAAGTTGGAGACACAAGATGAAATTCCCCATCTTCATACCCACAAGCGACCCAAATTGGATTCTAACTCCGAGGTTTCATTTTCTGCTAAAAATTGAATCTTTATTTCTATTTTTCTGAAACCCACCATCAATTTTTCCTTTTTTTCTTTTTTTGGTTGTAATTTGCTTTCTTTAATCCCTATTTTTTTTTTTTTTTTTTCAAAATAGCTTGCTTCTGGTGATGATTCCATTCCGATTCCGTCAGCTTTATGCAATCCCTTGGATGAGCCAAGCCCGTTGGGTTTGCGTCTCAGGAAGAGTCCATCCCTTTTGGATTTGATTCAGATGAGGCTCTCTCAACAAGATGATGACAGAAAGAAAGATCACAAGGGTTCATGTACTGGTGTGGATTCTAAACTCAAGGCCTCCAATTTTCCTGCTACGGTTTTGAAAATTGGGACTTGGGAGGTAAGCTCGTAATTTTGCAGAAACAAATATGAATACAATCATGAATTGGTGTGCATATGATAATTTTTGCTTGTTATGACTTTGCAGTATAAGTCTAGATATGAAGGAGACTTAGTGGCAAAATGTTACTTTGCAAAGCATAAGTTGGTATGGGAAGTTCTCGATGGTTGTCTTAAGAATAAGATTGAAATCCCATGGTCTGATATCATGGCTCTCAAGGCAAACTACCCTGAGGATGGACCGGGAACGCTGGAAGTAGTGGTGAGCTTTGTTTAATTGTTTCTAGATTTTAGCATCATGATTATTTGTCATGTTAATTTGGTGTTCCTGTTTGTTTTCAGCTGGCAAGAAGACCCTTGTTTTTCAGGGAGATCAATCCACAACCAAGGAAACATACCTTGTGGCAGGCAACATCAGACTTTACTGGTGGAGAAGCCTCTTTACAGAGGTACTATTATTTTAGTGTTCTTTACTTGGTGTTTAGGTGGTTGTACTCTTGATTTCTTGGTGCTGTAATTCTCTATATATTGTCACAGGCGACATTTTCTGGAGTGCCCACAAGGATTGTTAGGCAAGCATTTTGAGAAGCTTATTCAGTGTGATCCCCGTCTCAATGTTTTAAGCCAACGATCGGATTTGGTGTTGGATTGTCCGTATTTTGAACCTGGAACTATTCATGACCACATTGAATCCAGTGATGGTTTTGATAGAAAAAGCGAAGAGGGAGCTGGTTTTTTTGGATTGCAGGATGTGGAATCAGGATCTGCTGTTCAATCATCTTCCTCAAAAAGTGAACATAATCTTGTGGGGAAAGCTGTTGAAAATGTTTCCCAAGAAATTACCTCACCTAGCTCAGGTAACTGCGATGGATTTTTACTTGTTTTTATCATTTGAATTCGGTATGATTGTATCCATTGAACATCACAGCATTCGTCTTGATATTTCTCTATCAATGCGGGTACACCTCTTGGGTTTAGCTGAGGGTTAAAGTAAAGCTCCATGATGTGATACAATATTGTTAAAAAATGCTGAATGGTTGGTGAAGCTCAATGATGTGATCCAATATTATTATGTACGCTTATTGTGTGCTATACACACGCTTTCTATTTTGGAATTAATGTTTACCATGAGATATGGGGTTATTTTTTATTTTTATATATTTTTTTTTTTCTCTCTTCTCTTCCTATGTAGGGCCCTACATATGAGAACACTAATCCCTTCTATTTTATATTATGCTTTTCGTATAATGATATAAAGAATAGCGTACATGTGTTTAAAATATGGATCACATTATATTCATTCTACATAAAATATTATATTCATTCCAAGTTTATCGTGTGCAGTGATGAACTCCCGTGCAATCAAAGATTTCAAGAGTAGAGGAGCTGAAACATTGAAGTTTCTTAGTAATTTGGATCAGATCAAATTGCCTGGACTTCACCCTTCTATGTCAATGGATGATTTGGTAAACCACATCGGACATTGCATTTCAGAACAGATGGCATCTGACAATTCCAACTTAGCTGGTGACAGCCAACATAGCAGATCTATTCTGGAAGAATTTACCCAATACTTGTTCAATGACTCTCAACTCACAACAGCCTCTGATGAACAGTTTGTCATGTCAAGGGTGAACTCACTATACTGCCTTCTGCAGAAGGATCCTTCAACAGCAGAAGACACAATGATTAGGAATAATGATAATGGTCTTGACGTAAATGAGAGTGCTAAAGTTGGTCAGAGTAACTCCACTCAATTGTCATCATGCAAGAGTAAAGGGGTTGATATGGAAGGCCAGCAGGATGATGGTTCTGACTGCAAGCAAGGAGGAACTGGCATGTCCAGGAAGGAATCAGCTGGCGATTTGCTTCTTAATCTTCCAAGGATTGCATCTCTGCCACAGTTTTTATTTAACCTGTCCGAGGATTCTGTTAATCAAGTTAGATAGTAATGTTCTACCTAAGCTTTCAAGCATCACATAATACATTATGTAGTCTTCAACAGTGTGAATATTATATGTGCAGCCGGTTACTCGAACTCAGTGGGATTCAGAAATTCACATTGATGAAGAATCCCAACAGACATAATGGGACACTTTGTATTTTCAGTTTAACAAAATAAGATAAATTTGGGTAGAACACGAGTGTGTGAGAAAATCTTTCTCAAGTTGTAGAATAAAATGATCCTGGACCGGCAGATGAAAATGATCTTTTATTTGTACTCGCTGATCAACTTGGAAAAACATTTAGGATAATACTCTCTCATTAGCTTAGAGAGAAACATCAAACATCATATAAATTAATCGCAATACAGTAACTAAGATTTACATTTTTATTTTTGAGATAAAACGAATAATATGTTCAGTGCGATTTTGATTCCTCCCCCTCCCACTCTCACTCCCATATTACTATATTATTTGCAGTCTAAACTGCAGAAACAAACTATGTGCATAGCCCATTAAACACACTGGACAAAATCTACAAAAAGAATTTAACACACACGGTTACTTTTAAGGTTCATCTTGGCCTTCGTCTCCCATTTGCTCAGTTTCTTGTAACATGTTCATAAGCATGTTCACTTGTTCTTGAAGCATTGTATTATCTCTTTCCACTCGAGCACGTTTGCTCTTTTCTTCCACAAGCTGGATTTGCAAGTGCTCTAGACATCGTGAATCCTCCTCCAGTTGTTCATTTAGCCCATCTATTTCCCTGTCCTGCAACAAAAACCAGCAAATGACTCAACCTTAGTTTAAGAGGCCTATAACTCTCTCTAACTTAGGAAGTTAAGGTGTTGTGGAAACTTGAACCTTTCGGTTCATTTCTTGGATTGCAATCCTTCGCATGCTTTCAACGACATCCACATTGACAAGCTTTCGCTTCTTTCCAATAAGCCAACCCTTTGGATAGTTTGCAGACTCAAAATCAGGAGGAGGAAGTAAAGACTCAGCCGAAGGTCGTTTGCCATTAATAGTCTTTGCAGGTTCTAATGGCTCAAACAAGGCCTTTCGACGCTCAGAAAGCTCAGAAACTGCAGTTAAGTCCTGCATCTCCTCATTAGGAGGAGGATCTTCCTGCTTGCTGGGTGGTTCATTAGCAGTATCTTCTGATACCTCTAAATTCCTCCCGCTAGCTGTGTGGAACAAGTTAACCATTCTTTTTGCAACTCATTTAGAGAGAGAAAATTTTCACAACTAAAACAAGCACTCGTTACTCATAAAGAAACAGAGAAAAGAAAGAGGGAAAATAAAATTGAAAACTACTTGCACCAAGTTGTTCACCAAAGTGGGCATGTCCATTGCACTAAAACAACAAATGTATCCAATGATTACTGTACATATGTGGTTCAGGATCTAACATTGCTTAAATAATATATAAGCCAATGGTAACAAGTCAACTAAAAAACTTAAAACTACTAACAAGCAATTACACCATTGGATCCTGAACTTTGAAAGGGGGAGGGAAAGTGTTTACTAGGTTAGTTTTTAAGACTAATTTTACAGGTTCCTTTTTACACGCAATTATACCAAGCTGGCATAATGGAATATAGCCATTTACAGATAAAATGACTCTTTTGGGTTGGATAAAATGACTTCATTTTTAGTCAGGTTAGGCCATCCATGCTATTTACTTGCCTTGAATATGGTAGAGCAAGGATACCAAAATTAAGTTGCCTACTCAAACGCTTATATAAACGAGAATCGATTCTCTAATACTCACGAGACATGAGGACATGTGAGAGGATTCTAGACACATTGGGAGAGGAAAAGAAAAAAGGAGTAAAAAGAGTTAATATTGACATGTTTAGATGAACCATCGATAACAAGAGCGACATCAAAATTGATTGTTAACATATGCAAGGAAACCAAAATGCAGGCTACACTGAAGAGGGTTAGTTGGAGGGATGGAGGGTGAGTTGTCCAATAATGTTACCCAGGATATGATGTCAACACTATCCCAACAGCCACACGCGTTTATTTTTTTTTTCCCTTGTCCTTCACAAAATACAATAACTCATCAATATCTAGAATCACCACAAATAAAATTATAATAAGATGCTTTAAATTGTCTTATTGCTTTGTTATTATTAGATCAAAAAAATAATAGTGATAGCTCACAATTATGAGCCTCTAATCAGCTAACAAATTAACTTCATAATTTCTTCCAATTTTTTAATAATAAATTTGGATCCCAATTATTAACATATTGATAACGAGATAGAGCCAGAGTTCGGTAAGCCAAATCATAACAAAAAAAGTTAACGTAACATAAAAGTCACACCAACTCTTAACCCCTCTTGCACGCTTCTCTCTCTGTAACAGTGAATAACTCTACAACAGGAATTACAGAAATCAATCCCATAAACTAAAACAAAATTAAATCGAAAAGGGTAGCCTCAGTTTCAAAAAAAGTACAAACAAATTCACAGATATATACAAGATTTGCATGAAGAATTAGTAGTGGGCATGTTAATCTTGCAAATTCCATGCAAAAATCACCAAAAACATTCACTTGTAAGTCCAAATCTAAGAAAAGCTACATGATTTAATGGTGGGCTTGTGAGAGGAGGCTTTGGAAACAGCATAGGAAGACAAAATAAACTGAGTTGACTCATTGTTTGGAACATCATATGTAAAGTAGAAAACACAAAGCAAGCTGAAGAGTTAAGAAGAAGGAAGTACCTGATCTCCTTCGAGATTTCCAGTAAATCCTGGTTGTGGAAACAGGAGAGAACCCATTCAAAGCATCATCCATAACCATCTTCACATCTCTATCAGGTGTTTCCATTGAAGCATGAAAAGTCAAGAAGAGATGTTTAAAATTCAGAACTTTAACACATGCATCAATTTGAAGGAACACATAGAAGACACAGAGAAAGAGAGAGAGAGAGAGAGAGTTTTCTTTGGTGTGGTTTGGGTTTATTAATTTGGAAGTGTTGTTTGCTTCCTTGTTGATCTTCCGACCATCGAAAGGTCTTGCTTTCTTTGTCTCTAACAACCTACAAGCAGATGCTGATAAATTGTGATGGGACCATCACCCATGAGATTAAACTTTTTCTACGGTCCAGATTTCTCACTCGGGTGGAAATTTTTATGTCTAATACTTTGTCCATTTTATTTTATAATTTATGTGGACCCTGTCTATCTCCTTCCTTGTCCCTTTTTTCCAAAATAAAAATAAAATAAATATATTTGTATGCTTAGAAACGACCCTCGGAGCAACGATATAATTGAGAAAAACAAATGTTTTTTTGTAAAGAATATTTTATATTTCACGTGTTGGGTCGGGTGGCATATGCTTTCCGAAGATACCAAGTTTCTTGTGGATTAAAACAATGTATTGTTTAAAAGATTCTAAAACAATGAATTGTTTAAGTTACTAATGTTGTTGAGTATGGGATTCTTTGAACATTAGGTGAGCTGAGGCCAACAGTTACAGGATCAGGATTACTCTTGGCCCCCAAAAACGTATTCACTCTCTATGCAATAAGTTATATGTAAAGTTATTAAACTATAAAAATTAGTATAAAAATTTGATGTATATTGTTAAAATTTTATAAAAAAACAATTTTCATATATTCAACTGATTATTTATATATTATTACCATGTGGATATATGCGCCTTCTATTTACTAGTCACATCTACAATTCCATTTCATATTTATTTCACGTGCATAATGTATAGAATTCGACAGAAGCATCTGATTAGTGATACCCTTATAATAGTATTATTATCATATATTAGATGAAAAAAAATAATGAACAAAACTAACTAATTATATATATACAAATTATTTTAATTGTATTATTTTTTTTTAAGAAAAAAACAGCATCGACACAATACGATGGGCTTGACTAGGGGTGCTAAACGAGACAGGGGCCTTATAGGGGCATTTAACTCGGTCTAGTTTTTCCCCCACCAGCCCGCCAAACCCGCCCCGCCAAACCCGTCATTTCTCGTGAAGGCTTTTTTGAGTTGTGGACTTACATATCTAAAATTGATTGTTGGAACAAGGCTTGGACTTGTATAAAAACTCATTTAATAAAAAGGCCTCTCCAATTCAAAAACTCGGCCTTAGAGCCTCCCAGGCTGGCCTAACATATTAATTTTTATTTATTTTATATTCTTTATACTACTTGTGATAGTCATTTCTCTCTCCTTAATCCATTTCATCCCATTTTATTAATTAAACATACTTTTTGAATGATTTTGTTTTATATTATGCTGTTTGGATATACATTAAATTTATGAATATTTATGAATTTACTGGTGCTGTTGATTGTATCTTTCGTTTGGATAAATTTTTGTTGTCTTATTTTTTTTAAACAGGCTAAATCAGACTTTTATTTTTTGTAAATAAGACAGTTCACAGACTGAAATTATATTCATGACAGGTAACAGACTTGGTCAGGCTGACACATTTAAACACAGACTTAACCTTCTAAGACCAAAACTCGACTCTGCCCCGTTAACATCTCTAGGCTTGACAACCAAGGGTATGACGGGAAATTTTTTAATAGTACGAAGTATTTTTTTTTAAATGGAATTTTTTTTTTTCATTTTAATTCATACTTTTCTTTATAATTCTTTTTAAGTTTTAAAAAAATTCGTCTTTTGACATGGATATACCTACAGGCTTATAGCACGAGTACCAAGGTTTTCTTGGGTATGACCATATGAGGTGGCGGCCTTGGGATATGTTTTCTTCTCTGACTGTCCAATCATTGGCAAACAAATCGACTATCACCGTTAGGATGGGATGCTGCCAAGGTTCACCGAGAAACCTGTTTACGAGCACATTCGGTGATACTGTAATAATATATACTCTTTTATTAAAAGTAAAAAATAGTGATGATTTTAAGAAAAATAATCATACAAGAAGAATAAAATGGTAAAAAATATATATTATATTTTTTAAATTGAGTAAATAATGCATGAGTCTTCAGTACTACTGTAATACTGAAGATATTTCCAAACAGAAAACCACTCATTTCATTTTTTTTTTCAGCTAATCATATTTTAAAATTATGGCTACGGTCGAATTTGTAATTACATTGTGAGTTATTAAGATTACAGATAATTGTAAACAAATGCAACGATAATCACCAGTAGACCACTTAAACCATGAACTAGAAAAACCTGTTAAATTACATTATTGCTATCCCAATTAAACCATGAACTAGACCACTTCAAGTAAAGTGGCGGACCTAAAAGAAATTATTTATGTCCGCACATTTAGCGGTGAGAGTTTCGGGCAGCGCCCCCAAAATTGTTTTTTGTAAAGAAAATTTAGATTAACGCTTTATGTATGAACACGCTCAAACTGCAGGCAATAGTTTAACCAAGCATTTTTCCTTCTAAATCTTACTAATCCTCCAAAACAAATATGAGAATATACTCCAATACATCTATACATCATCATTCTATTTTATAGTGGTGAATAAAAAAGTCAACACTACCGGTACAGTAGACAAGCGAAATTACAATGAAGGTCTCGTCTGTAGAGATTAACTTATTTGAGAATGTCAGACATGAAATCAATCCTCTCTTTTTATGAAAATGAAAAAGAAAATAAAGGATGAAGAGAGCATGAGAAAGGGTACGTGACAGGGGAGGAAGAATAAATTTTCTCTCTAATCAACTTGCATTACTACATTATTTTAATCATCTCTGTACGTTGCTAACTAATATAAGAGTAAATACTCTTTTTGGTCACTAACAAAAAATTCAGTCTCACTTTAATCCCTTAAAAAAGATTTAGTGACCTAGTCCCTATGAAATTCAAAGTGAACACATTTTAGTCTTTTTGAGTGACTAACGTGGATCTTTTTTGAATTTGTGAGAGACCACGATTTAACTAAATTGATCCACTTTGAATTTCTTAGGAACATCAAGACTAATTTTTTTATAAAAATATAAAGTGAGGACCGTATTTTTTATTAAGAACTTAAAAAAATATTTATTTTTAATATAAATATTAAACCAAGTAAAAAAAAAAATTCATAATATTCATATTTGCACTTGCGGACATATGCTACAACCTACGTCCGCCACTGGTCTGGTGTATATTCTGATGGTAGGACACTAAACCAACCACCTTCTTAATCCAATAAGTTGGGGGTTGATACCACGAGATATGAATAGTGGAAAGAAGCTCACAATATTGTAAAACAGGTTTATAAGGTAAATTTTTTATTTTAATAGAAACAGAAGGACTAAAAATCCAAACATATTGTGTTTACATCTAGGAATTGAATAATTAGTCATACTTAATTTTTTTTTATTAATTTAAATAAATTCTCTTGACATTTCATATTTTTATGCATTTAATTTGTGTGAATTGTATTGATAGTTAATATGTGCAAAGTGCAAACAAAAAACTCTGAAAAACATAATAATAATTATATGATATAGAATGGATGACAGAAACAACATAACTAAAAAATTGATGACTTCAACCTACTTCATTCTGTTTCATATTCTTATGTCAATTATCATTTTTATTTCTATTTGATTTTTGCCGAACATTTACGTCTTTCAATTGGCTCTTCTTTATTACATACTGGGCCTTTCGGTATTTCACTGGATCTTTTTTCATTACATATTCATTTCACGCATACTCTGAAGGGCTTTTGCGTGTTGGGCTTTACTTACTTCCTCTTTCTGCTTTTCTTAGCTTTCCGTTTTCTTAGTGCAGCTTCATTCTTAGCTTTTTGCGTGTTGGGCTCTATGAGTTTGGATTGCCTTCTCAATTTTTATTTATTTTAAAAGTATTTTTTACAAATATTAAAAATATTTAAATTTTAAGACATCTAAACAGACTTTTTTTTTAGAAGTGTTTTTTTCTTAAAAAAAAAAAAACAGCTTTTTTTTTCCTACGTCACTGTGTTGATCTTGGCGGTGATACACTTGCATTCATTAAATCACCCGATGTCCAGAGAAAGGGATGAGTTCGATTTCTTATGGGTCACTTGCATTTCTTTTACCATCCCTTTATTCTAAAAAGGAAATTTAGAGAAATATAATATAAAATCATTAAGTTTTTGAGTTAGAATTGATTTTTTAGAAAATATAATCTTACATTAATTTGAAGTCCAATATGAGGGACATTTTCTTTATCCATATTATCGAGTCACTTGTCTTCATGTTGGGTTCTTCAATGTTGAATGATCAACCTTATCAATGTTAATGGTTAATTGTAAAACATTGTGAACTTTGCATTGTGGCTCACTTTATGGCGAGGAAAAGTCATTGGAGTTTCTATAAGCTCTTTCTCTAGGGAAAAGGCACAGCCCCTCAAACACAAAGGTGGTAGAAGGAGATGTTTCAAATTTCCTTTGTCAACAGAGGAATTTCCCTACAAAAATTGCATTCTGAAGGAGATGTGATAATAAACAGGATTTAATAACATAGAGAGGTAAAATCCCTGACCTTTGATCTCAACCTGTTGCCTACTGATATGAGTTTCTGTCACTGATTCATTGAAGCCTGAAAAAAGAACATGGTCATTTGAAACGTTTGTACTTGTTTGTCGGGGACTACTTCACCTAATTCAATTTGTCATATTACAACTTTGCAATTTACAGTTCTTGCCCCGAATTTGTTTTTGTTAGGGTTGTGGTTTTTTGTTTTGGGTGTTCAATCACACAGCAAGTTTCAAGCTTTCAAATTGGACACATCTAGTACCCAACTGTTCCGTTTGTTGTAGAGAGGGTCCAAGGAAAAATGTCAGTTCCAACTTCCAAGCACATAGTTACAGGCTACTACTTTGTTACGAATGGTGAATTATACCAAAGATTTAAGACCTATACATAACTTATTATAGTCATTTCAAGTCACAAACTGTTTCACATACCATTTAGAAACCAAAACCCAGCTTATCCTTTGGATTCTGAACAATTTCCTGTCTGAACATAGAGAAAGAGGTCAAGAAAACAAAATGAAATGTTACTTAATTTGTTTACATCTGGAAAATTTATTTTTGCTTACTCCCAATGAAACTACACAAACTCACTACATAGCCAGCCAAATCCACTCAAGTAAGACTGTAAAAGACATTACATAAACAAGAACAACTTTTGGGTACAGATTTTAGTCAACTTCTTCAATCTTAGGCCCAGCACCAGTTCCACCAGTTGATGATTTTCCATAGCCACCATTACGGATGTCATCTGCACCGCCCATTGGCACATCCCCACCAGCACCTTGATACATGTTGGCGATGATTGGGTTGCACAATCCCTCCAACTCCTTCAATTTGTCCTCAAATTCCTCCACCTCAGCCAGTTGGTTCCCTTCAAGCCACTCAATAGTCTCATCAACTGCCTTCTCTATCTTCTGCTTATCAGCAGGATTCAATTTTCCTGCAATTTTCTCATCTTTCACTGTATTCCTCATGTTGTAAGCATAGTTCTCCAAAGAGTTCTTGGCATCCACCTTTTTCTTCACCTCCTCATCCTCTGCCTTGTATTTCTCTGCCTCGTGCACCATTCTCTCAATCTCCTCTTTGCTCAATCTTCCTTTATCATTGGTGATTGTGATCTTGTTCTTCACCCCTGCAGTTTTATCCTCTGCTGAAACATTCAAAATACCATTTGCATCAATGTCAAAGCAGACATTGATTTGGGGAACTCCTCTTGGTGCTGGTGGGATTCCTTTGAGCTCAAATTTTCCCAGAAGGTTGTTGTCTTTGGTTCTGGCCCTCTCACCTTCATAGACCTGAATTAGCACTCCAGGTTGATTATCTGAGTAAGTAGAGAAAATCTGTTCTTTCTTGGTTGGAATGGTTGTGTTCCTCGGAATCAACACTGTCATCACACCACCTGCAGTTTCAATACCAAGGCTGAGAGGAGTAACATCAAGCAGAAGCAAGTCCTGAACCTTCTGGTCCCCTTCACCACTCAAAATAGCAGCTTGCACTGCAGCTCCATAGGCCACAGCTTCATCCGGGTTAATACTCTTGCACAGCTCTTTGCCATTGAAGAAATCCTGCAAAAGCTGCTGCACTTTTGGAATCCTTGTTGACCCACCAACAAGAACAACGTCATGAACTTGACTCTTATCAATCTTTGAATCCCTCAAACATTTCTCCACGGGTTCCATGCATTTTCTGAACAAATCCATGTTCAATTCCTCAAACCTGGCTCTGGTGATAGTAGAATAGAAATCAATACCTTCATAGAGGGAATCAATCTCAATGGTTGTCTGTGTGGTGGAAGAGAGAGTCCTCTTTGCCCTCTCACACGCAGTCCTTAATCTCCTAAGAGCTCTAGCACTTGTGCTTATATCCTTCTTCTGCTTCCTCTTGAACTCAGCCACAAAGTGATTCACAAGCCTATTATCAAAATCTTCACCTCCCAAATGAGTGTCCCCAGCAGTGGCCTTCACTTCAAAAATTCCTTCCTCAATGGTGAGAAGAGAAACATCAAAAGTACCACCACCAAGGTCAAAGATAAGCACGTTCTTCTCACCAGACTTCGAACCCTTCTTGTCCAAACCATAAGCAATAGCAGCGGCAGTGGGCTCATTGATGATTCTCATCACATTAAGACCAGCAATGGCACCAGCATCCTTTGTAGCTTGTCTCTGAGAATCGTTGAAATAAGCAGGCACAGTAATCACCGCGTTCTTGATGGTTTGTCCCAAGAAAGCCTCAGCAATCTCCTTCATCTTGGTCAACACCATGGAAGAAATCTCTTCAGCTGAAAAGCGTTTCTCTTCACCTTTATACTGAACCACGATCATGGGTTTGTCGGCAGGACCAGGAACAACCTTAAAAGGCCAGTGTTTCATGTCGCTCTGAACAGAAGGGTCAGAGAATCTTCGACCAATGAGTCGTTTTGCGTCGAAAACGGTGTTCTGTGGGTTCATTGCAACTTGGTTCTTGGCAGCATCTCCTATGAGACGCTCTGTGTCAGTGAAAGCTACATAGGATGGAGTGGTTCTGTTACCTTGATCATTGGCTATGATCTCAACGCGGTCGTTTTGCCACACACCCACGCAACTGTAAGTGGTGCCAAGGTCAATGCCAATAGCCTTTCCTTCTGCCTTGGAAGCCATTAGTGAGTGATGAATGAATGAATGAATGAATGAACAAAAACAGAGAGAATGGATTTGATAGTGTTATTAATGTGAGTGAGTGAGCGAGTGAATATTAACGTAACAAACTTTGGTGTTTGATTGCAATGCATATGCATGGCAACGTTGTGAAGGTAACATATAAAGGAAGAAAGGAATGGTGAAGAAAAATCGAGAAAAGAATAGATGTGGAAGGAAGAGGGTATTCGGAGGACTCGAAACTTCCACACAGCGTCAGGACCAACCAGACATTTCTGGAGAAAAGGTTCATCCACTTTATTCGAGTTTCTTCTTTTCCTAATTTGCTTTCTAACACACGAAAAAAAAATGATATTATTAAAGTATTAATTTATAATACTTAATAAGTAAACGTTGATAATTTATTTTTATAAATATAACTTTTATTAGAATCACCTTTTTAGACACAGATTTTAAATACAAAAATACTATCTTTAAATAAAGTGTAACTTTAAACGAAAATTGAGTTTAAGTAAAATTGTTTATGCAAATAATACCCGATAATATTCAAGCAGCCCATAATACTGAAGCCCAAACCCAGAAACCGTGTGACTCATACAAGCAATCTGCCAACTAAGCGACGGTATGAAGTAGGATCATCAACAGGTTTTCCATTTGCTTGACTGAGGCACAAATTAGAATCCATTGGAGAGTTACATGATTTTGCTGCTAAAAGTCCAGAATCAGAGAGTATTTCAAGTGTATATTTCCGTTGGTTTACATGAATGCCGTTATGAGAACGGGAGACTTCAAGTCCCAAAAAATAACGTAAAGGACCTAAGTCTTTTTATGCAGAATTGTTCATGAAGAAATGATTTCACTCTTGATTTCTGAGGATGAATTACCCGACAAGACAATATCATCAACGTAAACAAGTAAAGCAGTAAAAGAATTCCCATTTTGAAGAGTAAACAGGGAATGATTGGCTTGACTTTGTGCATATCCCAGTGAAATAAGAGCAGAAGAGAGTTTACTATACCATTGACGGCTGGCTTGTCGAAGACCATATAAGGATTTATTAAGACGGCATACTTGATTGGACTTTATAGTAGATAAGCCTTGAGGAGGTTCCATGTACACCTCTTCTGATAAATCACCGTGCAGAAAAGCATTGTCCACATCAAGTTGCTCAAGAAGCCAACCTTTGGCAGCTGCTATGGCTAGCAAAACACGAATGGAATTCAACTTTGCTACTGGGGAAAATGTGTCAAAAAAAGTCTACGCCTTCTAGTTGTGTGAACCTCTTTGCTACGAGTCTAGCTTTGTAGCGTTCTATTTCTCCATTTGATTTGTATTTGATGCGGTATACCCATTTAAAGCCTATGGGTGTTTTTCCATGAGGTAAATCAACCACTGTCCATGTATTATTCATCATCAAGGCATTCAGCTCAGTATCCATGGCTTTCTGCCATTGGGGAGATTGATTTGCTTCTTTGAAAGTGCGTGGCTCAATGTGAGTGGTAACATTAAGACAAAAATTGTGATATGCTGAGGTGCACAAATCATATGATAAAGCATTTGATAAAGGGTATTTAACAGAAGAGTTAGAAAATTTACCATATGAAGATTGAGGCTGCTGAGATGAGGACAAACTATAGTGATAATCCTGTAAGTATCTTGGGGGCAAACGTGTTCTTGAATAATGACGAGTAGCTGGTTGAGAGTGATCTGGTTGAGAGTGGTCTGGTTGGAGGTTATTTGGCTGAATTTGGTTGTTTGGTAATTCTGGTAAATCTGTTTGATGTTGGTCTGGTAAGTCTGTGATGTGTGTTGGAGCTTGATTGTGAGTTGGATCATTGGTTATGATTGGAGTGGGAATAAAGGATTCTAAGTCAGAAGTAGAAAGGATAGGATTTTGTGGATTATCTAAGATAGGTGTGATAGGTTGATGAAAAGGGAAAACACTTTCATGGAATATAACATTCCGTGAAACAAAAATTTCGTTAGTGTGCAAGTCATACAATAAGTAACCTTTTGTTCCATCACGATAACCCAAAAAAATTGCTTTACGAGCACGGGCAGAGAATTTGGTGCGTTGAGAAGTGAGTGTGGATGCATAAGCTAATGAGCCAAAGACACGTAAATGAATCAGTGTGGGAGGAAAACCATAAAAGCTTTTCATAAGGAGATTTACCATCAAGTATAGGGCTGCAGGTTCTGTTTAGTAAATGAACAGCATGAGTGATAGTGTAGCACCATAAAGAAAGTGGGATTTTTGCCTGAAAGAAAATAGCACGAGCCACATTTAAAATGTGCTGATGCTTACATTCCACTATACCATTCTGTTGTGGTGTTTCAACACAAGTACGTTGATGTATGATACCCTCTTTTGAATAATAATCATTCATAAAAAATTCAGGTCCATTATCTGATCTCAAAGTTTTAACAGTGGTGCTAAACTGATTTTTAATGAAAGCAATGAAGTTTTGCAGATGAGTGCGTGTCTCAGATTTTGTGCGCATAAGCAATATCCAAGTAAAACGTGAGTGATCATCTACTATGGTAAGGAAATACTTATGTCCATGAATAGAATTGGTTGAATGGGGACCCCAAATATCAACATGAAGTAGTTCAAAAATTTTCTCAGACTTAGTTACACTGAGATTGAAAGGAAGCTTATGTTGTTTTGCAAAATAACATGCATCACAAGGTTTAACATGTATCGAAGATGGAATAAAAGGAAATTGTAATGACATTGCACGTGTAACATCTTTAGAGATATGACCTAATCTTTGGTGCCAAATAACAGAAACATCATTTTGACTGGTTTTATTACAAGGTGAGGTATTTGTGTGAGCTACTGTCTTGTTTGCATTGCTGATCATCACATATAGTCCATTCCTTCGTCTAGCAGAACCAATCGTCATCAGGCAACTTGACCTTCTCTCCTGTATGACACAAACAGATTCGTTAAAGGTAATGGTATAAGGTAAGGAACTCAACAATTTTGTGACAGACAGAAGGTTAATATGGAAACTAGGAACATAAAGAACATCAGTAAGAATGAGTGATGAGGTGATATTTACTGTTCCACAAATTGATGAAGCAACAGTTGAACCATTCGGCAAGTGAATAGAAATTGGTTTGATTTTGTGAAAAGTTGAAAATTGTGACAAGGTGTGAGTAATGTGGTATGTGGCACCTGTGTCAATTACCCACTCAACGCTCATGTTACCTGTTTGAGCATTATCAGCCATTGGATGGCTAGAATTTGCTGCATTGATGGAATGTTGGTTCTGTGAGGACTGCATTGTATTAGAATTTTGCAGCAAATCAAGAATGTGATTATACTGATCTTGAGTCATAGTTATGGAAGACTGTGACTGTATAAATGACTCATGATTCCCCATATCAGTATGTGCTACAGCTGCAAAATTATGAACCGGATTGCTCCTTTTATATCCAGGTGGGAATCCATGAAGGAGATAGCATGACTCAACAATATGATGAGGTCTGTTGCAATGAGTACAGAACTTTGATATGTGTGATCCTCTAACAAAATTACTACGTCCACGTCCTCTATATGACCTTCCACCATTAAAATATCCACCAGCTCTTCTGTTATTTTGTTGTTCTCCAAAAGTGGCCATAACTTGAGAATTATTTGAAAAATTCATGTTGTTTTCAGACAAAAATTGACGTTCTTGCTGAGAAATCAAAGAAAAAGCCTTTGTAACATTTGGAAGTGGCTCAACTAGCATAATTTGTGACCGTAGCAAATTGCTCATTTAATCCTTTCAGAAATCTTATAGTTTGGTCTCTGTCTCGATAGAAACGCATTTGTTCAACAGCTCCACAAACACAGGGAACAGTAGGATTGGGAAGTGGCTTCAAATTATTCAATTCATCCCACATGGTTTTCAACTGAGTAAAGTAATCACTTACAGATTTATCTCCTTGAAACAATTTGTAGATGTCCTCTTGAAGATCTGAGATTCGAAACATATCTGTCTGTGAGAATCTGTCATGTAAATCCTTCCATGCGTTCGAAGCTTTCTCTATCCAAAGTATGGATTGAGCAATGTTCTGAGTAATGGATCTATGTATCCATCCCAAAACTATGGTGTTGCAGCGATCCCAAGCTTCATATTCAGGATCTTCATCATTAGGAACATGTTGATTTTCGTTGATGAATCCAAGTTTATTCTTGGATCTGAGTGCCATTGTCATCGCACGTGACCATGGATGGTAATTACGTCCATTCAGAGGAGGAGTCACCAAAATCTGCGATGGACTCTCATTTGGATGCAGGTAATAAGGATGTGCCGGATTTGTCAAATACTCAGGTAGATGAACTTGATTAGCCATAGCCATATCTGTAAAACCTCAAGAGAAGAAGAAAACAGAATCCCGAAAAATGAAGAACCGAAGCAGATATCAGAGCTTTGAAAGCTCTGATACCATCAAGAAATTGAGAGAAAACAGAGTATTCATGAAGAAGATGAATCGATCTTATTAACAAAACTGACTAGTTTACATTACAATGAAGCTATTTATACATAGTAGTAATTAAGAACTAACTCAACCCGAATGGTTAATGATACTACCATATAACTAACTCTAACAAACTGTCCTAACAGAATAAGTCATGCACAATCTGACGTGGCATTCATCTGTTGTGATTAGTCATTTGCTTGTATGAGTCACACGATTTCTGGGTTTGGGCTTCAGTATTATGGGCTGCTTGAATATTATCGGGTATTAGCAAAATCTAAATAAAGTGTTTGTATGAGTTAAATTTTATAAACTCTGATTTTTCTTTGATTTTATTCTTTAAACATTATTTTGCCGAAAAATAAGTTTGCAAATAGTTATTTATGTTTGAAAAAGCTCAATTTTCAGTAAAAACAATATTGTATAGATCACTTTGAAATGTGTAATTATCAATAAAAATGTGTAAATATTTTAAAAGTATTATTATTATCATTATTATATTAGTTTGTGAAATTAATTTTATTAATACACATAAAACTTAGTTTTTCCGCCATAAAATTAATAAAATGCTATTTCTATGATTGAGTTGGTTTTGATTCTACAAAACCACTAACTTCAAAGCAAGCAAGTTTTTAATCTCTAAACAGGAAGGTGTTTAGATATATTAATAAAAATTAATTTTAGGCCCGAGATTATCAAAAAATAGAA